AAGAAAAAAAAAGGAAAAAAAAAGGAAAAAAAAAGGGGGTTTGAAACTCACCACAACGCTTCATAAAACGAATTCGCCCCCCCATGATTCACAGAGCACACCACGCCCCCAGACTCCAACACCGCCTTCGGCTCCGCGTCCACCCAGTCCGTCACCTTCACCCGCCCATTCTCCATCTCCGGCCTCAGCACATCACACACCCCCTTCCACTCCCCTTCAAATTTATTTCTTTCCAACTTTTCACCACCGACAGCCCCCGTCTTCCGCCCCAGCTTCCACAAAACCTGCAACCGCCCACCACCAAACCCCACCGCCTCCGCCCGATCCAGCACATCCCGAAACGCCCCCGCCATCTCCCTCGCCTCGGCCACGTCCGCTCGGAGATGCGTCCCCAGGTTGACGTATATCGTCTGCGCGCCGGCGCGCGTGAGCCACGCCTCCAACGACCCGGGCTCATCTGCGTCCATAACCCCGCGCCCCCCGCGACCAAGCGGCGCAACAGCGCGCACAATCGGTCCGCACGGAACCAAATGCGGCGGGATCACAGAAAGCGGGTAGTCCAGATCCGGGGAAATGGCGCAGAGGACGCGCAGGCCGGCGGGCGGGGCGCGGAGCACGCCCATTTCGTTGGCTGTCATGAGGGAGATGGTTGGGTCGGCGTAGGCAGCGCGGAGGTGGGCTGTGGTGGCGCGGATGCGGGGGTTGGTGAGGAGGGCGTAGGCGGCGACGAGGTTGAGGAGGATGTTGAGGGGGATGAGGGAGCGGGGGAGAGGGTAGGGGAGGGCGGAGCAGACTCTGGATGGGATGGGTTGGTATGTCAGTTATGTTGGGGATGCTTCTTACACTCTTACACAACAACAACAACAACAACAACAACACACACACATAAAAATAAAAAAATAAAATAAAAAAATAAAAGGGGGGGGGGGGTACAAACAAAGGATATTTCCACAACATGGCCAGCCTAGGTTGCATAGGGAGGGCAAAGTCCTTGAGGGTATTCGGGGCCAGGACGAGCCAGTTTGTTTTGAGGTGGTGGCAAAGCGTCAGGCCCGGGGTGAAGATGGGGTCGATGACGGTCACGTCTGGGCGGACGTCGGAGAGGATGCGCTCGGCCTGGCGGTAAAGCGAGAGGAACTCGTCGGGCCGCCAGGGGAGCATGACGGCCGGGATGAGGAGGATGTTCTTGGCCGAGTTGATGAGGCCCGGCGTCAGGTCGTTGGTAGCGGCCACGCCGACTTCGGGGCGGAACGTGGCCGGACCCCAGCTGATACCGTCGAGGGGGTGGAATGTGATGGGTGTTGACGTTGTTGCGTCTTGATGGGGTTTATGGGGGGCGGTTTTGAGGGCGAAGGTGGATGTGTGGTGGACTGCTTCCTCGAGGGCGCGGAAGGAGGCGATATGGACCTCAACTTGGGAGTCGTGGTGAAGGAGGGCGTGCGCGGTCGCTAGCACTACGTTGGCCTGGCCAAAGTCGCTGTTGGTGAAGAAGAGAATTCTCCTGGGCCGCGCCATCGTGTTCTGTTGATGTTCTGTTGATGTTCTGTCGATGTTCTGTCGATGTTCTGTCGGTGTTCTCTGTGAGTCCAAGTGCTGTTACAACTTACGAATGTAAACAACTTACAAGTGTACATACACCACACCTTAGCCATGGAAGCGAGTTTGGGTTTATATAGTGTACAAACACCCCGCCATCACCTCCCGGCTCCAAGCCCTCCTCTATATCCATTCATCTTCATGCCATCCCGCGGCTCGAGACAGCCGACTCATGTCAACGCTGCTGAGTAACGGTCATGCTCAATGCAGTCCCGCTTACTGGTAAAGTTGGCGCAGCCTTCTCTTGACAAGGCAAGCGATTCGAAAAAGCCAAGAGTCGGTAAAGTCCAGAGTATGTTAACACGATTTCATTGGCCAATTCCGCTTTTCTCAAGCGGGGCCCATCGCCAAGCAACCCTGCTTTCGGGAGGAGATCGGCTTACTCTGTACACTCTCGACCTCCAAGCCAGGACTCAGGAGCCGATTGACAATCACTCACCGAAAATAAACGGCTCCTTATCCAACCTTCCCCCCTGAGCCGGGGAGCAGTTTTTCTCTTGGAAAACGGAAAGGTGAATTTTCAACAGTTACAATGCCGTAGGGAGATAAAGGGAAGGGGATTGCCAAATCGATGAAGTCAACAGCGGCACGAGAAGCAATGTGTAGATACCTGCATGGCAGTTAGATATTCTGTTCGTTCTTTGACGTGGGAATTTTGTGCGCTAATTAGATAGTTATCCGGGAACGCATTGTCGGTCTGCTATCGCCGTCCCGTCCCTAGTCAAACTGCTGATCGCTGGACAAGAGGTAATCCAAGAGAGAGAGAGAGAGAGAGAGGATGTGATACATGAGGTCATGAAATCCCAGCCCGTCCGTTTTCCTTTTTATGATATACCATGTATTGCCGCTCACAAACACGGGCTCACGAGAACAAGCTGAACGATGGGTGACCAGCTTTGAGCTCGAACTTAGCCTTTCCCTCCCGTGTGCGTGGAGCGCAAAAACAGCGACACTCCCAAGTCAGCCTTGTCCTCTCAGCTCATGGTCCAACAAAGTCTTGGAAGCTGAAGGGGCACGGGCGGAGTGGGGGAAACCGTAAACGGAAGATGCCGCTGGACATCCACTCCTAACTAACTGCGTAGTGTAGTGTAGTTCTCCCCACTATCCATCCCTGGTACGCGAGCAAGGTCAACCTACCAAAGATAGGTTCGGTGAGGCTCGGTGAGGTAAAGGCCCATGGTCAGGGTTGAGCCAAAGCAAAATAAGGGTCTACACGAGTGTAAACAAGGTTCACGAGAAGCCATGCAAGTGGACCTTGTTTCAACCCCCTGAACCTTGCTGCTGCTATTTCGTGGTTCCATGATTCACCCTCAAGCTTTCTTACCCGTGTCAGAACTTAGAATAGACCCAACGACGTGAAGTGTGCTGGATATAAGAAGGGGGGAAACAAGAAAGAATAAGCAATGATGCGCAACAAGATCGAGATCGCCACGGCTGTTTTGCTGGTTCGGATCTCGGCAGGTTTAGTGTAGTGTATTGTAAAGAGAACCCCACCGTCGAGATCCTGGTTCTTTTCGGCATTGGCAAGGCAGATTCGGTGATTCGGGGGTCATGTTCATGATCTGGGATGTTGACCGGGCGCGTAATGTTCCCGTTCTGGTATCCGCGACTTCGTCGTAACATGGTTTAAGTGTAAGGGTAAGGGTTAGTGAACATGGGAGCACTAGCAACCCTCACTGCCCTGTCCGGCACTCCATCCCATCGGTGATCGGCCGGGGCATCTGTAACTGGTTCTCTTCTGGGTAAGACGTAAACTAAAAGCAGATAGGGTCGTTGAGGGGAAGATGAGGGATAGGACGACACAAGAGATCGAGTAACATCGGGCCGGAAAACTCCATCCCCGCGTTTCGGTGGCAAGGAGGCATCGGGGGACGAACGAATATCCGCAAAATTGGCTTTTCGTTTATCTCCGTTTTTGGCTTCTTCCTATCACTTGAATCTGATCGGCTCGAGCTAGGACGCTGCTGATGCGGACGAGCATCGCCCGAGATTATCGCAGCACTTGGAAGTTGAAATCCGGTTCTCGCGCCAAGAGCAAGAAAGGAGAGGAGGAAAGGTAAAAAAGTAACTAAGTGACTTGCTGGTTACCCGCATTGCCGATCGTGACATCCGGCGTTCGGGTTTGAGGAGAGAAAAAAAAGTTGGCCCATCTGCCCATTTGCCACCGTGGGGTCGGCTTGCAGAGGCTCATTACCTGCGACCCCGTCGTGCATCAAACTGCTGCAGCGTAAAGGGGTTTGTCAGTAGTGTAGTTTTGAAGCTTTTTTCGTCGGCTTGGCAAAAGTTAGTCTTGAGCCTGGCCCATGTTGAAAGGCAAGTTCCGGGGTCAAGACAACTCTCCAGCTGTCGTTTGAGATATGTGGTCCTTGCTCGAGGTGGTGAGCCAAGGGAACACGGGAGCCGTTGAGCGAGCAAAAAGAGGGTTGCATCTCGGCTGGGTCTCGGCAGCAGGCGATCGGATACACAGCAGAGGGTTCCGAGAGGCCTTGAAAACGCATCTTGCCAGTGGCCTGGCGTGTAACGTTATCATCAAGCCAAATTTCGGCTTTTTTCCTCTCGTCGACGGGTGCGGTTGTTGGAGGAAAGCCCTTGTTCCGGGAAAACCATCGGCGACCCCGGCCAAACGCATAATCGCCGGTGATGCGGTGGTGTGAAATCGGGAGAGAAGCCGAAACAAGGTTCGCTGCATGCCGAGCACGGAAGGAAACCTTCTAGAAAAATTCCACCGCAGGTTCCCGCGGCGCAGTGGACGGCCCGGGATTTGGGGATTTCACCCCTGGACTGGCATGGACCGAGTTGCCTGGTCCTTGGCACCGCATCCATCAGCTGACTTCTTTCCCGAAGCTGACTTTTGCAATTCTTGCGTTTTGGTGTTCTGGCGTTCGTGGTGTGACCCAAGCCCCAAGCGAAAAGACCCAATCGCGGCTTCGCCACGGCCGACTGCAAACGGAACGACGAACCGGTGAGCAGGCTGAAGTTGCGAAGATGGCTCATGGGAAGCTTCTTCCGAATAGACGGACGTTCGAACAGGGTTGATCGGGGACCAGAAGCTTGGTGTCCACTGACCGACGTTCCCGACCCAAGAAGTGCAAACAGACGGAACGCCTCAGCACAGACCTCTCGCCTTCCCTACCGGGCTTGCTTTGTCTCTGTCGCGGCTTGCTTCGGGGGAGACCGAGAGGCTGTCGTCCCCGAACATAGGACGAAGAGATGTTTTGTTGAAGGGGGACGAAAAAAAAGTTCGACAACGTGAAGCTCGGGTGGGCCGGGTGCAGCCTGTGGAACCAACCCAGGAACCGTTCCCCCCATCGCCAATGTTTCGGGTCGTTGCCGTATCGACATTGTCTGACCCGTGAATGCCGTCCTCTTACCAAAAACGAGATCCCCGGCTGCATGTAGTGTGGTGTAGTGTATGGTGTGGTTCGGCATCGCCTGACATTCCTGACCTGCCATCATACCACCATCGCCGTCGCGGTGTCGCATCCCCCAACTTCGCAGTGGACGCCTGGACGTCATCGACGGTTTGTCCACCCCTGCTCCGATTGGTCCCCTATTCGAGGATGACGAACACCCTTCCTAGGGTCCCCCAAGGCACTCCAAGGCACCCCCCGAAACTCCAATCCGAGGAGACCCCCTGCTGACAGGGAGCGCGCGCTGAAGACATGAAGCCGTGCGGCCGAAAGGAGACGCCAGACGAGCGCAAGAAACGCCTTGCCTGGATGATCCTGGTGGTGTGCCTCCTGAGCTCATGAAAAGCGGTTCGGACGGTCAAGCTTGAAGGCGGAAGGTTCACCCATGGAGACGCGAACCGATGGAGAACAAAAACAAACGACACATGTCTCGGAAATAACAGGTATGCAGGCCTGATGATGAGCATTTTGATACTCCGTAAACGTGCTTTCGAAAAACAAATGCATGGAAAAGCGGAAAAGGTAAAAAAGAATTGATCCTTGATTTGGAAAGCGTCGCCCAAAAGCCCCACCTGCAGCAGGCCTGCAGAGAAGTTGCAAGGCAGGTCCAGTGGGAAACTGCAGTGCCTTGGCATCGCTGCAAACCGCCTTCTTTGGCAATGAATGAGCTTTTTCTGCTTCTTGCTTGGTCGGACCTCTTCCAGGAGGACTGAATTCATTAGTTAAATCAGGCCGCGAGAAAGTGTGGAGAGAAGTTGTTGAATTCGGCCCAAAGTACTGACTCCACATAATCAGGTACTATACCTAACTACCTTAGCAACCAGCAAAGCACTTAATGTCCAACTATTCACTCGTTTCCACCCTTACCATCACTGCTGTTTCTGCACCTTGATTCTTCGATCCTGCTGTTTCGAGCAAGTGGAGGAGAGGGTCTTGTGAGCATCTCGTTCGGGCATCGTCCCCTTCCGTCACACCTACCCCTGCCCTGCTCTTGCCCCTTGCCCTGCCGAGCTTCTCGAAGCCCTGCCGAAGTCCCGCCCACCTTTTTCTCCTCAGACGAACCCCATTCCTGACAGCTCGCAATTTTGTCTCAGGACATAAAGACAGAATTTCAGCCACACATCCGACAAACAGAGTCCGTTTTACCAGTTTACGATATTCGCCCCTTCTACTCCTCGTAATTTGCGACAAACGCCTGCTACGACGACAACGACGACGATTCTTTTAAGTCTTACACGGCCCCACCACGGTTTCCCCCAAAGACTTCAAAATTCGCGACCCCGCGTTCGCCCGCCCCTGGAATTGATACCCCCTCCTTTTTTTTCTGCAGCATCCCGCCATTGCAGGCCAGGAATAAACGGCATTCTCAACGCAGCACAGCATAGCACGACCCAACTCAACTTCACGCACCACACCACACACAGCACACCACACAAAACTACGCCCAACGACAACACATCATAATGGCGGAGAAGCCGTCGGTGTTGATCATCGGCGGTCTTGGCTACATCGGCCGCTTCCTAGCCCTCCACATCCACGAGAACGACCTCGCATCCGACGTGCGCATCGTCGACAAAGTCCTCCCACAGCTGGCATGGCTGCCGCCCGTGTTTGAGAAGGCATGCGCCGGGCCCAAGTTTGTGCAGGCCGATGCGAGCAGAGAACGTAAGCTTCCAGACTTCTCCCCCACCTCCAATACCTCTCTCTCGCAACCAACCCCTCCCCCCAGATGTGTCCCAGTTCACGAGTGAATCGCTTACCGTTCCGCCCAGAATCCCTCCCTAAGATCTTCGACCGTGACGACGGGAAACAGTGGGACTATGTTTTCAACTGCGGCGGCGAGACCCGCTACTCCCAAGAGGACGAGGTGTACAAGCTGCGCTCGCTCGACCTGTCGCTCACGCTGGGTCGGGAAGCGGCCAAGCGGGGCGTCAAGTGCTTCGTTGAGCTCAGCACCGGGATGGTCTACAAACCAGACTCAGTGCCAAGTAAGGAGAGCGACAAGTTGAAACCATGGAGCAAGATCGCCATCTTCAAGCTGCAGGCGGAAGAAGAACTGGCCAAAATTGAAGGGTACGGGTTTCGCTCTTCTTTTTTTCGTCGGCGTTTCTTTTTCCCCTTTTTCTTTCTTCTTCAGCCAATTTCCTAAACTTGAAATGTTCTCACGGGAGTGGGGTAACACGCAAATCTACCAACCCCTGAATCGTCCAACACACTACGTAACACACATCACACATCAACTTCCGAATTACTGACTTTTGCCTCCCCTACTTCACAGACTCAACCTCGCCGTGGTACGGCTCCCCCACATATACGGGCCATATGCCTCGCAATGGGTAGCCACGGCTCTGTGCATGGCGCGCGTCTACAAAGCGCTCGAGTCCGAGATGAAGTGGCTTTGGACGAAAGACCTGCGCACCAACACGGCGCACATCGACGACGTGGTGCGCGCTCTGTGGGCCGTCGCCGGCTGGTACACGACGAACGGTCAGGGCAAGGCTGGATGGGACGTCAAGGCCATGGGCAACAAGGTCCCCACTTTCAACGTCGTCGACAAGGGCGCGACCACGCAGGGCGCCATGGCCGACATCATCGGGCAGGTGTTTGGGATCGAAACGGGGTTCCAGGGGCAGTTGATCAGCACGTTTGCCAAGCTCAACCTGGACAGCGTCGTCGACGATGTGAATGACGAGTTGTTGGGGCCCTGGGCCGACTTGCTTGCTGAGGCGGGGATCACGCGGCCGGGTCCGTTGACGCCGTTTATGGAGCGCGAGCTGCTCAAGGATACCGACTTGAGTATGGACGGGTCGAGGTTAGAGCAGGTGGTGGGGTTCAAGTATGAGAAGCCCAAGATCACCAAGGAGTTGGTCGAGGAGGTGATTGAGAGCTACAAGGTTATGAAGTGGTGGCCTTGATGGCTTTTTATCTTCATGACCTGGGGATGGTGGTTGATTATTGGTTATCAGGATTTTGGATGTCTGTTGGCGGGCAGGTGGCTGGTGGTTGACAAAAGGGGGATAAGTCGGTTGGCGGAAGGGAAAAACTGGGGGATCACAAATGTTGGGCGGGTTATTTTAATACAGTGAATGGAATGAAGACGGCGGCTACATTATTTTCTTCTCCGAGCGAGGGGGTTCGGGGAGAAAGGTTGGATGTAATACTAGGATATCCCAGTTCTCTTTTTTTAAACTACAAGTAATATACAAAGACTTCAGACCATGGGATGGGGCGAAACGTCGGCTGGTGAACACTGGGAGACTCATTTTCCACATACATACCTTACTACATACTTAAGGGCGCTTAAAGTTCGGTCGAAACTTGGCCCGAGAGACGCCGAGTTTGGGGGTTGAAACACCGGGGTTTCAAAAAGGAGTTTCGAGACAAAGGCACCATGCATGGTTGCAAGAAGCCAGGAAGTCCAGGAGCAGGGAATGGAGTTTCGACTCTCCGTTGTTGAGGTCTTGGCTAACATATATAGTCGTAACGTCATCTACGGTCGGGTGTAGTGTAAATGTTCTGGCCATTACAGTCACCGCCCCATTCGTTATCCCTTACAGCCGGTGATTCAACTTCATTCTTATTCTACGCGTGTTGTATTTATCAAAACGACACCCACCCAATGCCTAGGGGACCAACCGACCGTCTTTCCACAGTTGCCAATGGTTCAGACCATCCAGGCTAACCCTTCTGGACGACCTACCCGAGGACGAGCGACCCATGAACGCCCACTCCCCCTGACTGTCGTTGATATATCCGCCCCTGAAGTCGAACGAGCCGGAGTTTGCAGCATCCATCCATGGACAGCATGCTCTTTAGACTCGGCTCAAAGAGCACCCTTCTACCCTCTTCAAGATGAGAACCCACTGTTGGAGAATATCAACTTCAGAAAGTAGCTGGCGACTATGTGTGCCTTCGGGTGTTGATGAAAGGACCTGGTGGATTCAGTCGTCACTAAGGTCGATATAACGTAAACTTTCTACACGGCTTTCTTTCTCGGGGATCTCGTGACGCCTCTTATCCGGGAATGTCATGCACCGGATGATCAGCATCGTGCATGTAGCCAGTATACGCCAAGGACATCATCCGCGGGTGATATGAACTAACTGGACAACATACGTCTCGACCATCACGACGTGCTCCGGCTTTTCGGCTTTGACGAGGGGCAGTACGTGAGAGGTTACGAGGATACTGGGGAAAGGTATGTACACGACGATGCATTTGGAGTCTCTGACTCGGCTTGTCAGGGGTGAAACAGTCTAGATGGGAGCCGAGGCCGAATACGTCCGAGGATGGCTTCGGCCCCTCCGGATGAGTATCTGGCAGTTGGATACTAGTGGGATTCCACACGAAATTGCTGGTGATCACTTGGAGATATCAGAAGAGACAACAGAATGCGGAGACTGTGGCTGCGGGTTTGGAGGTTTGGTAGATGACCATCATTGAGGGTTAGGGTTGTACGTGGCAATGGGCACCCAATGCGACTGTGACCACTCGGCCAAACCTCGAGTTTGGATGTCGAGCACCTCCCTAAAACACAGGTGAAGTACATCAATTTGAGCGGGATAACGGCAATATTGCGGCGTGTAATAATAGGCCATACGGCCGAGTGGATACAGCTTTTCTGAGACTAAATTTACCGAGGTTACGGTGAAAATTCATCCAAAGAGGTCCTTTTTGCGAAGACAACACGTTTTTTCATCATGTTTGGGCACTGGGAGAATGATGCGTAGACAGGGCTAGGGTTATATGTGTCGCCCATACCCCTGTCCCAGTACACAGCGCCTCAGACCACTCGGCCAAACCTTGAGTTTGGACGTCGAATTCACGGCAAGAAACGGCAGAAACGCTACAACTTTAACTCACCTGATCAAAATGTGTTGGCCTATTTCAAGATAGCAGTGTAGTCACTCTACCTGAGGACTTTTGAGATCATAGCAGTCCTGGTTTGCCGTGTGGAAGTGCGACAGTGCGATTTTTACATGACGGACACCACAAAATATGAGAGGGTTAGGGTTGTATATGCCAGCCATACCCCTGTAGCATAACGTAGCGCCTTCGACCACTCGGCCATTCGCGTCTGAATGTCAAGCAGGGCCTTCAAACACAGCAGCAACACCTCAATCTGAGTGAGATAACAAAAGTATTGTGACGGGCGATAAGCCATCATGTGGGTGAGCGGATTTAACTTTTTTTAAGATGAGATTCGCTATGGTTATGACGAAAACAACCTGTCGTCACGGGAGTTGAAGAGTTGAATCAAGGCGCCAAGGCCACTTGGAACTTGCGTTCATTCCTCTCTTAACTATTCTCCCCTCCCCCCAATCGGTGCAAAGCCGCATTTCCTCAATTATAGAGGCGTCCTCGGTTTCGGGTCGTCAATGGCTCGACTTGCTGAGTCATCATTGCAGCTGAGAGTTGCTTTCTCCTCTTAAATTTACCCCGCGCCCGTGTCGGAGTCCGCTAAGTCAGCGGCGACAGGACAGCAATCTTCAACATGTGGAAGTCGTGCGGCGAGTCAGCAAACTTCAAACATCTGAGCCGCAAATAGGGAGTCGACCTTTGTTATTGAGGGATCCATCAGTTAATGGACCAGCGGCCCTATGGCTGCCTGTTGCAGATGTTTGGTCTGATTTTGGTCGGCCAGCTAAAACAGTGGCCCTATCGGTACCTTACCGAGCGTAACTTCCATCCAGTGTCGGGATGCCCTAGGACCTGCAGATCTGAAATGCGTGCCGAGCAGTGGCGCATGTCATCCAGGCATTAACGAATTTCTCACCGGGCTGAATCCGTTGCGAGTGCAAAAAATAGTTTTACCTGCCGAGACACCAGTCGTTGATGAAGCCATCATGGCTGACTGCAGAAGGAACACACAACGCCTTTTAGAGGTTCAAGATCGGACGCCGAGAAGTCCAAGGCTTGGCCTGTAGCGGGAAAAAGCCACAAGCTGCACAACACCTCGCAAGCCCTCGCAACCCCATGCCGAGCCTCGCAAGCCTGCCCCTCTCAGAGTCGCATTTCCCCAGGATCAACCGCGTCATTGGGGCAGCATGTGGGATCTCCGGAGCGGTTTGCTGAATACGGAGACTGCTCCCCGCGTTTCTTTGGGCGGAGGAGGGGGAGATTGGACTGGTATGAGAACAATGCCTCCTTGGAAGTTCCAAGGATAGCAGGCGGGCCGCTTATGCCATGTAACTTCTCTTTTTTTGAACCTCGGCCGGACGAGGTGCGCGTGCGTTGCGTGTTTGTGGGGGGGACTTGGGTGATGTTGTGTGACAAGGTGGCTGCTGGGGGCTTGTTCGGCTTGCAACTTGGAGGGGGGGAGATTTGTTCCCCACCAGGATGGAAAGCTGGGGACAACGCCCGGTGGGCAACCCCATTCACGCCCATGCGAAGAAGGTACTTAAGGGTCCCGAGGGGAAGGCCGAGGGGGGTTGGATTTGTTTCCTCCGCTCTCTTGTTTTCCATGCTTCTTGTTCTTCAAGACAACTTACGACTGCAACTTCAAAGCGACGACTTGTGACTTTCATCCCAACTTTCCGCCTTGTTAGCGTCTCGACCGATACTCGGAACGAACCTATACATTCAAACCTCCAAACAACCCCAACACACCGCTCAAAATGGCTGCCCCCGCGAACAAGACCATTGCCGACCTCAACGGTAAATGGTACATGGTGCGTTCTGTTTTCCTTTTGCCTTCCCTACCTTGTTTTTGCTTTCATCACCTGCCTCGACCCAAAGAAGAGGAGAAATCCCCAATTTCACCCACCAAAAATAAAAAATCCCATGTGATCCCCCAATCCAGCACCACCCCTGTCCCACCTCGGCAAACTTGGTGGCTCCAAAAACTAACCCCGCCCCCACTTCAACCCCAAACAGAACAAAACCCTCTCTTCTCCCATCGAGGCCGGGCTCGCCCTCCAGGGCGTGAGCTGGGTGGCGCGCAAGGCCGTCTCGGTCGCGAGCTTGACCCTCGTCGTCAACCAATTCGTCGCGCCCCCGTCGCCTCCGGCCGAGCCCTCCGCTACGCCCGTCACACACATCGTGATCGATCAGACCGGCACGGGCGGCATGAAGGGCACCACTGAGAAGCGGTGCCTGGACAACGTCTACCGCGAGCACAGCGATTGGCTCTTTGGTAACGTCCGGGGACGTACGCAGTTCCTGCCGAACGAGGAAATCACCGATGAGTTCCTGAAGAGCGGGTGGCTCGAGGGCGAGGAGGAGAAGACCGGTCCCAACGGCACGAGCCATCTGATCAGCTATGTGGAGAACAACGAGAGGGGGTGGACCGCGACGCAGATCTGGGGGTTCAAGATCATCGACGGCGTGCGGCGGTACGTGCGGAACGTGGTGATTGCGAAGGGGAGCGAGCGCATTGAGCTGCAGCTGGTGTACGACTTTGTCCCCGAGTAAGCAAGGGGCGCGGTTGTTGATGTCGGAGGAGGAGGGTTGTATTGTACGCAGGTGTTGCCGTTGGCCCGGATGCGGGAGCATTGGCGATAGACGCTTGGATTTCCCCGTCTTTCTTCTTTTTCAAGTATCAAGTATGCATGCAGTAAATGAGACAGAGTCCATACCCAGCTGCGTATCGCAAAATTACACCACGGCGTGTCTTGCTGTTGATCCTGTATATGCTCTCAATCTACTTCATCATAGTAGCAACCATCCCACCATAGCGTGAGCTCTGAGGGGAATCTGAGCCTGTTCCCATCCGCCATTCTTGGGGTATTATGCGGCCTGTCTTTCCCTTTCTTTCGTCCATGTTGAATGTCACAGTACCGCCCGCCCCAAAACCAGAAAGCTTCCAGCAATAAGATGCCTAACCAAACGCCTTTGATGCACACACTCAACCCCCTCTCCTCCCACTACGCATCAATCCCAACCCTGACCCAAATCGCCCTGATCGACTACCAACCCATCATCAAACCACCTAGGAGATAACGAAAAGGCTTTCACGCCGGCCTCCTCTTCACAAATTCCTCCAAATCCGCCCTCGTCGCAACCCCCAACACAAACCGTCTTCCCGCATCCGTAATAACCGCAAAATCCTGCTTCTGCCCACCTGTCTCGCGGCCCTCAAAAAACGCCTCCAGCTCCTCCAACGGCGTCTCCATCGTAATAACCTTGTACTTAGCCCCGCGACGACGGAACCTGATCATGGCGGCGCGCACCTCGTCCTCAGGCCGCACGCGCCCGGCTTGGAGCAGCGCTTGCAGGTGCGGGATGGAGAGGTAGCCGAGCAGTGCGCGCGTCGAGCTGTCGGTGATGGTGAGGTGGGTGTAGTCGCGCTCGAAGGCGGATTGCAGGGCGGTGGAGATGGTGTCGGAGGGGGTGAGGGAGAGGGCCGCGGGGGGGTCGAGGTCTTCGACTGTGGCCTGTGATACAGGGAGTTAGGTTTGCCATAACGAGGCTGCGAGGTGTGTGTAGGTTGACGTACCCCGCGATACCTCGATGCCCACTTGGAAACAAAGGGCTCGGAGGAGCTGGGCTCGTGTTGAGGCTGTTGCGCTACTACGCTGGTCATTGTGGGCGTTTGTTAAGCTGTTGCTGCCGGGTTTTTTGTGGGTTGGCGGTGTGCGGCAGAAGCTGAGTTACAGAAGACGGAAGTTTTGAGGTCATTCGGATTCGCTCTGAGGTGACTGATCTGGGCGTGGGACTGCGTCCAATCACGTGTTGTACTGGGAAAATATAGTGGGTCTCATCTTGGCGGCTTTGTATTTAGACATCGTATCAATTGAAGGACGAAACTCAAAAGAGGTTGACAGGAAAGCAATGAGGTTGACAAGTGGAAGCTGGATATGGAGTAACAATAAACTGGAACCTCTTGTTTAGGCATTGAAGAAGGGAATTGAGCCTGTCCTTTTGCCCCAGACTTCGGAACCCCTCTCATGTTGCAACCCTGAGATCACCGAAATTGGGCCTGGAAGCCCCGGTAAACTCTTTAACCTCCCCTCCAGTTTTCTCACCATAAATCAAACGACGTAACGATCTTTTGTTTATAACTGCGGTTATCAGTCTCGATAGAATCAATGGCGTTGCGGGGACTGCGGGGCCCCGGCCGCCATCAACATTCCGATAAGCGAGATAAGAATATCCTACGTCACTGATTCGGCTAGCGCTCCTCTCGGGCTTCGCACTTTTGACAACAGCGAGCTCCAAGAGCCAGCTTGGGAAGAGGCAATAAGACGACAGGGACTTGAATTCAAATGAAACAGGCACGCCCGGCATTCATTTCTGAAGCGCAACGCGAGGTACAGTAGAGAACAGAGCCTCCGGAGCTATTTCTTAACTCCGGATCGCATGGAAAAACCCGGGTGCTGAGCTCGTGTGAGATCGGGAAGGAGTTTGCTGTGCCATACTATCTGGACTTATCGGGCTCTCGGGCTCGCCCTTGATGGAATGCTGCTGCCCTCCACAGCCGCCCTGCTCCCCCAATCGGGCCGCTCGATGAGTGAGCTCCCGAGCAGGATTCCATGGATCGGAACACAAGACCCGGACAGTGCCTGGGTAGTGTAGACGCCATAGATTGGGAGGGCTTACCTAATACCTATGTTGGTTGGATCTTGGAGGCGGGAGGAACCTGTTTCACCACTTCCCCTCAGATCGATCGCGCAACTCTGCTCCTTCCCACTGTTTGTATCTTTTTTCTCTCGCTTCCTTCTGTCCACCAACCATTGGTTGTGATTCGACCTCCGTTTGGAGCGCGTAGACGAGTGTTATCAATCTGTAAGTATAGTCCTGGCTGGCTAGTGTGCTGATATCGCGTGAATGGCTTCATTGGCTGGTAATCCCTCACGAGCCGCCGTTAGGCACTTCACGATCTCAATTGGCTTTTTGCTGCTAGCGCATTCACACTATGGCAATTGCGCGAGAACGGGTGGCCGAGCTAACACGGTCAATTCGTAAGTCTAGCTTCACGACACCGGAACCAAGATGACGCTGTTCCCTAATTACGAGACAATCCAACATACGTTCGGCAGCCCATATGCCCGCGCGGGCAAGCTGCAAAGCAACGGGCCCACGCCGCGCCAGGCCCGTCTAGAACTGTACCCGGCATACTCGGTGGTCGACGATGCAAAGAATAAGGCGCAAAAACTGAGCGCCGAGGCGGCCCGGGAGTTTGAGGTAGCCAGCAAAAAAGCGCAAGAAAAGACGGGCCAGATCCCGCTTTACTCCGGGAAGTACTATGCCGCCTGCACATTTGGCGGGATGATGGCATGTGTAAGTGAGCCCGGAACACCAACAACATGGCAACGGACCTCTGCCGTAAGTCAAGTCAAGGACCAAATCACTCACATGTGCGCAGGGTCTCACCCACGCAGCCGTCACCCCCCTCGATCTCGTCAAGACACGCCGGCAAGTCGACTCGAAGCTGTACACGAGCAACTTCCAGGCCTGGGGCAAGATCTTCCGCGGCGAGGGCGTGCGCGGCATCTTCACGGGCTGGAGCCCGACCTTGTTCGGCTACTCGGCGCAGGGCGCGTTCAAGTACGGGTGGTATGAGTACTTCAAGAAGACGTACTCGGACTTGGCAGGCCCCGAGGCCGCGTACAAGTACAAGACGGCGCTCTACCTGTCGGCGTCGGCATCGGCTGAATTCCTCGCCGACATCGCGCTGTGCCCCTTCGAGGCCGTCAAGGTGCGCATGCAGGGCACGATCCCGGCGCAGTACACCGGCACGCTGGACGGGTTTAGCAAAATCACGGCGGCCGAAGGGCTCGGCGGGCTGTACAAGGGCCTCTACCCGCTGTGGGGCCGGCAGATCCCCTACACGATGATGAAGTTTGCGTCGTTCGAGACCATCGTCGAGATGATCTACGAGCGGCTGCCGGGCAGCAAGAGCGACTACAGCAAGGCGTCGCAGACGGGCGTGTCGTTTGTGGGTGGCTACTTGGCCGGTATCCTGTGCGCCATCGTGTCGCACCCGGCGGACGTGATGGTCAGCAAGCTGAACACGTACCGCAAGGCCGGCGAGGGCTTTGGCACGGTCACGTCCAGGATATATGCGGACATTGGTTTCCGCGGGTTGTGGAACGGCCTGCCGGTCCGTATCGTCATGATTGGTACCCTGACTGGTCTGCAGTGGATGATCTACGTGAGTTTGGCCTTTGGGGGTTATCTGTAAATGATGTTGGATATGACTGACTAACCATGCTTGCACCACAGGACTACTTCAAGATCTTTATGGGTCTCCCCACGACCGGTGGCGCGCCGCCCCCGGAGACGAAGAAGCAGTAAATGCGGCGGGAAACATTGGGCAGGGGTTAATGGCGGATCGCGGGTTGGAGTTTGAGATCGGGAGTTAGAGCAAGCGAGGGAGAGCTTGGTGTGATATGATGTGTGTGTAGATGTTCTTGTCCGTATCGTCCGGGTGAATAGGAGTCGGAACGGTTTCGGGTGCTGCATTGTTTTTTTGCCTGCCGGTGTGCTTGAGTTGAGATCCTAGGACTGGTGTCCTAAAATTGGTGACGACGGTTTCGCTTCCACTCAGAGACGCGTACCAGGGGTAGGCGACGTCCTTATCGTCGTTTTACCTTCCAGGTTAGTAGCTGACGTCGTCTGCTGTGTATGTAACTGGAGGCCTCTGGTTTTCAACCCCGCGAACCCCCACCATGTTGATGCTATGTTTGGATTTTTTATGGGAGTTGTGTGGTGAGTTGGAGTTTCGTTGGTAAGGTGCCGACGCGCGTCGCAGCAGGGCTTAGATTTACAGTGTGATAATGTACCTTATTGGCACTGTATATCATCCCCAACCCAGATTTGATACGCATATTCTAGCGTTACAACCGCCTTGTGGTTGGGTTTAATACAGTGCGAAGTAAAGCCCATGGTACTGTATTCGAGATTCAAGGGGTCCAATCTTCTCCTTGGAACTTGGTCGAAGAACCGCTGCAAAGATCCTGGGAAACGCTAAACATAGCCACAACTTGCTGTTGTTATTCGAAAAGCAAACTCGTCGCTCCCACCATACAACGGAGCCCAATGGACCGGGCATGAGGTGCTCCATAGGTAGCGGAACGACGACGACGATCCGGCGGAGCAGGAACCGGCATGGGTCTTGAAGACCCGGCCCCGCTCTCCGCATTAAGCTGCGCTACGGCGGTCCTTGAGGGAGGGCGGTCCAAAAACATTGGGGAGCGAAGGTTTTGGTGAGTGCTGTGTATTGTCAAATGCATTGTGAATTGTATTGCTAGTTATATTTTGAATCTGACGAAAATAAAACTGTCAAGTTGTGTTTTATATCAAAGGGAATGGGTGCTGAAGTAGTTTTATGCTGTGGTTTAAGGAACGTAAATCTTGACATGACCCCGCGTTTCCAACCAACGCAGTTAGGCGCCACCGTACTGCACGCATTGCGCAGTCCCGCCCGTTTCCGCGTTAACCACATAGCATGTAATCCAATCCACTGGAAGCTTGATTCCTTCAGCCGCAGCTCGCATTCAGGATTGGTGGTAGGTACGCCAATGACGAGTTCACATGGGAATATCTGACTCTTTGTGTGCCTTGCAACCTGGCGCGGATACAAATTAGGTCTGCGTCTTGCCGCTGTCTTTGATTTTCTAAGCTCAAGCTCTAAGCTTTCTTACTTTACTCGCTTCGTATTTCGCTTTTTGCTTTTTGCTTCTCGTTGGTAGTACCGCCTAGGTTACCTATTGGAGGTGTTACGGACCCAGCTTTCGATACCCAATCGCTGGTTGGGCTTGGGGGGTAAACGGCTTTGGCTTGTTCCCGCCCGCATCGAGTAGGAAGCTGGCCGAGCTGCGTCATACCCAGGCCACAAGAGGAGTGTTGCACAAGATTCGCACAAAACCAAGGTATGGAGGTTTCTTTGCCGGCGTTCATTCTTTCTGATTGCGATGCCATTCTGATTCTTTTAAGGCAGTTTAAGTCACTTTAACAGCTTGCGTCCACGATACCGAGTAACTCTTAGTGGTCCTGCCAATTCATCCCCTGTCATCGTCATCACCAGGACCTACTTTGCCCCTCATTTGGAGTTTGCGTGATGGAGAACTGAGCTTTGCGCATCGCCGAGTCTACGAAATAGCTACCTCCACATATCGCCAAGATATCCCGCTACCTCAACATTTCCACGGGGTTATCGAAACGCGAAACCCGGTTCGATTGCTAGAAATTTTCTACAATGACCGACGACAAACTGCGCCGGAGGCTTACCGGCCGGGCGCGCGAGGGGCGAACCAACGCGGTGCCGATGAGCGAGGAGGAGCTCCAGGACGAGGAGCTGGACGTGGCGCCGCCGGCGTACGGCGAGCACCATGACCAGCTGCAGTTTTCGCAGGCGGGGTTTAACGCCGACGCGGCCGTGACGAGTGCGTTTGCTCCTTCTCCTGCTCTTCCTGTGCTTCGACGCTAGCATATTTCGTACTAACATAACAATGTCTAGCCGAGGGCCGGGTTCACATCCACATCAACGAAAAGAACCACCGACTCTCCGAGCTCCTCGCACCCACCCTACAACGCCAACAACAACAACTCCACACCGAGCCCGCCAGCGGCCCGCTGCCCCCGGCCTACATCCCACCGAGCCTAGGCGGCCAGCCAGGCCAGACCCCCCCACCGAAACTCAACGTAGTCATCCAAATCGTAGGCTCACGCGGCGACGTGCAGCCGTTCGTCGCCCTCGGCCAGGTCCTCCGCGACACCTACGGCCATCGGGTACGGATCGCAACGCACGCGACATTCCGCAAGTTCGTGGAGGACAACGGGCTGGAGTTCTTCAACATCGGCGGCGACCCGGCACAGCTGATGGCGTTCATGGTGAAGAACCCCGGGTTGATGCCCGGGTTGGACACGCTCAAGAGCGGGGATATCAAGAGGCGGCGACAGGAGATTCAGGAGATTTTGATGGGGTGCTGGAGATCGTGTATTGAGGCTGGGGATGGCATGGGGGTGGCGCCGCCGCAGCATAAGAAGGATGAGCCGGTTGATGAGCGGTTCGTGTTGCCTGGTGCGCCCGGGGTAAGGCCGTTTGTGGCGGACGCGATTATTGCAAATCCGCCGAGTTTTGCGCATATTCATGTGGCGGAGAAGTTGGGGATTCCGCTGCATATGATGTTTACGTGAGTTCTAAACTGGTTTTAAGACATACATCTCACAGCAACAGCAAGGCTAACGCAGACAGAATGCCCTGGACACCGACCCGTGCCTTCCCACACCCCCTCGCCGACGTGGTGGCAGCCAACACAGACGCGGCCATCACCAACTACGTCTCATACGCACTCGTCGAGATGATGACCTGGCAAGGGTTAGGCGACGTGATCAACCGGTTCCGGGTGAGCGTCCTAGAGCTAGAATACATCTCGCTGCTGTGGGCTCCGGGCTTGCTCAACCGGTTGCGCATCCCGGCGACATACTGTTGGTCTCCCGCGCTGACTCCGAAACCCGCCGACTGGACCCCCGAGATCACCGTGTCGGGCTTCTTCTTCCTCAACCTCGAGTCGAACTACACGCCGGAGCCCGACCTGGCCGCGTTCCTCGCTGCGGGACCGCCGCCGGTGTACATCGGCTTTGGGTCGATCGTGGTCGACGACCCGGATGGGTTGACGCAGACTATCTTTGACGCCGTCATCCGGTCGGGCGTGCGAGCCATTGTGTCTAAGGGCTGGGGCGGGTTCGGCAGTGCCGGGGGTGATATACCGGAAGGGGTGTTCATGCTGGGCAACTGCCCGCACGACTGGCTGTTCAAGCGCGTGTCGGCGGTGGTGCACCACGGCGGGGCAGGCACAACAGCCGCGGGGATCCTGGCCGGACGGGCGACCATCGTCGTGCCTTTCTTCGGCGACCAGATCTTCTGGGGCTCGATGGTGGCCAAGGCCGGGGCCGGACCGGCACCCATCCCGTACAAGAAGCTCACCGCGGACAACCTCGCGGAAGCGATCCAGTACGCGCTGCTGCCGGAGACACAAGCGCGCGCGGCCGAGCTGGGCGGGCGTATCCAGCAAGAACAGGGCGCGGATGTTGGGGGGAAGAGCTTCCACCAGTTCCTCAACACCGACATGATGCGGTGCTCGCTGGCGCCGAGCCGGGTGGCCGTGTGGCGGGTGCGGCGGTCGCAGGTGCGGCTGAGCGCGTTAGCAGCTACGGTGCTGGTGCGTGAGGGGTGGCTTAAGTATTCGGATCTCAAGCTGTACCGGCCGGTTGAGTACCACACCGAGGAGCAGCCGTGGGATCCCGTGTCGGCGGTGATCTCGGCGGTGGTCGGGGATGTGGGGGCGTTGACCATGACGGTGGCGGACTTTCCGAGGGAGGTGTTTAAGAAAAGGAAGGGGAAGGAAGGGAAGGAGGAGGGGAAGGGGAAGGAGAAGGAGGAGGGTGGTAAGGGGCAGGCAGATGATACGTCGACGTTGGCGTCAACCTCGGCTTCGGCTTCGACCGTGTCGTTTCATCCGCAACGGGTCGACTCGAATTCGACGACGTCTGGGGTTCTCTCTCCATCGTCGACGCACAGCTCAACAATGCCTGAACTTGTCGGATCCCAGCCATCCCCGTCTATCGTCGACCCCAGCACGGCCCTCTCTTCTCACCCTCCCCAATCCTCCTCCTCCTCCGCCAACACGCCCTCAACCCTCTCGGGCACTCCAACTCCCCCAGCAAGCCACGCCGAACCAGGTCAAGCTCCCCCAGGTCCAGCCCCGGCCAACAACCAAAGTCCAGCTCCAGCCCAACCCGAAGACTCCTCCGCCACCGCCGAAAACATCGACATGGCGCTCGCCGCCGGCCGCGGCGTCGGCCGCATCGTCGGCGCCGGTTTCAAAGTCTACACCAACACCTGTCTCGGCCTCGCCCGCGGCTTCCGCAACGCACCCAAACTCTACAACGACGACACCGTCCGCCCCCCCGAAAAAGTCACCGGTCTCGTCAGCGGCATGCGCATCGCGGGTAAAGAACTCGGCCTGGGCCTCTACGACGGCACCTCGGGCTTGTTCACACAACCCTGGCGCGGCGCGGAAAAGGAAGGTGGCGTGGGGTTTGTCAAGGGGGTTGGGAAAGGCGTGGGTGGGTTCTTCTTCAAGAATGCGGCGGCTATTTTTGCCGTGCCGGCGTATACGATGCAGGGGATTCGGGTGGGCGTGAGGGGGTTGTTTGCGAGGAGTATGATGAATTATGTGGTTACGTCGCGGGTGGTGCAGGGGGAGGAGGATTTTGAGGCTGCGTCGGGCAGGGAGAGGGGGGATGTGTTGGTGCGCTGGGGCAGTGTGAGGGAGGAGTTGAAGGGGTTTTATTTGTTTAAGCAGAAGCAGAAGCAGAAGGGGAAGGCGGCGGAGGGGCAGGAAGAGGGAAGAGATGGCGGGGGGCCGGGGGGCGTGGAGTATCCTGAAGGGAATGGAAGTGGGCATAAGGTGGCGAGGTTGAATCTCCCGTGGACGCGTCGGCGAGCGAGCAGTGGTTCGGCTGTTTCTCCTGGCCTCGTCTCTCCCTCCCTGGCCTCGCCTTCAACAACCACGTCCTCAACGACGAACACTTCCACTTTCCGCCCAACAACTGCCAGCACCACCTCGGCATCCAGCGTCTTCTCCGCTGCTGAAGATCACGAATCCCTTGAGCGCGCCATTCAGCAGTCGGTCGCCCAGACCTCGACAGGCGACGCCGAGGAGGATGCCCGGGTTGAGGCGGCTGTGCGGGCGAGTGTGATGGAGATGCGCCGGGCTGCTGAGTTACAACCTTCACAGCAGACTGGGACTGGGGCTGGCACAGCAAGAGGGGTGGAACGGAATGCAGCTGGGTGGATTATTGATCAGAAGACGGCGCAGCCTGATGTGCCGGGGCCGGGTGCTGCTTCTACTTCCACACCTGCTGGGCACACGAATACACAAGGGCACGGGCCAGCAACAATGACAGACGAACAGTGGACCAACATCTCAGACGAAGAGTACCAAGCCCTGATCGAAGAGGCCGTCCGACAGAGTCTGCTAGTGCAGCAGCAACAGGCTGAGGAGGAGGCGCAAATGCAGCGGGATGGCCTGGCAGAGTTTGATAATGCCAAGTATCGCTTTGGGGGTCCTGCCTCGGGTTCTGGATCTGGATCTGGTTCTGGTCCTGGATCCGGCTCTGGATCTGGCTCTGCAAGTGGCCATCACCAACCTTCCGTGCCCGAACTAATGGGCGACACAACCTTCACCGCAACCCGGTATCAACAACCTCCTCCTTTACCCTCCCGCAACACGAATACCGGGACCTGGTACCCAGCCCAAGAGGAGGGTGTTCAATCACCCACACGCCCAGCCACACACGCCACACCCACATCCCCATCCGGCCAGGCAGGGGGAAACGAAGGGAGGAACGAAGAAGAAGAAGAGGACGAAGAAACCCAACAACTCCGCCTAGCCATAGCCGAATCAGCCCGCGAACACCGCACTCTCACCGAAGCCGCCGAGCGCCAGCGCACCGAAGAGGAGATTGTGCTGGAGTATGTTAAGAAGCAGAGTTTGGCGGAGGAGGAGTTTCGGAGGGCTAAGAGGGCTAGTACGCTGCCTGCATCACGTCCTGTTCCGGCTGGAGATGATGGGAATGGGGAGCATGGGGAGGGTGGAGAAGGGAATGGGAAGGGGAAGGGGGTGGATGTAAATGTGGGTGAGGGGGAAGGGGAAGGGACTGGGCAGCAGGAGGAGGAAGAGGATGAGGAGTTGAGACGGGCGATTGAGGAGAGTTTGAGGATGAGTGGTGGTGGTGATGGGGGGCCCTCGAGGGTGTGAATACATAAGGATGACTGACAATTGGGAATGAATATTAGGGGAGAGAGGTTAGAGAGGGTTGGGGGGTGGATGATAACGATGCGATGCGATGCGATGCTATGCGATGCGATGCTATGCGATGCGATGCGATGGTTTTTATGTGGTGATTGATACACGTTAAATACCCCGATATAGTACCGTGCAAGTCTGCTTGCTATTAAATCTGTTTTTTATTGGCTGTTCTACAGTTGCGAGCATAAGCAACTTCCTTCGCCGCAGGATTTCGACGAGCTATAGGCTTCTGCTCGCAAACAACACACCCGTCTCACAGAAAGTGATACGTTTGATGCAAAGCCTCGGACAGCAACACAACGACGACAGCAATCGGCATAGCTTTATCAAAACTCTCGCGCTTGGTGGATCGAAGACGGCGGAGCTCCCGCAACACCTTGACGAGTGGAGGTTGTCTCCAAGGGGCACGATCCAACGGTCAAGTACGTGCCATATATATTCCTGCTCCTTCCACTCTCATAACGGCAGCCTCGTCGCACTGCACGCCTCAACGGCCACCGAGAGAAAACATGGATAGAGCTACCCTTCGGCTCAACTTCGGATAACTTTCGGCCCTCACTTGCCGCTTGACCCCTGCTCGGGTATGTACATTGTCACACGTCTCTTGAACTGTGCGCCGTCCAGAGCCTGATCAAGTTCTGTTCCAAGTCACCCTCGCAACACCTAAACAGCCTTCGTTTTCCCTAGACGCTTGTTTACAAAGTCTTCACCGAATCCGAGCCTTCCATATTATATAGGAAGCGATATGCCACTACGAAGCTTCGAGACGCAATCCGCTGGGTCTGGGCGAAAACGCCGCGGCTCTCTCGGCCAAGGTACGGCAACCAGAAAGCGCGCAAGAAAGACCTCAGGTCGCATCCTCCCCACAGAACATGACACAGCGACTACCGCGACTACCGCGGCCGAAGACATCAACGCCAAGGTGACTCCTCACAGACTATGCGCCGTGTGCACGGCAACTATTTCCAAGTCGCACCTCCTCAACGACCGCATAGGTGAAATCAAGATGACATTCGATTCATGGGGGTGCACTGAAAGGCGGGAGCAGTTCGCCCATCAGCCCTCTCTCGAAGCTTTGAAATCCTCGGCTAGGGATGGGTGCCATTTATGCTCTCTCCTCTGCCCAATAGCCCCCGAGAGATCCCTCGACCAGGTCATTGATGACGAGCAAAAGGGGGCCGACAACGACAACGACAACGACAACGATGTCCCCGACCCAATGGAGGGCTACGGCCCCCACCCCTTGAGCGCCCTCAACGTAACGCCTCAGGTCCGTCAGGAGAGACAACGGCGACGACAGCGTCGTACGGAGCAGTTGGATCGCATAAAAGACGGCCCGTCCGTTGACATTGCGGGTGTTGCTTTGCAATTCACGTGGGGCTGTAGGGAGTGGGAGGAAAGGATCGAGGCAAAATCAGGTTCTTTTGTGTCGATCAACCTAGAGCTGGATTGGCACCTGAGCTATCCAATGGAGAGAAATGGCCGGAAGGCCTTATTCGTATACCGTACTGAGTATTTACGGTCAGGGGGTGAAAAGTGGGAAGCAAATCGGGAGGACCCCATCGATGTTGTTCATGACGCCCAGATAAGCGTGTCTACCGGATCGGACGCTTCGTTCAACCTGGCGAAACACTGGCTGGCTAAGTGCAAAAGGGAGCACGCTGTTTGTCGAAAAGCTGTACGGTCGGCCAGCAGGTTTCCTACGCGGCTGTTGGACCTAGGATCTGGGAAGAAGGACCAGACCATTCGGCTACGCGTGGGCCTTGGGAGAAAAGAATTCGTGTCTCTCAGTCACCGCTGGGGTGACTCGCAGCCATTACGCCTCCTCCAAAGCAACTTTGAGGCTTTCAAGAAGGAAATCAGGCCAGAGGATCTCCCGAAAACGTTCCGGGATGCAGTCGCGATCACGCGGGAGCTCGGGTACCAGTATCTATGGATCGACTCACTCTGCATCATTCAAGACTCCAAAGAGGATTGGATGACGGAATCGGCCATCATGGGGCAGATATACCGGTGCTCAGCGCTGAACATCTCTGCTGGGGGTGCCCAAGACAGCAGCTCAGGGTGCTTCGTCACACGAGAGCCTTTGCAACACAGAGCGTGCATCCTGACAGGCGATGCCACGGCCGGCTTTTGCGTCCCGCGGCGCTGCCCGAACGAATGGAGCAGCTCCGACGGCTCCAGCACCATATCCCGCGGCTGGGTATTTCAGGAGCGGATGCTCGCACCGCGCACCCTTCACTACAGCCGTAAGACAATCTCCTGGGAGTGCATCTGCCTCGACGCAACCGAAGGCCGGCCGGAAGGCGATACGTGGAACTGGGAGCAGGACCGACGATACCGCAGACCCAAGGAGATATTCCAAACCCTCTGCGACTTCCAACGCCCAGCCGAGGAGAACCCTACTACATTCCCTCTCGCCAACAACAAGGACGTAGAAACCTTCTACTCCGCTTGGAGCGAGCTTCTCAAGGACTACTCCCACAAGAAGCTAACGCAGGGCAGCGACAAACTCGTCGCTCTACACGGCGTAATGAGCATCGTTGCCGAGTCGACGGGACTGCGCCAGGCTGTAGGCATGTGGCTCGATTACCTCCATCTCGACCTAATATGGAGCACATGGAGCCCGGCCTCAAAGCGGCCCGAATTCTACGACCCGACCAAATACCGCGCTCCAAGCTGGAGCTGGGCCTGCGTCGACTCGGGTGTGCGGCTCGACTGTCATGACCTGCACGGCGGGCGCTACGAGAACATCCTCGGCTTGTCCATGTGGACGTCATACACGCTCACCGCGCAGTTCCGGGTCGCCGAGGTGGTTGTCTCGGCGCAGCCCAACGGGCAGGCTTCGTACGGTCACCTTGCTATCGAAGGGCGTATCAGGAAGATGGAATGGAGTGAGAACTCGGGCGTCGAAGGCTTCAAGCACAACAGGCAGGCCCGGAGCGTGTCGGACCAGTGGTCGCCCGACTTTTTGCGTGCCACATCGCTCGAGAATTGGGGGCTGCTGCTCCTGGAGGGGACCGGGACAGATACGAAGGATGTGCGGGTCGATGTCATTATGGCTCTGGATAGGGTCGAGGCTGAGGGTGGCAAAAGGTGGGTGTTTAGGAGGGCGGGCCTTGTTCAGCAGTATTACTGGAAGCGCGATACATATCCTGTTTTTCGGGATGGTAGAGAGGAGGTGAATGAGCGGATCTATCTCATTTGACCGTTGAACTACCATAAAACTCTTTCGGGTGTTTGTGTGTGGGCCTGGTTACATTTCTCGTTTGTCTTGCGACAAAGTGAAAGATACCTATTTATGCTCATGACATGGATTGTATCCGAACTTCTCAATCTGTTACAATCTCGATCATCTGGGTCTGCCACCTCAGCCTGTTGTCACCCAAACCCGTCACCGGTCTCTGTAGCCTAACCCAACCTTTGGCCCCCTTGGCCCCCAACTGTGAGAAACTCGTACATAACCAGCCGGACTTACAGCAGGCAGCTCCGCAGCCCTGACCGGATTTATGATGCAATCGCCGAATCGGGCAGTCTTGTGGTCGTGTAAACCCCGGTGATTGGTCAGCTTCACCGATTCCCCTCTTCGCTACGGCATGGTGATGATTGACTGCATGGGTCCGATGATGAGAGTCTTGGTTTTGGTCGCTTGATATTTTATTTTTGGTTGTGTTGCGTTTGTTCATCGTTCATCTTTCCCTCATGATATTCATGATATAAGAGTCAACCCCACTTACACCGTCCTAACTCATCCAATACACCTCTCACAACCAAAATCTCACAACCACAACCCCGATCAGAATCCACAAACAACACCATGACCCCCGCCCTCCTCATCCTCGGCGGCACCGGCACAGTCGGCACCCGCATCGTCGCCCAACTCTCCTCTTCCTCCTCTCACCCCCACCACATCCTCGTCGCCTCCCGTCGCGGCCAGCCCAACACCTCCAACCCAACCCACCCCCAGCCCGACCCCGCCGCCGTCGCCGGACCCAACCCCCGAGTCCACCACGTCGTCTTCGACTGGCACAACCCTGAAACCTGGTCGAACCCCTTCGAAACCCAAATCCAGGGTGGAGACGACCTGCAGGTGACAGCCGTGTATCTAATCGCCCCCGCGCCGCAGGCCGGTTCCCATGAGACGGGAAGTGGTGCACGGGTGATGGAGGAGTTTGTAGACTTTGCGCGCGGCCAAGGGGTGAGGCGGTTTGTGTTGCAGAGCGGGTCGCCGATTGAGAAGGGGGGGCCGGCGATGGGGGCGGTGCATGCGTATTTGGCGGAGTTGGAGGGTGAGGGGGTGGAGTGGGCGGTTTTGAGGCCGACTTGGTTTCAGGGTGAGTTTTTCTTTCTTTCTTTTTCTCTTGTTGTTTGGGAAAGAAAGGGGGTCTGATGGGATACAGAAAACTTCGCCGACCAGGAAATGCACCTGCGCGGTGTCCGGGACGAAAGCAAGGTCTACTCGGCCACCGGCGACGGCAAGATCCCGTGGGTGTCGGCCGACGATATTGCTGCTGTCGCTGTCCGCACGCTGACGGACGAGGTGCCGCATAACACGGACTATCTCGTTCTTGGCTCGGAGCTACTTTCCTATAGCGAGGTCAGTCCCCCATGTCCCACGTCCCACGTACCTCCGTTCTCTTGCTAACAACAACGCAACGCGTATGCGTATGCACTTTAGATCGCCGAAATCCTCACATCCGTCCTGCACCGCCAGATCGTGCACGTCGACCTGTCCGCCGCCGACCTGGGGGCACGCTTCGTCAGCTTTGGCATGGCCGAGGACTATGCCCACTTGATGACCGCGCTGGACACGGCGGTCAAGCATGGGTCGGAGGAGCGTACCGACGACTCCATCTTGGCTGTCACGGGGTCGGCGCCGAGGCGGTTCCGCGAGTTTGCTGAGTCTGTGAAGGGGGTGTGGGAGTGAGCCATGGAAAGGATGAATAAAAGGCGGGTGGGTGGTCAATGTGAAGAATGGAATTGCTGTGGGCTATGTGTTGTTGCCCCGCTCGAATAAGTCGACAATTCCCAGTCCTGAAATATGTTACTATGTATAAGGAAAGCGCGACTTACGGTGGACCGGCCGGAGCAGGTGGGTCCTCCGGCCGGGCGGGCTCCGGACAAACCCCGGACTCGACCGGGCGCTAGGCCGAGAAAGGAAATCCAAAGACGCCGCTCGCAATGGAAGTCCAAGTGGAATAATCAGCGGCTGTGGCGTCCTCTTATACACGTGTAGAAACCAACTACTTTAACACCAGACCCCCAATCTCCTCGTACAGCATGCACCACACCTCCATCCGCAAGGCCCGACCCGACCCTCTCACCCTCACCCGTCCCTGCGCACGGCAAGGACTTCATCTATCCACCAAGCCACCTCGATCTAATGTCCCATCCGTCCACCTACCTGGCATAATAAACTCGGTGCACGATCTACCCAAGATCCGTTTGATGTCCGTCTAAGCCGTCGTAACGTTACCTGCTGCGCGGCTCCAGAAGATTCTCGCGGCTCAGGCTCCGTGTGCTCCACATGCAACGGAACCAATCATTCGCTCGGATTTTCCGCCCCGGCATTCCCGAAAGGGGTTCTCAGGAACAGTTCCACTCAGGAACCGATGATGTCATTGAACATCCCACAGTAAGTCTTGGCTTGTGGGGGAAAAATGAAAAAAAGTCAGGACCAGGAACGGGAAACCAGGCACGAGAGCTGGGACGGAGGGATGGGATGGAATTTATTATCATCAATTGATGCCCGACTTTTTGGTACCTACTTTGCCACGTTTGGCTTTGTGTAAGACAGGCACGCGACACGGCACGCAGATTTCCTGTCCGCTGACACGCCTTGCAGTTAACACATGCCAATCTCACCCTTCCAACATAAAACCCATTTCCATAACTCACTCTTTTAACATCGGTACCAATTCCACATGGTCGTCTTTCGCTCACGGCCAATATCACCAATCCCAATAACCACCACCACCACCACCAACCAACAACCAACAACCAACAACCAACAACCAACAACCAACAACCAACAACCACAATGACCCTTCCACCATCATCACCCTCACCCTCCTCAACCACCTTCTCCACCACCTCTTCCTCCCCCTCCCAACCCTCCCTCCCCGCCTCCAAAAAAACCATCCCCATCAAACCCGCCCCCCCACCCCGCCGCACCCCCCGCAACCACCTCCAGCACACCCTCCCAGCCTACACAGGCCCCTACCACGTCGGGTTCCTCGAAGCCGAGCTACCGGCGCGTCAGCCACGGGCGTTTGCCCCGCATATCCGGAGGAATGGGAGGAGCGCGCTGAGGTTGGAGACGGTGCTGTTTGCGGTTTATTATCCGGCGGAGCTGGACCGGCGTGGTCCGAAGGGGGATTCTATGGGGGGTTCTAGGGGGGATCTCAGGGGGGATCTCAGGGGGGATAAAATGATGGAGGAGGAAGAGGATGGGGAACGGGGGAGAGGGAGGAGGAGTAGTGAGGAGATAGGGAGTGAGGATGGAAGATGGAAAAACAAGAGCACACGCAGAAGTGGAAGTGGAAGAGAAAGCCGGAGCACAAGCACAAACACAAACACAAGCGACGACTGGTCCGACACCACCAGCGCCATGAGCGACGAAACACAACGAAGCAAAACACCACTAAACCAGCTCCCACAACAACAACAACAACAACAACAACAACAACAACAACAACACCAACAAACCCACACAAACCCCCCCAAATACCGCCGCGTCCCCTGGCTCCCCCGCCCCCGCGCCTCCACCTGCAAAGGCTACGCCAAGTTCTTCAACGTCCCCCACTGGCCTGTGACGGCCTACATGGCAGCCACCAGCATGTTCACCAAGCTGCCGGCGTATCGTAACGCACCGCTGGCGGGGCGGTGGCCGGGTGAGAACTTACTGGGCTCTGCTGGAGATCCTGAGTTTGGGGGCAGCGAGGATGTTGAGAAGAAGGGAGGGGATGAGATGGGGGAGAGCGAGGACGAGGAGAAAGAGGACAAACGAGATCGCGTCAGGACAGGGGCTAGTGACGGCGAAGGTGACGACAACATCAATAGGAATGGCGGCCATTACGGTTACGACAGCGGCGAGACGCTCGTGGACTCGATGCCGACGGAGGGACACGGACTAAGGGAAGAAGAAGAAGCGGCAAGGGAAGCCGAGACAAGCGAAGAGGCAAGGACAAGCGAAGACGGGAATAACAACCAACCCAACGACGGAACAGGGAATAGGGACTCTGACGATGACGATGGCAATGACGAGGACAAGGACAGAATCACGGGGTCAAATGCGCACAACGACGAAAACGTACACGAAAAGGAAAGTGCAGAAACACCCCCCCACCACCAGGAGGACCGCCATCACGAGGACCACCAGTCGAAGCCCACATTCCCCGTCGCCATCTTCAGCCACGGCCTAGGCGGCTCACGCACCCTGTACAGCTCCATCTGCGGTGAACTCGCCAGCCACGGCCTGATCGTGGTAGCCGTCGAGCACCGCGACGGCAGCGGGGCCCGGACATATGTCAACACGGGTGGGCATGCGGAGGACCTCGATGGTCAGGAGCTTGATCGGGGGGGTTCTGTGAAGGACGGCATGCATGGAGAGGACGGCCTATCCGTAAACAAGAAAGCGCCCAGCAAGCCAAACGAGTCCAAGCGGAAAAGACACTACTACCGCAAGGACAGAGCCAAAAATAAGGGGGACCAGTACAAACCCTACTACAAAATCGACTACCTCTTTCCCAAAGACAACGCCCAAGATACCTCCCCCCACAACCCCATCGGCGTCGACAAGGAACTGCGCGGGGCCCAGATCGAGATGCGCCTGGCCGAAATCGAAGAAGCCTACCACGTCCTAGACCAGATCAACCGCGGGCGGGGGGAGCAGGTGCGTCAGGCCAACCGCCGTTGTCGTCCTCGTGGTCGTCCCGGTCGGCGGCAAGGGAACAGCAACAGCAACAGCAACAACCAACAAGAACAAAAACAACAAAACGTGCATGTCGGGGCCAGCTCGGCCGGACTAGAAGGCATCGACTGGGCCGACTGGACAGGGCGGATGGACCTGGCCAGCGTGACGATGATGGGCCACTCGTTTGGCGGTGCGACCACGGTGCAAGCGCTGCGGTCGACGTCGGACAGGCTCGCGTGGATCACGCAAGGCGTGCTGCTCGATCCGTGGGGTCCGGCGACGCCCGACTGCGACGGCAGTAATAGCAGTAACGGCAGCACGGTCAACAAGCCCCTCCTGTCCATCGGCAGCGAGGCGTTTATGCACTGGGCCGACAACCTGGCCTGCGTCGAGCGGGTGTGCGACGAGGCCCGCTCCGCCGGCACGCTGGCCTGGATGATGACAATCCGGGGATCGACACACCTGTCCCAAACCGACTTCGCCGTCCTTTATCCAAATTGCATGTCCTGGTTCATGAAGAATCTCGTGGATCCCGCCCGCGCCATTTCCATCACCGTCCGATCGGCACTTGAGTTCCTCGCCCTCACCCACGGCCACGCTCACGAGCACACTAGGCTGGTCCGCGCCTGGCCGACCGACCAGCTACTCGCCAGCGCCACGCCTGAGGCTGACGACATCGTGTCGACTTACCGCCCCGACGACAAGTGGGTGGCCGCCCGCCTCAAGATCCCCCATGAGTTCTCCATGCGCCTTCGGGGAATCCTCCGGAAGAAGAAGAAAGCCGCGCGGCACGGCCAGCTCGGTCAACACAACCAGCCGCAAAACGACGAGATATGGTGGCATCACTCGCCCAGTCCAGACGCGATGGAGCGCCACAGGAACAGGCACAGCAACCAGAAATCCCGGTTGCTCGACTCGGCCAGAGCCAGCCTGGAGGGTGTCATTGCCTGACGGGTTCCTGGGCTTTTCCTGGCGATCTCCGTCTGCCGGAGCTAGTTAGCAGTCAACGTTCGCTAGTGCGGCACGTCACGTCCATGTGGAGAGAGTGAGCAAGAAAAATGCAGAGCCTCCCGTGAGCTCGGGCGAGATCGGACATCGGGATTTCGTCAACGACAACAACGCTTCCAGGTCCTGTTCTGTGACTTTACTATGTATGGGCCGTTCTGCCGGCCGTCTTTGTGGGGCCGCTCCTCCTGTGAATATGGGAAAACCGCCGGCAAGGCACCGGACATGTCTTCGGATCGAGAAAAGGCGACTCCCATCCCGCACAAGCAAAACGTGGGGATGATCGGCAGTGTAGGAGGTGCGGGCCCAACAACCCAATGTCGTATTGTAGGCTTGTAGCAGCAGGTGTAAAGCGGCCGAGTTAGTGGATGGCGGGGCTATTCATCCGGCAGAACACACAAGCGGGCAGCATGACACCCGCTTGTGGTGTCTTTCCGCTTGCCGAGCGCCGGCTGAGCTCCGCCATATTAATTGACCCAAGTCCTGCCAACCTCCTCAAGAATAGAAGTTGCACGTACCATAGTATCGAGTATGATCCCCCACATGGCCCGAGTCCTTGTGTTCCTTGTCAGCATGTGTCCTCCGTATGTGCTGTAACTGTGTCTGGCCCGGCCGAACCAATCGAGTGCCTTCCTCGGGCCGTCGTGCTCGCAGCAGATGCCCACGGTGCCCAAGAATTCAACGGAAGTCCCAGGCGAGTGGAGCCAAACGGCCGGTTGAGAACCAGAACGCGTCAACCTCAATTTGTGAAGTTTTCGCGCAACGGGGCCAAACCACCACTCCCAGACCCCCGATGCTGCTGTCCACCAGATGGCAAAATCACTGGGTAATATCCCGTCTTTTTTTTCTCAGTCAGGGAAATAACTCGGGGAATAGGGCGTCTTCGGCAGCGCGTGCCAGAATTCCGAGCTGCACGTGGGATTCGACCGCTTGTATCGTAAATTAAAGACTTCCAATTCAAAACCCCTTTGCCTGCCTGGCCTCACCAAAGCAAAATTACCTTGGCAAGGGCCCACTTGGGCAACGACAACGGAGCAAACACCAAGCAGACCGCTGACTCGCCGTCACGACGATGAGAGGGTTCGACGCGTCAAAGGACAAAGGACCAAACAGCCCTTCACCGTCAAAGTCGCATGCAACCAGGCAACACGGACTTTGGTCGTTACCCCGACGTCGTATCCTTGACCAAAAGCTGAGGAATTGCGAGGCCCGGGCTGGCCAGCTGCAGGTCGAGGGATCGATCGACACGGGACCGCGCCAGAGCCCGACATTCTGGACTCGACGCTGTTATGTAGACGATGTCACACAGAAAAATGTCGGTCAGGGCTGGTCTCACCACCTAGCTAACACAAGAAGAAAAAGCCCCTATGTCAGCAGAGCGTCGTCTACCGTGGACGACGTACATGTGCCTGAGCTATTCTCAGAAAGATGCAGAAACGATGCATGCCCGGAGACGAACCATGCCGCCGAATGGTTGGTCCCAAGAGACGAAAAATGCTTCATGCTGCGTCTGGCGAATACGCCGCGCCGAGATATCGCCATCGTCCTAGTCGGGTTCTGGACTCCTCGTCCTCGCAACCCCTCGGAATCGGATCGGGGAGCTGGAGAAGGGCGCACAGGAGCCTCAGCAATGCCCGACCGGAAGCTCGGCTCGGTGCCACGTCGAACTGCCTTTTTTTTTTCTCCTTCACGAACCATTTCCCGGACTTCGGTGAAGAAAAAAGTCGGGCAGGGAGGTAGGATTCGTTGGGTGATATGCGCCGAAGATGCCGCCAGAGCTGGGCGCGACGCTCGATGAGAGTCCGCGGCGCGCGCCGGGATAGATGCGCCTGTCCCCTCGCAGACGAGCTGAAAGCAATTGAAAATCTGCACACAAGCATGTCCAGCACGCCCCGCAAGCCATTGGACAACACACACATACACAACCCCCGCGCGATCGATCTGATCACTTTCGGACACGTTCCTGAGATTTGGCGCCAGGGCGGCGTTTCCGGGTTTCTCAGACACACCAGGTACGCCGAGCTACTCGGCGCCAACGATTAGCGCAGGGCGAAGAAAAGCTTGTGCGTAAACTATAATTCGATGAGGAGGAGGACGATGTGGGAAGTTTGGAAGTGGAAGAAAGGATGCCAAGCCCCGAGCCTGGAGCAGAAGGTTCCATCCCAGCGCCTGAGCGCGGGCGGCACTGGCAGCTCTCAGGCCGGCAGGGGTTCAGCTGGTGGGGTTCATCAGGGCGGGGCGCGCGGCAAGTGTGCAGGGGGCTTTCCGATCAGAGACAACTCCTTGCTCCTTCCCGCCCTGGCCGATTTCGTCTTTTTCTGCTTGTCTGTTTTCATCTTCAACCTCAAGTCTTGGGCGGGAAGGTACCTACCGAGTACCCCCCGGTGTGCCTTCCTCCCACCAACTTTGCAGGTCAAATGGCATGATTCACTTGAACTGAGGCAAGCGTGACTCAACCAGTGAACGAGGTTGGGTCCGCTCCTTCTCTCAATGTGCTTTTCCGTGATGCCGAAAACTTTGCACCCGTTTCCATCTCTTATGGAAACACGAACAGTTTTTCCCACAACGGCCCTTTTCTTCTTTCAGCTTGAGGTTGCTTTTCGTTTTCAACATCCCGCGGGCTCCGTTTGGCCCGGTGCCACCAACGACATTTTACAGGTTTTTTTTCCTAACACGTTAGGGCTTGTCAAACTCCGACAGAATAAAATAGAAGCGCGAACACGGTTTGCACAACGCACAGCTGCAGGGCGCCGTGATCAGCGCCCCAAGAATCGCAAGAATGGTTCTCAATCCCCGGTTTTTTGACGCCGTGACTGGCTGATCGCAGCGCCAACCTCGTGTTGGCCTTGCAACTTGCGTTCCATGCTCTGCTGTCGTTCCCGGCGGACTGGCATTCCTGGTTTTTGGCGCTGTGGTTGCGCTCAAGTTTGGCGCTCAGTTTTGGCGCTCTCCAAGGTTTGTTTGCCGCGCCCGGGGCCCAGCAGCGTCTGAGAGCCACCGTTTCTCTCCCCCCTTCTTCAGACTGCAACGATGGCGCCCTGCAGGTCTCATGTGTTGTACCCTCCCCTTGGCTGTCCGTTTTAGTTTCGTTATTTCTAATTATTCTTTGCGGCGCATCTGCGGGTCTGCGTTTGCCCTCCCGTGGGTCTCGCCATCGGCGGTCCCATGATGTCCTTGCCCTTGTTGAAAGTGACCCAGGGCGGAAGGGACGCCTGCAGCTCTGAGTGAAGTCCACAAACCCACTGCAGCTTGCGCAAGTTCCCAGGTTGCGGGTCTTCTTTTCTTTTTGTTCTCGATGAACTCGCAAGGTCCGCCAGGCACGCCCCACAAATCCCACCCCCCCTTTACGGGATGTCCTCCTAGACGGAATCAGGTACTCTGGTACTCACAAAATCTGCCTTCCTTTGTAATAACAGCCGTCCGAAAGGTGCGACCTGCGAGGGAGCTCGCCACCGGATGAAGGACGGACGGAGGAGACAAGGCATTTTACCCGTAGCCCCAGACACGGTGCATTCACCCACCAGATGCGGCTACGCGCACCCGAATTTCAGACACTTGCTTCGGGAGATCAGAGTGCCCAGCCCGGGATCGAGCGCCGCCAACAAACCCCTGGGATTGGAAGGTCTCCTTGCCTTGTTCCATCACACCCCCCCCTTTCCCGCCTTCTCCCCTCTCAAACTCGCTCACTCCCTGTAAAACGGACACATGGAACGCCCACGGAAGTTGAGTGACATGGGGCAAGCTGCCATCACCGCTCAACTCCAAGGCCCCAAGTTCCCACGCAGCTCGCCCTCGGCACCGCGTTTAACCCATTGCGTACACTTACATGCGCCTACATACATACCTGGACCTTCCCCCCCTCCCCTGCCGTGGTCGCACGTACCCAATACCCATCGCCGGAGGTTTTCCTCTGCTGAGGGAGCCGCCCATTATTTACACCCTCCTTCCAGGCGCCGGTCACAGCTTTTATCGTGACAATGGACATCCTCTTTTCCCCTTACGGCGTTGGGGCTATGCCCAAGACGGCTATAGCTGAAATAGAACGGAGAACAGAGGACCTGCTTAAGGACAGCAGCTTTCAGCGTATGATTGAGCTCGAACAAAAATATAAGGTGCGTTGCTGCCCTGACCTCCTCTCACCCTTGGCTCACTTCCTTGCTTGTTGCTTGCTCATCACCAACTGTGTTTTTGTGATTGCCTACCCCGCTTAATACACACACACACATCCATGGTTCTAACATTGAAATTCGCATTCCAGCAAACGGACCGCCTACGAAGCCCGTTAGCTATTCTTCCTTCATCAGAACTTCCAGTCCAGTCTAGCAACGGTCCTCCGCCCAGACCCCAGCGCCCAGTCGATTCGATACCCCCGGAGCAGTTCCTGATGGTGAAAGCAACACGACGGGCCGCTGTGCCCCCTTCCCTTTCTCTTGCCATCCCCCCAGCCGCGAGCAACGAAAGGCGGAGCAGAGTCAACAACTGGGAACCAGAAGAGGACGACGACGAGGATGATGACGATGGTCTTGGCACGCCCACAAACACTGAGCCCTTTCAAAAGCAAGTCAAATTTGTAGCGCCCGAGGACAGCGAGGATGAAGATGCCATGTCGGAACAGTCCTCGATATGCCAGTCTCCGAGCTGGGAGGGGTACGGTCAAAGAAGAAAGGACAAGAAGTTGGAGGCTGAGCGCCGCAAGAAAGAGAAGGAGCAAGCCGAAAGGGAGGCTAGGGCCGCAAAGAAACGGAACACCGTGAGGCTCAGCAAAGCCCCGCCCGCGCCCGCAGCAACAATCCAAGATGCCAGGGCTTTGACCCTCACGCCAGCGGATCGGTCCATGTCGGATCCTCAACTTGTCAACCGGCGCATGGTGCAAAGTGTTCAGTTCCAGCGACGGCCCGAGGACGGTGGAAGGACGACGTCTGCAGACAATCTCCAGCACACGCGCTGGCATCAGCCTGCGGTGGCGGAGGTGATGACCGGGCCCAGCCCTGGTGTTTGGTACGGCGACGGCAGGCTGGACCCTTCGTCGATCCCCCGCCACTTGCTAGGTGAAAATGGGTTCTCTCCGCGACAGGAGTTGCGCAGGTCCATGTCCGACGGACCGGTGCTCCCAAACCAACACCAACCTGTCCCAGGAACTCACTTCCGACCTGAGACACAATCACCGTCCCCTTCCAGAGCATCAAGGGTGCAGCGCACGCCTCGTGCTACCGCTGGGGTCCATCATCTTTCTCAACAAGAAGCTTCCAGCAACTCTCAGGAATCGCCGTCCGGGCAATCCAGCCGCAACGGATATGTCCTCCACCAAAGAGCGCTGGCCGCACAACGAGCGATGGCCGGGTTAGCCGACGAGCAGATATTTGCTGCCAGCGCGAACCGCCATTATCCGCCTTCTTCGAGCTCCAGTTCCGGACAGAGCCAGAACGGGAGGCGCTCGTCCCTCACCCAAGATGCGGTGTCCGCAGCCATGAAACTAGTGGGAATCAAGACGCCCACTGGCCGGGAGAGCATCGACCAGGGTAATCCCGAATACCTGGCTTTTAAGGCAGTTCCGTATTCTGCCAGCACGGATGCCCCGGCACCATCAAGAACTATGCCTGCATTCCCCATGCCTGCGGTTGTGGCTCCTCGGCAGCACGAACAGCCCCTCGAACGTCCTTCCACCTCTCACAGCTCTAGCAGCTCTAACGGCCCGTCCACTGCCGGTCCGGAATCTAGCAAGCACAGCAAGAAAAACAGGGGTTCCAAGGACTCTGTAAAGTCCGCTGGAAACGGAGCCAATGGCGGCGAAACCTACGCCGAGAATTCCAAGTCGTCGGTACCCCTTCCGCCGTACTTTAGGCTACGGGCTCTGATGCAGTCTCGGGCTACGGCCAAAGCGGAGAGTAAGGCATCTGCCGCTGCCGCTGCCGCTGCTGCGGCTGCGCGGGCCACTCCGGTTCCTCTTTCGGTATGTGTTTTCGCAGAATCGTATCTCTTGATTTTTAGTTTACTTGCAGTGTGAGGTACTAACCTGTATTAGGACGCACCCGTCACGACGACTGTCATATCTACTACGAGCCAGCCCAAGCCTAACGAAAATAACCCGCAAGATGGTTCGAGGGTCTCCGAAGGATCTTCCTCATCGTCTGGTTTCGGCGATGGCTCATCACATGTATCGCCGTCCACAACGCCGTCCACTTCCCGGCCGCAATCAGCAAAGGATGTTCCGGTGACGGTGAATGGGGCCAGCAAGGAAAGCCCCGTCAACCCACAACACCAAGACTTGGCCGCAAGCAGGTCGGAAACGCCACGGGCCGGTTACGAGGGGCAGAGCCGAAGCGCCGAGATGGGAACGGAGGACAAGTGGAGCAGGACGGCCTTGCCACTCGAGCTCGATTTTGATACGGATTCGTTCATGGCATCCGTCACCAACTTTGAGCAGCTCGATGGCACGGAACAGGGCAAGGAAGAAACACTTCACCCCGAGCCCCTGAGGTCGGTTCATCCTCCTACGTCTCATCCCAGATCATCCGAGCCCGGCTTTTCGATTCCCCCACGGTCCCGGAAGCGGAGCCAAAGCTCACACAACGGGCCGCCGGTTATCAACTTCTCATTGGGCGGGCATCAGAGGCACATAGCAACGGCGTCCGTGGATCGCGGCAATATGGGGACCCCGAAAGACTCGCAATGGAGTGCTCCGAATGGCCATCCGAGCCCTCCCAAGGACGAGTTCGAGGCAAACACCACGGACGGGCGAGAAACGCAATCACAGCACAAGCAAGTCAAGCCGCGTGAGCCGGATTTGCAGCCGGAAAGCAACTTCCTTGGGGATGACTACCAGACACAGACTTCCCCTGTGAACTTCCAGCAGGACTGGACTCCGGGCACAACCCCCTCAACCGGATCGGCTGCCCCCTCGGCCGGCCCCGGTTCTCCCGACGGTTTTGCTCCAGAGTTCCAGGCCCCCGGAAACCCATACTTTGCCGACTTCTCGGAATCGTTCCGGCCCAACGACACTCCCACTCCCGCTGCGCCCCCATCGCCCATTTCCCTTCCGAGCCCGCTTCACCAGATCCCGAAGCCCCCGCCTCAGACCCGGGCGAACTCTGCCCCCATGCCCTCGGCGGCGACTTCCGCCCCTTCGAGATCCTCAACCCCTGCAGCTCGGGCAAACACAACAACTCCGGTCTCCATCCTTAAGCAGCCCAGGTCATCTTCCACCGCAGCAGCGCCCTCCTCATCGGCCTCCTCCTCCGCGGCATCGGAACGGCCACCCGTTCTCTCTGCGATACCCAAACACATGCAGATTCAGGCTGGGCGGGGCCCGGCAGCTGCAACAAACCCGGTCGCGCCGGCGGGGGCGGGTATGGCGCCCATCGCTAAGATGTTTGTCCAGTGCTGCAACTGCAAGTTCTACCACGATATGCCGTCGAAGCTGTACGAGTGCATGGCCAAGCCGGACGCGGTGGTGGAGGACAAACTACTGGGGATCTCCGGAGCGATCACGACTATGGTTAAGTGCCCGTGGTGCCACCATAATATGAGCCGGGGCTGCTGTGCCGGCTACGCGGCGGTGGTGTATCTGAAGGAGAAGTTGCACTAAGAGTAAGAGGTGTGAATGATTGTGGAACCTTGAGGAAAAACATACGTTAAAACCCAAACCCAAAATCGGCGATGATTGTCAAAACCGACAGATTGAGTGTTACGTTGCGGACAGTTTTCAGCTTTCTTTTTTCTCTTCACACTTTTGGCACAAACTCGACATCGAAAATACGGCCTCTCAAAAACACGAACGGAGAGGGTCAACCGGTGGCAGAACGCTATTCTCATCTCCTTTGTCTACGAGCGGCTTTCCTATCTCCCACCGTACATTCATCTTGCATCCTGTCTCTACCTCGACCGTATTGACTAACTCCCGGCAACGGGGCTTCACTTCTTCGGCAGCGCATCATACAACAACCTTTTTCATGTTTCTTATTTATTTTTGTGTGGTTTCATTTACCGAAAGAGCATAATGGCGAGCATTTATCTGAAGTTTTACGTTATTTTTCCTTGGTTTCTTTTGTTGCAGCATTTTCTTTTGGTCCGGATACAATGAGAAATACCATAACTACAACCATCTATGTTTTTCTCTTCTCTCTTAGGTATTGATACAGTCGTTTCTGTTTTGCGGCAGAAGAGGACGCCATGTCCCTGATGGAAATGGTGTGATGTGGATGCATGATTGCATGGTAAACTCAAAATTGGATATGTAGTTGAACTTGGATGGGACATTCCTTGAGTTCGGGTAATGATCAATTGGGTGGGTGGAAAGGGTGCCGTGTAGAAAGATACCTAGGTACAAACTAGTCAATATTAAACAAACATGTTGACGTTTACCGGATTCACCAACCGGATTACATTTGAGGAGAATGATCATCGATTTGTGCTATATCTCAAGTTGACCGGCTCATCATCGTCCCAGGCGAGTAAATTATCCCTCTTACCAAACCAGTTCTCAAAAGCTCATCGACTTGTCAGACACACCCAACCTCGATTCAACACACACGCCCGGTAAAACTTACCGGATATATTAACCGTTGAATCCCCATTCCCAAGAACTTCCACCCCCCTCCCTTTCCGGCAAACCCCGCCATCATTCTGGGCAGCCTGCCGCAGCGTCATTCGGAACTCGGCTCGCTCGGCTCACGGGTAATTATGTACCCGCCCAGTGCCTGCCAGTGCCTACCAGTGCCTGCCTCCAACTACTACCGAGACGGGAAACTTGCTGATATTACAACGGGATGTGGGCGGAGATGTGGGCGGATGGGCTTTGTGTTTCCGCGCCTGCAGCGGAGGTAATCAAGGAATGAGGCCGGGGCCCCGCACTGCAGATGTAGAGTTTAGAGTGTAGAGTACCGAGTGGACATGTCATGTCAGATGCATGTCATGTGCAGACGGGGGAGGGGGGAGATGATGATGAGGGATGATGAAATCTGACGTTGAGAAATGTACGCGTGCACGGGAAGACGGGAAGAGCGGCATTTCTTTCTCCCTGGGATTCTGGGAAGGCGGACAGGCGAGACACATGGACACATAGGCAAGCAGGCATACAGTCTGACAGACAGAGACAGACGGACAGGCAAACGGACAGGCAGATAGGGTAACAGGTAGGCAGACAGAAAGACAAATAGATGGGCTAATAGATAGACTGACAGAAAGACAAAAGGATGGATAAACAAAATAGAGAAGACAGATAGAAACAAAGATTGACAGACGGACAGACAAGACCTAAGCAGATAGACAGAGAGATAGATGTCCAGATAGATATAGCAAGACGAATGGAAAGACAAATACACAGACAACCAGACAGCCAGACAGACAAATACGGAGGTAAACTAATAGGTAGATAGATAAGCCAACAGCGGGAAACCAAATTGTACAGCGGGAGGAATAGAACATGGAGAAACGAGAACAACAGGGGGGCATAATTATTAAGGAGGGAGATGATATACATTAAGGTTTTCTTTTCCTTCTTTTACTTCGAGGGTCCACCCCTCTCCCCTACATGGCAACTTTGCCTTACCGGCATTTGGGTGGATGGCACAGCGTTACCTTTCTCAACGGTCGTCTTGGACACCTCGAGGACACTAACATAACGTTATGTTGTTCCTCTTTTTGTGGTGCATTGTTTAGTCATTATACAGAGATAGAGCCCGTGTCTGAGACCAATAGCTGCAGCTGTAGTGACATGAACTCGGCAATCAATAGCTATGCTGAAATGATTGAACAACTTATGAACAAGATTGAAAGTTAGGAGATTCGTCTCATTGTACAGAGACACGTTGTGGCCAAAATAGCGGGAGCCAAGTCCCTGGTCTGCCGCTTTTTTTTCGGCCGCAGCGAGAGAGGGTGTCAGTATCTCTCTAACCATTAACCCCTAAGTAAAGTCCCTAGCTAACTGTTCCTCAAAGGAACCCGATTATCGCTTGTTCCCCCGCCGCCGCCGCTAAAACGCAAACCTCTTCTACTCAACGATGGTACATGATGTACGCAATCGCTACTAGACAAACTCCTATCACCAAGCTCATGGTCGTCCAAACCAGCAAGTCAAGAAGTTTCTGTCCTGTATTCATTGTAACCACCCCACAGTCACGTTCCCCGTGTACCATGTGTCGTACACTGTATACATCCACTAATCACATCACATCCGAAATTAGCCTCGACTTTGTAATTATCATACAAGTACCACCTACCTGCAATGTATTTCGGTGTCGAGGCGATGGGCTTCGTGGGGCCCGTTGGTCGTCCGAGGCCACCTCACAAGGTGCCATAATCCCTCACGACGACCGAGCCGTGGGGAGGAGGGGGGTTTCTCGGAGGCGACGGAGTCTCGAGAAGAAGTGTCGGCCTGAGGGCTGCCAACCCAGGGGACTGGCCTGGGGGGTAGGTCGTTCAGTTCTCTATTTCATCACAATAGATGAGTCATTATACAACGCGGACATGTTGAGGAATTTGTTTACATCTCGTCCGTCATGATTGTTATCGATAATTATCAAGAGAACGTTTGGGCTAACGAATGACGAGTAACGACGGATATTGAAATGAGTTGAGAAAAGAATAAGCGGTGGTAACTGTGGTATTGAACGTAACCGATGTGTGTGATTCGACGTGCTCCAAACTACTCGTTGGTGATATTTGTCGTCAACAAGGCGTCCTTACTATGGTCATAGTCGTAGTCGCTGGTATACTTGTAGTCACTGCTATAGCTGTAGTCGCTATCCTCATTGTCCAAGTCCAGCAAGGTGATAGTCGACCCGGACAAAGGCAACAACGAAGGGCCGAGGATGCATAGGAGGACAAGTTGGCCCACCCATCGCGAGGGCGTGTACCCCATCGCGAGGTCTTAGGGGTCGACAAGTGAACTCAGAAAACAAATATCGAAGTCGTTAGCGATGTTCGTGGTAAACAAGGAGGACAAGTTGGCTCATCGTAAGGTTTTATAAGTCAACAGGTGGATCCTGCAACCTCGTCCTCGGACGTCACACCTGCATCAACAACTGAAGCCCTCCTTATTTAAGGCAAGCGCAGTCCGTGGTTTCTGCGTTATCTTCCCCCTTCCCCTTCCGTCTTTCCCAATCGCAACTCAACTTGATCACCATCTTGCCATCACCTACCCTTCTTACTTCTCGGCTCTCAACAATAACAACACCGCCGTCTCCACCGCCGCCTCCCCCATACATGTACTCCGTGACGGATCGCTGCTATTACAATCCCTCACCTGAGCAATCACGCGACGTAGGTGACGTTTATCTCATATTTATCCAGATGACTTATCAAGCCGAGGCTAACATTGTATTTGATTTGCTTAGTGGGCGATAACATTCTACGAAGAATGGCACGACGGGCAAAACTGGCACACAATATGGGCTGAGAATTATACACAACGTCTGTACAGGTTCATCCACATCATCACGATGGTCGTGATTTTGGGGTGGTTGGATTAGCGGTGTTGTATATTATTCATACCTCTCCAGCGAGATGATTTTCTTTCTTTCATAACAATTAATGTGGATTTGTGTCTCTTCATCTGCCCTCTACCAAAGCGCTCTCGTGCTCTTCGTCTGCCCAGGCCGAGCGCCCGGTTCCACCACCCGTCGAGCACCAGCCGACCGGATACTCCACGCCATTCCTCGCACCTTTTTCCGTTGCGATCATTCTCTCCCACTGCGAGCATCCGTTGCAGTGTAAAGAGCATATGCCCCCACTTTAGTCTCTGGTCCAGCAAGTTAGTTCGTTGGATCTTCTGTTATGGCTTGTCTCTCCAAGCTTCGCCGTCCCGCCATTTCCATCTCCATTTACATGACGGTCTCCCGATATGGGATAGAAGAAGAAGAAGCCGGCGGAAGCCCGTGATCTTCCTGTCTTGTTCCCTCGTGCCCCTCTAGCTCATTACATCAAGGTGACAAACAAGGAGCTTGGGCGATGAAGATGATCAGATAAGCGAAGCTTCCGCCAAGGCACGTGGTGATAAGGCCGATCCTGATGGCAGCGTAGCACTCGGCTTTAAACGGGGTGGCGTCCGCCTTTGTCGGCGACAGGACCGGAGTCCCCACTTTTGTGCCGACCAGGGTTGGTCGAGAATCTTCTTTTTTCGATGACGCTGAGGAAGTTTGGCGAACCACACCCTCCTCCGATTCGCGCAGGTTGGTTGAACTTGTGATTTTTTTCTTCTTTTCTTCTCTTCCTCGCCTGTGAGAATACCGCCTTTCGACGATCGACGGGATTTCCGAGTTACAAACTTAGGACGACCAATTAAATTCCGATTGGGCCATTTCTGCGAATTCTCGCGCAAACGAATTGTACGAAACGGTCGTCGAATTCTGCAACACCTACCTGGCCTGCGATAACCGGCGATAGACGTACGCAAGCGTGGATTTGAATTGCGGCAGATACGACTGAGAGAGGCGTTGCCTCAGCAGCCAGCCCGGCTCTGCTTTCTCTTTTTTGTTGGGATCGCCAGGCCGTGAGACAAAAGCTGCAGTGGCATAGGGATTCTACGACAAGAGCGAGATATAGATGGCTTCGTTTTCGGGGAGCGGGCATGCGCACAGCGCGGGTCAGAATCATGACATAATAGCCAACCACCACCACCATGACACACCGGGCGACCTTCCCCCCGAGCCGGTTGAGATCACGGCCGTCCAAAAGATGATCTCGGCTACGTCGGGGAGTTTGTTGACGGGGTTGCTAGGTAGGTTCCCGATATTACTCTCTACCTTTATCCCCGCCAGCGCAAGACTGACTCATTGGGACCCCCGTATAGCAACGCCGCTCGACGTTGTGCGCGTCCGCTGGCAGGCCCAGGGCGTCACTCAACCGCCAGCCGCCGACTTCACCAAGCTCGCCTTGCCAACAACGCTCACACCAAATGGCGCCGCCTTCCGCCCCTCCAACCTCGGCGTGACCGCCTGCTGCCGCGAGGTCTTTTTCAGCAACAACACATCCGAGGCCTGCGTCGTCGGCCCCCGCCCTTCAACTTCCGCTATCACTGCGAACACCCCCGCGCAATCGACAGCCTCCCAAATAGCCTGCGCCGTCGAGCAAACCCAACAACGCACCTTCACCTCCACCTTCGACGGCCTCCGCAAAATCGCCCGCAACGAAGGCCTCCCCACCCTCTGGCGCGGCCTCTCCCCCACCCTGGTAATGGCCATCCCAGCCAACATCATCTACTTCACAGGCTACGAATGGCTGCGCTTCAACCGCACCCACTCCCCCATCGCCAAGTCCGTGCCCGACGACTACGCCCCGCTCGTAGCCGGGTCCACCGCCCGCGTCCTAGCCGCCACCGCCGTATCCCCCATCGAACTCTTCCGCACCCGTCTGCAAGCCGTCCAAGGCGGCAACCACCTCGCCGCCACGGTACGCGGCGTCAAGGACATGGTGGCAGTCCACGGCTACCGCGCGCTCTGGCGCGGCCTGACGCTGACCCTCTGGCGTGACGTGCCATTCTCGGGCATGTACTGGTGGGGGTATGAGACGATCCGGGGGCGGCTGACTGACGCGCGGGAACGGGCACGCGGCCGCGGGATGGAATTGGATTTGGAAAAGGAACAGCTTGATCGGGCGGGAGCGCGCGAGGCCCGAGCCCGTCGCCGCTCGCGCAGCCGGGGGCATGAGAACCATGCCGACACTTTTACTGACAGCTTCATTGCTGGTGCTGCGTCGGGCGGGTTCGCTAGTATTGTTACTATGCCTTTTGACGTGGGCAAGACTCGTACCCAGGTCTTTCGCGATGCCAACTCCACCACCACCACCTCAACCACTTCAACAACATCATCATCACCAGCATCAACCCTAAAATCAACAGCCCCCGAAGAAGGCAACATGGCCCGTCTACTCTGGCACATCTTCCGCACCGAGGGCCTGTCGGGGCTGTTTAGGGGTTGTGTGCCGCGCACGTTGCGGGTGGCGCCGGCGTGTGCGATCATGATTAGCAGTTACGAGGTGGGGAAGCGCGTGTTTCGCGGGGTGAATGAGAGGGCGTTGGTGGAGAGGGAGAGAGTTGAGATGGAGAAGGGGGTGTAGATGGATGGATGGGATGTCCTTTTTTTTTTCTTGCTTTCTTCCTTTTCCTTGTTCTGTTACATCTTCAAGGCGTTTGTTTATTGGAAGCATAAGTAGGCGTTGCTTTTACATCTCCATTTCCTCGCTTTTCAATTTCGGGAAGCCGGCAAGGCGTCAGTCAGTTAGCTACTTTTTCGGCTTTCTCTTAGGCGTTCTTTTGGGCGTTCGTGTTCCACTGTCTTAATACCTCAGCTCAAATCTCCGACTCAAACCAAGACGCAAAAAAGGCAAAACGGCTCATGCCAACCAACGAACCAATAAATACCATCAATACACAGGGGGAAACATCCAGAGGGAACGAAAAAGGGAAGAAAAAGGAAGAAAAAGATCGAAAGAAAGGGGTGATTCAATATCCTTTTTGCTTCTATTTAATTAGACGGGGGGCGGGCGGCCATAAGGATGAGTGGATGGGTCTGGAGCGAGCGAGCGAGTTTGACCCGGTTCAAAGAACATTTGTTAAAGTGTGTGTCTGTGTGTATTGTATCATGATGTACTGTATTGTACACTAACTCACTTGGGTGCTTAACCTACGACGGACGGCGTAATGAGAAATGTGTATCATGTTTGCCATATCACCCTCCGCTCCTACCGGTTGTTTCTGTTGTCGAACCCACCCATCAGGCACACTCACTCTCGATACGTACCATCTGTCTCTGTCTGGCCTTCTCAGCAACAATTATTATTGCCCCTCAGTAGCTGCACATCGAAATCCCCCGCTCAAGAAAATTCAGAGAGTATCTCATTGTATTGCTAGGCTGTTCCGCAAACTTTTTCTAATGGTATCACAGGCAAGAAAGTAAAGAAGCCGGAGAGAAAACGAAAAGCCCAGCCTGAGAAGGGTGTGTGTGTGTTGTGCATGTTTGTTTGCTTGTTGACGGCAACTAACAGCCAGCCAGATATCCATCCCTCCTTCACCACTTACGCCCCTCTTCCTCAGTCTCTCTCTCTCACTCTCTCTCTCCCCCTCTCAAAAGGCAACACCAGAGAATAAAGTAAACCGAAAGAGCGGCAACGCAGCACGGAAAAATGGACGAAAAAAAAACAAACAAAAAGAAGCCCAAGATATTTTGGGTTGGTATATTACGAGAGCCAATCAATAACCAGCCAAATTTGTGGCGAACTTCCCAAACTCGTCCAGAGAGAAAGATGTAGAAGGTAATTAAGAAGAAATCGAGGCGTCGAAGAGCAGCAGCGGCAAATAGTGCGCACGTTCTGCAAGATCTGGCGTGGCTCGTTCGTCCGTCTGCTCGTCGCTTGGAAGATAAAAAACGGAGGAAGCAGAAAGAAAGAAACGAAATGCCAGATCAGAGCAGTAGTTGGGAGTTGTAGATCAGCGAATTGGAAACGCAGGATAAAAAAGATATCAAAACGTCAAGCAGCATTCCACCTTGTTTTCGAGTTCGTTCTGTTTCTCCAGGGCCCCTGTTCATCCATCGGTCGAGCCATCAATCCATCGATCCATAGGCGGGGTCCAGCGCCAGGAGAGGAGAGGGGGTATATCCGCCGGGAGAGTGGTTGTTCAAATCATTATCTAGCGGCGGATAGGAGGGGGCGGTCCACGGGCATTGGGACCGTTGCCCTCGACGTTGGTCAGCTCCGCGACTCTGGCCTTGATGCGGGCTACGCGAGACTCGATTGCTAGTAGTTGATCGTTAGCCTAAGATACAATACTGTTACGGAGACTACTGTGAAACTTACTCTCTTCGCTGCTGTCATCCGTCCAGTTCGACGAGGCCCTCGCGGGCGCCGTGGCCTGGCGGTACGCAGCGCGCTCAGCCGCGTTTTTGCGGATCTGGGCCCAGCGGTCCTGGGGGTCGACAGACCGCGCAACGGGCGGCGGCGCAGAACTATCCTTCTCTTCCGCCTGGGTCTCCTGCTCCTGTTCCTGGGCCGAAGGCGAGGGAACGTGCGGGGAGTGACGAGAAATCGGAGGGGGAGCGGCGTCGTCCACATCGTCCTCAGCATCGTCCTCGGGAACGAATGCGGGCTGCTCAACAAGGGGGCCCTGGTTGAAGCGCGAAGCGTCCTCCTGTGTGGGAGCAGCCACGGGCGAAATTGGCTGGGCAGGTTTGGGAGGGGAAACCGGGGAAACCGGGGAGACGGCCTGCTGGGCAGGCACAGGCACGCGGGCCGGAACAGCCTGCGGCTTCTGTACGGCAGCGGGCTGCTCCTTGACCGGAGACTGAACCTCCGGCTCGGGAGCCTTCTGGGGCACAGCCGGAGCAGCAGCAGTAGCAGCAGCGGGCGCCGGGGAGGACTCCTCAGCAGCAAGGAACGACTTGACCTGCTCCGCAGCATTGTCCGGGAGCTTGGAGGTCCTGTTCTTGCGGCTGAACAGCTTCTTGAAACCACCACCACCGATCGCTGGCTTGGCCATGTCCTTGTGGAGCTTCTTCTGCTTCTGCGCATCACTACCCAAGCCAGGCTCGGGAGAACCCATCTGCTCGCGAGCCAGCTCGAGGCTTGCGACCTCCTTGGCTGGCGGCGGTAGGCTGCTGCTGACTTGCTCCGCCGGCTGGATATCCTTGGGAGTTTCAACTTCCTTCTCTTGGATCGGAGTCTGCGGTGTCGGGGTCTCGGTGCGCGGCAGGGCAGATGAAGACGGCTCCTTGGGAGGGAGCTCCGGGCGGCGCTCCGGCTCATCGGCCGGGGCGGCATGTCCGTTGGTGAGCGAGGTCGTGCTAATGCCGCGGCCAGCGTTCGCATCGGCAAGGTACGCGTTCTTAATCGCATCCTTGTCGTACTTGCTAGCCCACTTGGCAGCTGACGACGCCTCGTTCAAGATGCTGGGCTGAAGCGTGAGCACGCTGTTGGTCTTCTCGTTCAGCCAGTCAGTATCCTTCCGTCCCCTCCGTTCCTGAACCGGCGACGACTTCTCCTGCTCCTGCTTCTGCAGCTGCAGTGCCGCAGCCTGGATCCGGGCCTGCTGGTCCGGCCCGATGCTCGTCTTGCTGAGGCCAATGGCGGATCCCGCCTTGAGCGATCCGTTCTTGTCCAGCGCGTTTTTCCCGGTCGACTTCCTCCTGTTCAGCCCCTTGCCGCGGCGCGTCCAGCTGAAGAAGCCCTTCTTCTCCGCGATGTATGCACCCTCCTCCGGGTCGGGAGCGGCACCCTTGACGATCTCCTCCATAACCAACCACCGGCCGGCCCGGATAATCGTCTCAATCACAGCACAGCGCCCGAAGGCCGATTTGCGCTCGGGCGTCTCTTCAGGCGCCAGACTGCTCATCCACACCCACCAAAACGCATCATCGAGATCGAAGCGAACAATGCTGGCCAGCTCACCGGGCTCGAGCTGATACGCAGTCTCCAGCCTCGGCTTGTGCGACTGGGAACTCCGTTGCCGGGGGTTGTTGCCGGTGTCAATGGGCGGCAGCACCTTGTCAGGGGGGAGAAGCATGTTAGGCCCGCCACGCTCATCCACAAAGCCCGAAGAGAGGAAGTCCGCCCACGACGGGGTCGTCGGCCGTCCCAGATCGCCATTGCCAGACGCCGGCGTAGTCCTCAGCCCTTGTTGCGCGCGGCGCAGGGCTTGCGCCGGGTCATCTTCCGACTCGTCCTCTTCCAGCGCACTAGCAAACCCGATATCCTCAAACCGAGACCAGGACGCGTCGCGCAGGCTGGTCGAGTGTTTTGAGCTCGACACAGCCTGTGACTGGTTGGCCGCGGCAATGGCCCGGAGCACACGGCTGCACTCCTCCGTCAGCGCCTGGATCGGGTCCTCGTACTCGGACCACTCCTGAAGCGCCCGGTCGTCGTCGCGGTATTGGAAGTGGTTGGCTCTCCGTAGCAGGGCAAAGGGGGTCGGCGAAACGGTATCGACGATCATGGCCACCCTGTTGGTAGAGCTCTGCATGAGCGCCGGGCGCTGGGGCGGGTATTCGGTCTCCTGCAGGAGCTTCTGCAGCGACATGGGCAGCAGCGAGATGCCACCGCGGACGGGCTCGGGCGCGAGCGATCGGAGGTAGGCGAAGAACAAATGGCTCGTCGCATCAGCCGCGCTACGATCTAGTTAGTAAAGAGTGCAAACGGCGAACCCCAGCGTTGGCGTGACTTGCCTGAGCCACGACTTGTACCCGCCCTCGAATCCATTGCCGTTGTCGTTGTGCTCGAACGCCCACCAAGCGGCCATGCGTGACAGCTTGCGGCCGCCGAACCCATTGGTCTTGCTGTGCGCCGCAATCGCGGCGAGAAGATCGAAGAAATCAAAGATAATTCTCGACTTGAAGTCGCTGTCGACGCTGAGAGGAATGAAGGTCTTGAAGGAGTCGCGGGCCATGTGCGAGTCTGCACCGCTCTGTTAGCTCTGCTCCAAGCGTCCTGGCTGAATCTGCCTGCCACTTACCTTGCTCGCCGACCTTGAACAGCTCATACGAGTCCCAGCCAACAACGCCACCGGGCAATCTGCTCCAGCACCACTTGACCACGCCAGCGATAACCTGTGTTGTCCCAAAATCAGCATCTCAGCCTTCAAAAAGAGCACAAACAATCTGCCAGGAACGGCATGCAGTGCAATTGTCGCGCGAAACATACCATTGGCTCGGTCATGCGCAGCTCCTGGGCTAGAGCCTCCCCGCGGATCAATTGACCCCCATCTTTTCCGTCGAAAAAGTGTCGCACAAAAGTCCGGACGGCGCTCGGGTCGGAGGTTGGGCGGAAAGGGAGCAGTAGGAAAGGGAGATCGAGCGCTGCGGTGTTCCGTTAGCTGAGTATTCTGTGCATGTTCGCTCGCCCGATGGTGGGTGGGACAAGAGGTTCTTTACTGCAGCAGACGCGCCGCGTGGGGGAAGGGCAAAAGCGCCGCGGCGTTCTTGTGCAGAGTGGGCGCAGCAAGCGGCAGGAACCGCAGAACGCGCCGCGCTAGTCAGGGGAACATTTTTTGGGGTTTGATGCCATTACATACCCCGTGCCTTCAATTCCTCTGTGCAAAACCGAAGCAACTGCTGCACCTCATCAGGCTCGATTGTCTTGCGAGCCCACGCGTCGTCCCATCGCGGTTTTTGCGGCTGCTGGTTCGCAGCATCTTCGAGTGCCTTTTTATTTTTGGCCTTGCCGTCCCGGCCCTTGAGGCGGGAAAACAGGCTAGGCATGGTCTTGTCTTTCGTAGGCCCGTCTCGGAAATGGGCGAATACGCGGAAATAGTATGTTGGTAGGGTCCGGCGGCGGAAGTTTTGGAAGGGCGAAGAGGAATCCAGCGCGACGCCGGGTGTTGGGTTGGCCAAAGCGACGTGGAATCAATCCGCGTCGCGAGTTTGGCGGCGATGGTTGAAGAAAAGGGGTGGAGGGGGGAGGACAAGGAAATATTTTGGCTGGGTGGGAGGGTCTTGGAGCTGCTTGTTCGGGGTCCCTAACGATTGGGTCTCCGCCGTTGCACGCGGGTAGCGTTCGATTCGATGCCGGTCCGGGGCGAAACGGTGAGCCAGGGACTGGAGGGGAGTGTGCGGAGGGGGATCCCGGTCTGGGTCTGGACTTGGGATGAGTTGAGACTGGAACAAGGAGACGAGATCAAAAAAATTGGCTTCGTTGCGAGAAGATGTGGAGAGAGAATACAAACTCAAGGAATGGATAACGAAAGAGAAAGATGAATTGTGAAAAACGAATAGAAAGAAGCGTGGAGAGGAGAAGAAAGAGAATCTTCAGGGGCTCCCCATTCTCAGCCCGGTCGCGCTCCAGGAAATTACGTCGAGCCAGGCCAATTCAAAGAAGATGTCCCGCTCAGCTGGGACTAGCCGCAAAAAGATACATAGTGTCTTGGGTACCAGCCTACATTTGGATTAGGCTCTCCAATGAGCGACGGACGCACCGAATTGTTACACGCCGTCGACAGCAAGGAACGGCACATTGAACGGACTCAGCGAGCACAACGAGCACAACGACCCCCGCAACGCTGGATTAGTTTCAAGGACCCCTCGTTCGCGATGGGAGTGTTGGCGATGTTGGTCAGCTGTGATATTGTCTTCTTTCTTGATTTAATTTTAGACTTTTCTCGGGCTTGAGGTCCTGCTCAATTCCATCTCTTCGCTCTTTCCATGCCTGCCTTCGGTGTTTCTTTCTTTTTTTTCCTTCGACCCCCACCTGAGTAGGACTTACCCTCTGTGTATGGCTGTACAACGTGAGAAGGAACATCTGCAAAGGGAAGTGGCCAGCAGACCCCTCCGACCTTCCCCCGGAAGCTCGGATTGTTCTTGCCTGACCGCTGAGCGGCAGCGAAAGGTAGCCACGGGGTCGAAGATCAGGTCACTCTTGCTCTTTTCTGTGCCTAAATTCTTCAATGTCTCCGTTTTATTCTCACAGCCGGCCCCACCCGTTTCTTATTTAAATTTCTCGGCCTGCTCCGTTCAACAACAGCGGCTTTTCCCATTGCCAGGGCGGCGCAATGAAAATGGAGATTCTTTTTAGACATCTACACACTACATTCGTCCACACTGGGGAACTCGGCCGTGCCATTTCTCAACAACCCGGTAGTTACGGCATTTGGGGGTTGCACCAGGACACGCGAACCTGCAGCAGCCCCAATTTCACGAACGCCATTTCTGGATTGGGCGGGCCAGAAATATCCCCAACGTCCCCAATTCTCAACCTTGATATCAGGCGAAAGAAGAGGGCGAAAAGAGAAAATTTTAGCTCACCAGGTCATGTACATGGGACAATTCTGGATTTTGGCCAGGTTCTCAACCCTGTCCTCCGCTTTCAATGGCTGCAAATCCCCGTGACGTGCAGGCCTGCATGATCAGGTCAGTGCCAACTCATCAACCCCGCGTTGTGCACAAAACTCTAGCATCACGGCGAGGCAATAGACTGTCGCGCGATTGGCCCTCAATGCCCCCGCGAGCTGGCGTCTTTGAAGAATGCCACCCCAGAAAACCCCAGGTCTGAGCTGGCACGCCGGACACGCGACGAATTGTCCAGTCGCGACTTCCTGAACTTGAGAAAACGCGGCCCTCTGCTCGGCTTGGCCGCGGACAGAGCCAACCAGCCTTGGACGCATTGCACCGAGACACAGTGAAGTGGAGACCCCTCCCACACCGTCACGAATCCCGCTCTTCATGCACCGGCATCAAGTGTGGGTCGCTGAGGACCCTTGGCCCTGTGGATGCAAGGGACGCACAGAGCCCACCTTAATACCCCCAAACGATGAGATTGTGGTTTCGCGAGGGAAACGGCCGATTCAAACCGGGTCGTTCAAGAAAATGCACAGAAATTTCTCCCAATTTACGATAACGAGATCGCCAGCGTACAAACTCCGTCCTGTGGCACGTCCGAGTCCGTGTGAACGGTCAAGCAGGTGGTGAAAAAACGCTGTCGGTGCCCCATCGGGATGTTACAGCTTTGATGCCCAGGCCCTTGATTTCAGGCACGGCCAATCAGCGCTCGTTGTCAGGTGGGCGGCTTGCCTATCTCGGAATCTGTAACTCGATGGTCTTGTCACGCGTTTTCGTCCCTCTTTCTTTTTCTTCCTATTCTTCGTTCATTCCCTTCCGTTTCCCCCCGCCTCAGCTCGTGGGGTTTCCTTCTGTATCCTTTTGTACCCGTTCAAAGTCACCAGGCCACAACTGATAGAAAACTCCCTTGTACAAACAGCAACCACCCGGTTCCCTTTTGTCATTGATCCGGTGCAAACAACTCATCTCTTTGACAAAATTTGGTTTCTGAAACACACAACGCTCGCACCGACCTTTCAATTCAACCAACCAACCAACCACCGTCTCTCGCCATTTCGGCACAAAGTTCCCGTTGTTGCATGAGCACCACCGCAACACATGACTCGAGCGAGACGCAGCCCCTATCCTGCCGGGCCTACCCCAAAGTACTCAATGTGATTCGGACAGTTCCGGCAGATCGGTTGAGATATATCCGTTTTGCTAAAGTGGAATCGTCCGAACTGTATTTGGGACGAATATTACTGTTCATATGCAAGAAGCTGCAAAGCTCCCAGGCGAGGCTGACAGATGGCCAATTGTAGGTCAGCCGCCTCAACTGCGCGGGATTGGCTCACTGTTCCCGATGCGCAATGTCCAATCATGAGAACACTCAATCGATTCGACGCCTTGCATCGCTCCGATTCTACTGTCGGTTTGTTAAAGACCTCAATCTGCCTGCAACAGTGTAGGGTCCCGTCCAGTTGAACAAACGACGCCGTTTGCTTCGTATTTGCGCTTTGTCCGGGTGTCCACACACCGCCGGCACGCAACTCGGGCTCTCCCGAGTTCCCAGTGTTGATCTGAGAAGTATTATTGTTTGCCGTCATCGCCGGTCTTGATCGTCTGATCTACCTACCTTGCTCCCTGTTGTCAGATCAAGATGGATACACGTGTCGATAGACTTAAGAAGAAACAAAGTCCCTCAGCAATCGGATCATCCCAACCGCAAACCCATCCATGTGATGGATCTGAGCAATGCCATCCCCGATTCATGATCGATGTCGTGGTTCACCTCCCCGGAGGAATAAATACCCCTCGATCATCCCCATCTGCCCAAGACATTGATCGCATGGCGGTGGATTATTCGAATCCACTCGGGTGTGATGCAGAGCAAAAACACATAAATTCTTACACTATAAATACACGGCCCAGGCTATGAAGCAACCTCATTTTGTGCATATGCGAGGAAGTGGCTAGCTAGCTGGCTACAAAACTAGATACTCCGCATGGATCATTCCGCATTTCCTACCCGTAGTATGGACGCAAAGAGGGAAAAGACAAGACAAGACGAAGACAAAATGACAAACCTCAAGAATAGTGATATCCTTAAGCATGAGCCGACAGACAGCTTTTATATAGGGAACTACCTATTTAACAAGACAGCTCAACAACAGTGTCAGCTTATACCTAGATCCCCCAAGGGCCTTCCTTACACGTATACCCACATAGGGAACCCCCCCGCTGCGGGTTCCCCGTTTACCCAGATACCCTACGCCTTGAGCCCCCTCCTCCTTATGACGACGATAGGAAAGTAGCAGTCAACAGTCAAGAATATAAGAAAAAAACAAGAAAGAAAAAAATGACAAGAGGGAGAACTTCATGCTTCCCGAGACTCGGGCTCAACATTCTCCTCGCCATCCGCAGCATCTGATGTCCCCGCTGCTGTCTTCTCCTCGCCTGCTTCTCCGCCCTCCCTCTCCTTTTCCTTCTGGGTATTCTCCTTATTCGTCACCGCCGTCTCTTCCACACTCACACTCTCATCCTCCTCGTCCTTCTTCTTCTCCGCTGCATGCTCGCCGCCCTTCTCTTCCTTCTCCTCCGCCTGTTTCTTCTCTACCGCCTCCAGCTGTTGTTTCTTCTCGGCCGCCTCTGCCGCAGCCACCATCATTTCTTCTAACGCAGCCTCCCTCTCGGCTTCCTCGGCTTCCTCATCAAACCCCTCTTCTTCATCAAAACTTTTCTTGACTGTCGCCTTCTGCTTCGTGGCCTTTTCTTGCTGTTCTTGCTGAAGTAACAACTTCTCCTCCTCACCCTCCTCTTGTTTCCCCTTCCCCAAAACACTCGCCCCCTCACCCCCCAAAGCCCAATCCACCCTCCCCTCCTCCCCATACCTCCCCGCCAACCACTCATTCGCCTCCTTAAAATGCCCACACGTAAAAAAACCCCTACTAGCCGACAACGGCGACGGATGCACACTCTTCAACACCAAATGCCTACCCCCATCCACCTTCAACACCCTCTTCCCCGCGGGGGTCCCCCACGCCATAAACACCACCCCTCTCGCCCGCCGCGCAGCCACGAGATCGATCACGCGCTGCGTGAAGCGTTCCCAGCCGCGGTTGGCGTGGCTGTTGGCTTCGTGGATGCGCACGGTCAGGCAGGTGTTGAGCATCAGCACGCCGCGCTCGGCCCAGGGGGTGAGCAGACCGCCGCGGTTGGGGGGCGGGGTGAAGGTGGGGAAGTCGTTTTGGAGGGCTTTGTACATGTTTTTGAGGGAGGGGGGGGCCGGGGTCGGGGGGCGGACGGAGAAGGCGAGGCCGTGGGCTTGGTTGTGGTTGTGGTAGGGGTCTTGGCCGAGGATTACGACTTTGACGGTGGAGAAGGGGGTGTGGCGGGACCTGGGGGATTTTTGTGTTAGTTCTGTTCTTAAAGGCAGAGGGGGTAGAGGAGGGGGGTAGTGAAGAAAAGACCTACCAGCTATACACGTCCTCCATAGGAGGAAACACCGTCTTCCCCGCCCCAAGTTCCCTCGCAAGAAACCGCTTCAAATCCAAAAACTCCTTGCTCACCAGCTCATCCCTTAGCAGGGCCAGCCAGCTCTCGTGCAGGGTATCGATCTCGAGCTGTAGCAGCTTGCGCTGTTCCGGATCGAGCGTCGCCGCCCACTTGTTCTTGTCAAATTTCACGGCCGGCTCAAAGACCGGCACGGGTGCGGTTGTGCCGTTCTTTCCGGGCGTGTTGGCCTTGGGACCGCCGAAGAAGGACATGATGTTGCCTTGCTTTGCCTTTTTGGCGTTGGCGGCGGCGTCGGCGGCGGCTTTGCGCTTGAGGGTGGACATGGTGTTGTTGTTGTTGTTGTTTGTTGTGAGGTGGTGGTGGTGGTGTTGTTGCGGGATGGGTGGTGGAGTCCGGTATGGGGACAATGGAAGAAGAAGAAGTCTTCTTCGTCGGAATTGACGGCTAGTGGCAGTCGTGGAGGAGAGCGGGTGTCGGGTGGGGGACGACAACAACCGTGAAATGGCGGAGGCTGAGAACTTGATGGCCACAGTCGGAGAATTGAACGAACGAACTTTGCGTTCGATTGATCTCTGTGAAATGGGTGTGTTCAGATTGACGTTACTCAAATCTTCTGCAGTTCGCAGTCGTCGAGATGAATGAGAAGAGAAAAGTGTTGCAAGCTCCCAAAGTCAACGACTCAAAAGGTGAGAGTCGGTCCAGGTATGCAAACAAAAAGAAAAAGGAGGCGAGAAAGAGCTCCAACCTGGAAGCAAACGCAGTTTTGCAGCAGCTCGCAGCTCAGACCAGGCATGACCATGCAGAGAACGCAGAAGAAAAAACAACCTTGCAACCTTGCAGCAATCCATGGAAAAACCCAGGCTGACGGACGGGGGCACGCGAGGGTCCAAGGAACGGGGAACCGCTCGGGGGAAGGAACCACTCCATTCCCAGGGTTCAGCAAAAGCGCGTTCGACGCGGTTTTTGGCGTCACCTCATTAATGGGCACGGGGTCGATGCAGGGGAGCGGGGGGCTGACCAGGCCGACCTCTGGGGGTTGTTTGACCTAATGACTGTGAAAACTTTCGTTTCTTAACCAATTCAACGCCAAAAGGTTGACTTTCACTGACCCTCCGAACCTATTACTGTAATCCTCAATTTCCAGTATCTCTCCCCCCTCAATCCCTTTCCAATTCCTCGTTAATTATCCCCGCTCAAACTCCCTTCTCCAAATGCAATCCCCAATCCCCCAATATCCAAGCGGACCAAGCTCAATCCAAGCTGAAAAAAGCGGGCCCCAGCCCCGCAACCCAGGCGAACGCGTCCAGCCCTACGCGACGTCATTGGCCCGCAGGCACGCCTTGCTGCAAGCACTTAAACGCGTGCCGAAACGACCTAAACGATCACTTCGCATGGAACCGGCAGGCAGGCACGCGCGGCGGGGAAGCTGAGGATCGCCTTGAATTTCCAAGGATTTCCTGGGATTTCTTGGGATTTACGGGGGGGGAATTTGGAATGGAGATGGACGTGATGGGGTGGAGGCTTATCCATCGAGGTCATATGATGATCTGCTAGGGCGAGAAGGAGATGGTAAACAAGGACGTTATGACTATCCCTTTTTATGCTGAATATGTGTATGCTTGCTTATATGCAACCCGTATCTACCCAAGCCAAGGAGTTCACATCGTCTCCCCGCCCATTATGTATTTTACCCCCAAACCTGAACCGAAGTAAACCTGTCCGTCCGGTATTATCATACACCACACTGCACCTTCACCTATCCGCACCCATCATCCCATATGTATTCTTATGTACTCTCACCCCCTCCAAGTCAACCACGCAAAATACCCCACCACCATCCACGCCACCCTCCACACCGTCGTCCACAACTCCCTCACCACAACACCCACCACCGACCCGCCACCACCGCCGGCTCCTCCTTTCCTCCTCTTCCCTCTCGCCTTCCACTTCCCCCCTTCCCCCCTAACAACATCATCATCCTCCTCCTCCCCCTCACTCGCAATCTCAATCCTCGGCGCCGCTCTCGCTCTCCCACCAGCACCAGCCCCAGCCCACCCCCATTTCCCAGCCGCCGACCCCTTCCCATGGCTCTTACGCCTACTATGCTGCTGATGGCCGCCAGGTGATTTTTGGTGGGTGGTCATTGACGACGGGACACTGCCTGATCCTGATCTATCACGCGCACCACCACCACCACCACTAAACCCAGCAGTGAATCCAGCAGTCCCATTCGTAGATGAAGACGACGAAAACTGCTGCTGATACCCATACCCGCGAGCCTGCGACGGCACCGCATACTCCTCATAGTCCTCCACCTTAGCCTTAAACACCGGCAGCAGCACACTCCGCCGTCGTGCCCCCCGGCCAGCACCGGCCGCCCATACCGACGGAACGGCATTGAGCAGGGCCGGGTCTAGGGCGAACGGTGTCAGGCCTAGTATCGGCACCAGCACGGCCCGGATGGCTAGCACAGCTATGGAGACAATCGCGAAGGTGACGTAGCGGAGGTAGGTGGATAGCTGGCTGGGGAGGAGACAGAGGTGTGTTTGGAGGGTTTTTGGGGGGTTTGGTGTTGGTCCCTCGGTGTTGGGGTTGAGTGAGGATAGCAACGATTCCCCCGTGGCCGGGTCGATCGGGTTATACAAGCTGACGAGCAAAAACCCGGGTTTCATCACGCCCATCGCCATACTGATACTTTTCACCGTGATCTCAGGCACCGAGGCCTGCGCCGCAGAGTGTGTCACGGCGCAGTAGTCGTGGTCGTCGCCTGAGAAGGCGTGGACGACGTTGCCGACCTGGGCTACGAGGGCCTCGGAGTCGGGCTCACGGAGCACGTTTTGGTATTGGTAGCCGGCTGAGACGGAGATGGCGTTGCGGTGGTCGGGGACGACGGGGTCGGTTTGGCCTTTGGGGGGGGTTGCCGGGGGGTATTTCTCGCGGAGAGGGCCGCAGGGTGTGCCGGGGGGTCGGTAGAGGGGGACGTGGGTGAGGAGGATGGTGGGGAGGTCGGCTGGTTTATTTTCGTTGGCTTGTCTGTCTTTGTTTTTGCCCTCCCGGTCAAACGTAGCCGTCTCGAGATCCTCAATGGCATGCTTCTGCTGCCCCCCGGGGATCTCCCCCCTTAGATACCGCAGTTCCCTTTCCACCGCCTTTGGCTTCTCCGTCTTGAGCCCGCCCAGAAACCGCTGGACAGGCTCGTAAATCTCCCTCAGATCATGCCGCTGCGCCTCCGTCGACGAGGCCGCGCTCATCGACACCGTGTCGACCGACACAAACGTGTGGTTCCCAATTACATCGATCCGGTTGCCCTCGCCAAAGTACGTCTCGAACCGGTCCCGCACCGCCACCTTGATCTGGTCGCCAAACCCGAGATCATGGTTCCCCGGCAGACTCGCCACCAGCTTCCTCCTCTTATCCCGCCCATCACCATTATTATTATTATTCCCACCCTCCTGCCCAGCACCAACCGTCTTGACCCACGGATTCAAAAAGATATCCCCAAACCTCGCATACTCCTTCAACCAGTACACCTCACCATACGACTTATGCCACTGCTTCAAATACCTCTGTTCACCCTTCGGATGCGGCCCCCAAGCGGGGTCCTCAAACTTCCCATGCGCCGTCTTCCACTCCCGTCCGCCGTCAAACAGGTCCCCCAGAAAGAACACGCTATCCGGGTCCAGCTGGCGCTGCAGCTGCCCGTACGACCGCCGCAGGTAGTTGTCGGTGATGAGCATCGTCAGCGGGTTCAGCGGCCACGGCCGGCCGGGGTACGAGTGCGGGTCGATGAGCTGCGGGTCGGCTACGAGGGCTACGCGGTGCGGGTTCGCGCCGGCGGGCTGTCATCACCTCATCGTCAGTCACCACCCACCCATAACACCACCACCGCCAGAAAACAAAAGAAAGAGAAAAAACTCACCCAATCCTCCCACCCCTCCCACCTACACCCCCCAACCCCCCATTCAAAAGCCCACCTCTCCCCCCAAACCAACATCACCACCCACAGCGCCACCAACAAATGCGGAAAGCTCACCACGCGCGCCCAGCTTAAATTCAGCCGTAACCGGTGCACCGCACGTGCCGCTGCCGCACGCACGATGAACTGCCCGCGTTCACGCCAGAAACGCACTAGCGCGCGGAGGGCGCGGAATAAAAGGGTGTGGATGTCGTCTAGGAGGGAGGTGGAGGAGGAGGGGGAGGTGGGGTGGTGGGCGTAGGAGTAGCCGTAGGAGGAGGAGGAGGAGTAGTAGGAGCTGGGGTTTTGCTTGCTGCTATATGGTCGAGCCATGGTGTTGAGGATGGCGGTACGGTGCCGCCATGCCCTGGACGCGAGGAATTGTGTCTTGCGCGTGTGCGGTTATGGTTCGACTTGGTTATATCCGTATCTTGCGTCGATTGCCAGTGGTTGTGGTTGGGGTTGGTGTCTTGAAGATCAGGGATCGCCCTTTACCCGCAGCGCGCGAGAGGGGAACCACCCAAGGCGTGTTGTCGATCAGCGAGCCGCGAAATCGAGATCGGACGCCACACAATTTCTGCTTTGATGAATTTCGGATTGTTCGTTCTGCGGCACTGCCGGTACTCAATGGTCTTGCGCGCGCTTTCGAGGCTACTTCGCGGTCGTCGGTAACTGCTTGACTGCCAAATGCAGTACACAAAAGTTAGGTTGTTGGGAATAGGGGTCGGATCGGGTGCCTAAAGAATGGAACGAGCTGGGCAATTGTCAAAAGCTCCGATTGAGGTGTCCACGGATCCGCCCGACCCGGATTGGAGGCCTGGAGAGCCGCTGGCAGGGGGTTCTCGGTCTTGGCTCAGGCGCTCCTGCCCCTGTAACCCGGCAGACTGGTACGTACCTAGTGCAGCCCCAGCACCCAGTTCAGGTCCTGTCTCTCGAACTTGTCACACGCAAACAACAAGCTCTAGGTTGTTGATTCATGAAAGATATCGAAGTTCTTTCCAAAAGACCTCGTACTCCCTACCCATAAAATAAACCACCAACCACTTCCCCCCAGCTTCAAACCCGCCCGCTCCAATACCCAGTCTCCCTCTTTGGAAGAAATCAGTCCCCGCACTGCCCAGACCCGGGCAGGCCAAGACCTGCATGAACTCCAACCTGAACTTACATGAATAACACGACACAACACTACACGCACTACACGCCCAGCTCGGCATCTCATACCCGAGCCAAGCTCCCAAGTCCCGTCCCAACCCGACGTAACAATAACCCCAGCTCCAATGAGAAAGAAACACGAGAATATTTGCCTTGTACATACATACATAGATTTGAACCACCTTTGAAATAATGTATTGCTTGGGAAAATGTGCTATTCTGGGGTCACCTTGTCGCGACAGCCTCCGAATATAACGTCAAGATTTGATCGAATGTTGACAGATTAAACTCGAGCTATCCATTTTAGTCTGCCGCTTTTCCCGGCCACAGCGGGCTGACCTATTGTTTTTGAAGCACCCAGCACCCAGCACCCAGCATCCCGGTCAGTCGTAAAGTAAACCTTCCTTAGTACTGTATGTAGTCCAGGGAATATCGACAGATAAGGCAACGAGGTATTTCGTTCTTCAAGTTCCAGCTCCAAGGCTGAATTCACATCGGGCACATATCAACGACGCCAGAAACCAGCGGCCGAACATCCCATCTCGCAAGTGAGGAAAAATCAGTAGGCGGTCATGATGATACTCAGATTCATCTGATGAGATACACAAGAACCGACGGAACCCCTTTCCAACCATTCATCCGTCATCCGTCATCCATCCATAGCCCAGAATCTCGCTGGATCATCATCTCATTGGACCAGTCATCCGTACCTCAATCATCGTAGTTCTGGAGGTAAGTACCCTTAGAACACCCAGGTAAACGTCTCCTTGACCTCAAACGGCGCACCATACCTGCAAACCACATTAGTAAACAAACTCGAAGGGGTAGGTGATGAAAAACAGGGAACATACTTGACATCCCCCGCCGAAGCCGCAACCAACGCCCTAAACGTCCCAGCCTCCGCCACCCACTTATTGACACTCGTATCAAAGTACCCAACAGCATACCGATCAATCGGAATCCGCAAATGCTTCGTCTCACCCGCCTCCAACTCCACCTTCTCGAAAGCCACCAACTCCTTCTCCGGCCTCGGCAACCGGCTCTTATCATCATGCACATACACCTGCACCGTCTCCCATCCCTTGCGGCCGCCCACATTGCTGATACCCACGATCAAGTCGATAGAGGCGCCCGGTTCGGCGCCGAGGACGCGTGCGCTGAGCGAGGGCCGGCCGTACTCGAAGGTGGTGTAGGATAGGCCGTGGCCGAAGGGGAAGAGAGGGGCGACGCCGGCGCGGTCGTAGTGCCGGTAGCCGATGTGCAGGCCTTCGCCATAGAGCACGTCGAGGTTTTCGCCGGGCCAGTTGTGGTAGGCGGGTGTGTCGGAGAGGAGGCGGGGGAAGGTGCACTAGTAGTAGGTTAGCAGCTGATCAAGTAACTGAACTATGATAGAATCATCATAGTGTAAAGCAAGGCAAAGCAGGTTCAAGTAAGAAAATGGGAAGTGCAAAACCTACCGGAAGCTTCCCGCTCGGGTTCTGCAGCCCAAAGAGCACATCGGCCAGCGCATTGCCAGCCTCCTGCCCCTGGTACCACGCCTGAATAATCGCCGGCACGCGGTCAGCCCACGGCATAGTCACAGGCGAGCCCGACTGGTTAACCACCACCGTCCTTGGGTTAGCCGCAAGCACGGCCTCAACAAGCCGATCCTGGCTACCGTCCTTGGGCAAATCCATAGTCTTGCGGTCATAACCCTCCGACTCCCACTCGGCGTCCACACCCACAACCACAACCGCCACATCCGCAGCCCGCGCGGCCTCAACCGCCTCCGCCAGATAATCGACCTGGTCCTCCGTCTTGAAACCAATACGGCAACCGCCATACTTGTGCGTCATGTTGAACTCCTTCTGCTTAGACACAGGCCGCAGCTCGTTGGTCATCTCGACGCGCAGTTCGACGGGGCGACCCGCCTGCATGGCCACATCCACCAGGTAGTCGGCCGAGCCGTCGAACATGGCCTCGCCTTCCTCGGTCCAGTCCCACAGGTCCAGCGCCAGCTTGCCGTCGAGGTATAGCTTGCCGGGCCCGACGCTCATGAACGACAGCGTGTGCGTGCCCGTCGTCGGCGGCGTCAGGTAGCTCGTCACCACGGCCGACCAGTGCGGCCCGACCTCGGTCAGGGGCGCCGAGTCCCACACGAACAGGTCTGTGTTGGGCCGTTGCTGCACCACCGCGGGAGCGCCTTCGAACTTGTCGCCCTTGAACCACTCGATCGACACGCCGCGTTTGCCGGACTTATCGGAGCAGTGCGGGGACGCTACCGGCAGCCACTTGTGGATATGGCACCCCTGGCTGAACGTCACCGGCTTCTTGGCCACCTTGCGGATGCTGTCCAGCGGGAGCGTGGTGTAGTAGGGGTTGAGGCTGGCACTGCCGCCGCCGCCCGCGATCGCCCGGTTGGCATTGGGCCCGATCACGGCCACCGTCGCCGTCTCACGGTCGATCGGCAGCACGGCCCCTTCGTTCTTGAGCAGCGTGATGCCCTGCACGCCCAGCTCGTGGATCAGCTGCCGCGTCTCCGCGCGGTTGTCCTCCCGCTCCTCGGCCTCGGGTGTCAAGTCGCTGCCCTTGGTGCGCTCAACAAGTGTCAGCACGTTCTCGGCCGCCCGGTCGACGTCCGCTTCCTCCAGTTTCCCTTCCTTAAGTGCCTCGAGGACCTTCTCAAACCGCCATTTGTCCGAGTACGGGAACTCGATGTCACAGCCTGCCTTGATAGACTCGGCCGTGGAGTTGACACCACCCCAATCCGACATGATGGTGCTGTGTAAGTATCTGGTTAGCGCTCTACTGCTCGTAATCCTCTTCAACCACCAGCCCACTAGATAAAGCTGGATGGTTGGATAGCTGGCTTACCCCTCGTATCCCCACTCGCCGCGGAGAATGTCCCGGAGAACATGCGTGTTCATGTCGGCGTGCGTCCCGTTCACCAGGTTGTACGACGACATAAGCGCCCACGGCTTAGCCTCACGCACCGCAATCTCAAACGGCCGCAGGTACAGCTCGCGCAGCGGTCGCTCGGCGATGATCGAGTTGATGGTCAACCGGTGCGTTTCCTGCTCGTTGCCCACAAAGTCTAGTGCGTGTTAATGGGTAAGAAAGACGACAGGATTTCCCTGGAGATGAGGACTAACGCTTGATGGTGGCAGCAACACCCTTCTTTTGCACACCGTTGATGTACTGCGCAGCCAGCTTGCCGCACAAGATCGGGTCCTCAGAGAACGACTCAAAGTTCCGCCCGCCCAGCGGGTGCCGGTGCATGCAGACCGTCGGGGCCAACAGCACGTCCGCCGACCTCGCCTTGACTTCATCTGCAAGGTGCAAGCCGACCTGATGCAAGAGCTCCTTGTTCCAGGTGGCAGCCAGCGAGATCCCGCAAGGGAACAGCGCAGCCTAGATATGCGAGGAGGACTGGTCAGTAAACCATACACTCACTCAATTACCACCAAGACGAAGGTAGTTGTCCATTTTCCAGGGGGGGTTGCCAGCTAAGTCAACTCACTTTCGTCCCTCCGACAAAGATACCTCCACGAGCACCGTTGGGCCCATCACTCGTCTTGATGGCCGGGACGTTCTTCTCCGGGATGCCCTTGGTTCTCCAAAAGTCTGCGGCCGTTAGCAGAGACACCTGCTCCGTGTTAGTACCATGTTCCTTCTTTGTTCTAGCCAACGGTGCGGCCCAGCTTCAGGGGCAAGCCAAAAAAAAAAAAAACTACCTTTTCCTCCAGGGTCAAGGTAGCTAGCTTGGTTTTAGCTGACCCCCGAGGATCCTTGGACGGCCCATTCTTCTGGACTGGGCTTTCCGGGGGCGAAATATCGGTATCAGGCGTGGTGTTGGTATCAACACTGCCGGCCGGCGACGCATTCGGGTTGACAGAAGCCATCACGGCGAATAGATCAAGCTTTGTGCTGGGAGCTTTTCGTGTTACAGGGCAGCTGGGTGTGTATCTAAGGAGGGTGCTGGCGGATGAGCTTGTCTGCTAATTCCGAAGGCAAGCCCTGCAAGCTGGTATGAGGGAAGGAACAAGTGATTCCTGTTCGACGTAAGGGGCGGTACTGGGAAGGTGGACACACGCAGCACAGCTGGACTGGTCCTGGGACGTCTCGTTCCGAAAACTATTAAACACCACAAGATAAGGAAAGGACTAAAGGTTTATAAGTCGACCGGCACCTCACCGCGGACCTCAGTTACCCGAACATTACCCGTGAGATGCGGAAAACGGTGACATCGAAGGTCCTTTCCGGGATGACAGCACGCCGGGCCCTGGTAAGGAAATGGGGGGGGGCGCCCCGGGGGTGGCTCCTTGAAGGGGGGGGCAAGTGGATGGCCACGGGCCACGGCCGACAACAGCCCACCACGGCCGGACTACGGCATCCACTGTGTATGTACTCTGAGGTACGGGTAAGAGTTCTAAGATAGGGAATGGTTGGCTGGCCGCAGTGCCCGCACCGTGGGAGATTAAACGGGGTGTAAATCTTGGTTAGTTAACGTTCACCAGAACCGTTCCGCCATTTCGTGGTTTCCGTCCTTGATTTCTGCTTATTGTACCAGGTGCAAATAGCCACATCGGTAGGAACGGACCGAGTGTGCGGGAACATCGTTTGGCACCTCCACACAGGTGATGGCCAGGTACTCCCCGCGATTGTTGCATAAGCAGGGATCCCGCTTCAAGGTTGGCCGTTTGAAGAGTGGGAACGAAAAGAGGCGAGCTTGGGGATCTTGGTTGCATCGCCGGCGCCAAGTGTGATGGCCCAAAGGACAGGTTGTTTCCCTTCGAGATCCGCGAAATGGCCATTGTCCCCCGCGGGTTGTTGGCCAATGCCAGGATTGCGAGGGGAGTGCGAACGCCTTCAAGTGGACATGTGCTCGTAAAAGTAAACACGGCCGTGGGGGATGAGACTCTTTGGGCAGCAATTGGCGGCCAATATGGAAGGTGGTCTCTGGTTTCTGGTCCTATTACACGTGTAGTGCACTCCCCCGATCCTGATCACTCCAACGCGAAGAGTGGCGATGATGGGAATGTCCGGGCCCAGTGTGCGCAGAAACAGAAACGGCGTCGCCGTCAGGAGCTCACTTCCCGGCCGGCTGGCTAGCCGAAAACACTTCTAGCCTCACCCCGGGACCCCTGTCGGTGCTCGGCGTAACAACCGGCTTGGCGCAAGAAGAAGGGCCTTGTTGATGGCTCACGGGACATCCAACATCTTTCATCAACAGCTCATCCAACAAATTCGCCCCCGCGGCCGGCCGCTAGCCATCGCATCTCGTCATTTTCAGGAGTTTGATACGGCGCGGGTGCGACGACAGCTTGAGCTCACCCTGACTAGATTTGCCCCGGGGCCCCCTCAACGCTGCAAGTCCATCGACGGAACCGCTTGTTTTCTCATCGCTCGCGGGATGCAGAAACCCACTTTCACGTACTGATCAACACGGCCGGACACTCGGTGGAACAGCTTTGGTGTTGAGTCGAATATGGCTCCATACTGTGTGCTGTGGATAAGCGGGAAGCCCGAATCATGAATCGAGGTTTTGCAAAAAATGGAGAGCGTGGGGAAGCCCTTAACGTGAATGTTATCGGAGTCTCCTTGGGCTGCGGGACAACGGCCCGGGTTCCTGAACATGGCTTCCCCGACGACGCGGATTGGCTGGCCAGGGGTCGGAGACGTCCTCTTTGTCGAACCTCCTGCTGAGCCTTGATTTGCGACCACCTTGCCGCCCCTCGCAGTTCGACTTCACCGCCCTGGTATGGCGTGTGGAGAGAGCGGGATGTGAAGTGCCACGCAGCGCATGTCGCAGCTGGAGTGGTTTCGCTCAACAATGTAACGCCATCCGCAGGGGCGTCTGGTGATCCATCGTCGGCCTTGCATATTGGCAAGGCTCACGTATTGAGTCCATCCCACGCAACATCCCACGTCGTCGATTGTGAGCCACGTCGTCTTGGATTTCACGAGACTTCGACCGGGAATATGGTGCAGCTGGACCCAGCTGAGAGATTCTGAGATGCAGTTTATCGTTCATTTCGAGACGTCAGCAATGCAACCTTGGGGTTCACCCCGGCAAGGGCCGGCATGAGAATCTTGAAAACCCATCTCACATCGCCAGTTCCGCGGGAATCGCGGCAACATGCATGAAAGATGGAGATCCATCTCGGAAAACCAACCTTTTCACTCGGCAAGCTCTCCACGCCGTAGCTCAACATAAATCTGTTGGACGGCCGCGTCGCGACCTTCCGGATGATCATCGGACAAACTTGACGGCTCCTGGATCCATTGCAAGGAACTGGCAGCTTCAAGCACCGCTTCCTGAGCAGGTTGAGCGGGCTTGTCGGAGAGTCGGGACCGTAAACGAGTTCAATGACCCCTGGCGGTGGGCATCGAGGGGCATTGCGTTGTTCCCAGGAAGACTGAATACACCGTGGTGCTTCACACAAGACGGCTGACATGGCGGGCGAAGATGAGAATACTGTTTCCCAGTACTATGTAGGAGTACCGTTTCCATGTAATCGCGACGAGCAAATCGGAGAATTGCTAGCGTTCATCTCCTGGTCTTTTCGCCACAATATCATTTCATCAAAACATTTCAAAAATTGGGAAATTTGTGGGGGAGCAGTTCGCACGAGGCAAGCTCTCTCGGGAAGAAACTTGAGAAGCATGAAGCCCCACACCCACACAACCACGTTTCGGCTGTGGCTTGCTTCCTTCCGATTGTTTCACGTGCTGCCTTCCCAACTTGCTCACAAAGTTCCTGCCATTTGTCTGTGACGAAGGGACAGACGCTCCTTCCAATGGATAGCGGGCACTCCCAAACCATTGTCAATCTTTGGCAAGCACCGGCAACGGTGCACATCGCCCTTTCTGGCACCCAACCCATGGTGCTTTCCTGGTTCTCAACCCCCCAGAAAAATCTCCCACCAACGACAACAGGTGAATGGGGGAATACTTTCCCATCTCCTATGCCCGTACACTAACGTTGCGTCTGGTGATCCTCTTCGGAGTCCCTTGGATGCTTGATGCATCCCGAAGCGGTCTTTAACGCGCTGCGTCTCTGGCCAGTTTTGGATGTGATGTTCTGCGTAGGGCTTGGTGAAGTCGCATTCCGGATGTGTCCTGCATTCCGCTGCTGCTTGACGCCGGTTGAGGGGGTGTCCTTCTCTCACTCGCCCCCCTGCTACCAGAGAAGGAGTTTCTGGGGAATGTAACCCCCAGGAGAGCCTCACTTGGTCACATGGACCCGAAGAGCACACCCAGACACCCCAATGGAGCGACACCTCCCGCCCTGGAGGGTCTCTCGGCTCGGGCGGTGAACCCTCACGGCTGCTGTTCATCCTTTCCCATGCATACCGTCGATCGATCGAGGGGTACAGACATTCCCTCCGCGGCGTTTTTAGGATACCGAGGGTTTTGTCCGTTATGCACAAACTCGACAATATCTCGTCCACGGTGTAGCTTGAAAAGGTGCCCGTGGGGGTGGCTTTCTAAACTAACACCGCCACCTCACCTGTGCCTCGTCTCAATTCGCGCCTCGGCGCTTAACCAGCCACCTGGCCGCCCCTCCGGATAAGCTTCCAAGATCCCGCCCGCCGAGACCGACCTTTCCCCGCTCTGCGGCAGGATGACCGCCCCGAGAGTCAACGGCCCGGCGGCAGGGAACCGTCGGACGGTTTATCCGGACCCGGCTCACGGCCGCTACAGCGTAGCAAGTAGCTTGGCCCATGAGAAGCCCGCACAGTAGGTAAATATTTGGTAACCACGGTACCAATGCGTTCCACGCCTTAAGATCGCCACAGTGAAGTCAGGATAGCTAATAAGGTACAGTACAAGCGTCTGTGAGGGAACGGAACTTCTAGTCGTTATCTGTCAGCGCAAGTCGTTGTTCCTCGTTATTCTTTTACTTTTTTCATTCTTTGGCTGACATCTGCAACACTGCAACACCGAGGCCTTTTACCTTCCACACCATCACGACCCCCCGTGTCGGGATGGTGTGCCGGAAGCACCCCCTCCTCTGTTTCTTCTGCCGTCTACTCCTTCAGACGGACGACACCCAAGTGCCGAAGCCGCCGCTGCAGGGCGCTCGCTTAGCTGCGATTGGGTTGATTACCTGCGTCCGGAGGGCCTTTCGCGACTTTAGGCTACGCTGGGATAGCATCAGAGCGACCAAGGCACTCCCCGCACAGTCAGTGGTTTACTGGCTGTAACTTCCGACCCGGCAACTCAAGGCTTGGGGAGGGTGCCCGCTCACGAAACAGCATCCTCGCTACGATCCGTCCACCGAGGAAGGCCCTTCCGAAAGCCCATTCCGACGATATGATCTGATCCAATCAATTCGAATTGCACGCTTGTTAGCCGTATTCCATCTGGGACTGTCAGAATGAAGAATCAATCAGCCGATTCAGGTGAAGACTTAGAAAAGTTAAGGTCGGAGTTTACTTAATTATTCACGCCCTCTTAACTAGAGGGGCATGATGATGTCCTCAGCGATATCCATTGAGACCTTGGCGGGCGGGAGGATTTCAACTATTCCTAAATTTTCAGGTCATACCACCTTTTACGATGTAGGGTCCCCACAACGGGATCGTCAAGCGCCCCAGTAACAGTATCAAGATTCCGAAGCGGGCGAGCCGATGAGCACCTACAACCTGCAAGGATGGGGTTCTTTCAACCCGGAAAAACGACGGTACCAACATTGGAACTGATTAAAGAGCACTCGAGCAACCCGTTCTCTCCCTGGCTTCGAGTTGTACGAGGTACGGCTGTCCCATGCACTGAGACGGTTGAAGAGCTGCTCACCTGGGCAAGACCTACAAAATCATGAAGGTTTATAGTTTATTGACAACTCATGAATGTGCTAAAGTTGTATTAGTTACCTATGTATCGAATGAAGCGACCGCACTCAGCAATGGGGAGGTCGGCACCTCTGTTTATAGTCCTCGAGAAAATGTGAATCAGGGGCTTGAATAGGTTGAACCTAATGAGGAAAAAAGTAAACAATTAGAAAGCTACGCCAGTGGTGGTCGTCAGTCAGGGAAATTAGTGAATGGGAAAAGATTTTAGTAAGGCTAGACAGATGGCACAATTCCTAGTTTTACTTGGTAGTTTTCAAAGGGTTTAAAATGCCCCGTCAAAGAAGACAAACCTCAGAGTTTCATGGAGAATGATAACGTTCGCTCCTGAAGAAACAATGATCCTTGACCAAGCCCCACCAGACTCTCCCCATTGGCCAATCATACCCCCACCAACATTTTCAACCTCAATCCAGTTTCCGCTCAAACCCAACCCCAAACCGAGCCTCCGTCACCGGCCTCGGGACGCACCGACAACCGACGACAAAAATACAGTTACGCGGTCCTCGACCATCGCGGTGTGAATCGAGTGGGCGCCATTAATTGATCGCTCTATTTCGCAAGCCGCGCCGAGTCTAACGTACGCGCGACTCGGCTGAGAGAGAGGGAGGGGGAATAACCGAGAAGGAAAAGGGAAAAAAAAAGGACAAGAAAATCAGAAATCGAAACGATGCGCCGACACGCGCTGCGCTCCGCCGCCGGGCGTGCCGCCTCCTCCTCCCGAACCACCGCCGCTCTCCGTCTCCCCATCCACGCCACAACACCAGCCTCCTTCTCGACAAGCCCCACCGGCCGAGGCGACGGCGATGGCGACAGCAAAAACAGGGGCGCACCCCGACCCTTCGCCCAATCCGATGCTATTCAGCGTCTGTCAAGACTGAACAGTAGCGGACCCAGGGCAGGCAACATCAACAACAACAACGGGCTCGGGCAGCAGAACAGACCCGGCCCAGGCGCTCGCGTTCTGGATGCCCGCTCATTGGGCGCCGGGCGAGCGGGCGTTGTGCCCGGGACGGCGCCCAAGCCTGGCGACCGTGTGCTTAACCTGCGCAGCCTGCGAGGCGGGCTCCGCGGCCGCACGCCATTTGGGAGGGGCGGGGGTATTGGGGGGCGGTTTGCGCCAGGCGCGCAGGGGGACCAGGCGGTGCGGCCACGGTTTGGGGCGGGTCTGCGAGGAGGGCGGTTTGGGGGCATGGGTGGTCGAGGGGACCGAAGGGGTGGCTTTCGTCGTGACCGGAAGGGCGCGGGTGATAAGAAACGATCGAGAGGTCCGGAACCGCCGCTGGAAATTGATGAGGAGGCCCAGGCCTACCTCGATCAGTTGGATGTGGGCGAGGTGGTGCGGTTTGACCCGAAGGTGACGGCCGAGTCGCTGATAGGGTACGGCGCGGCCGTTGCGACGGACTCGGGCCCCGGCCAGATCGAGACGCTGCTTCGCAACATGCGGCTCATGTCGGGCGGTATGGCGTTCAACGCACATGCTGGCGTTACTACCGACTTGCACGAGGTTGCTAAGAAGGGCTGGTCGCAGACACCCGTCTTTGTGAACACCATGGAGGAGAAGGCGTGGATCCATGAGGGCAGGCCCAATATCCGCCTTGTCACGCCGAGCGCCGAGCTCAAGAAGGCGATCGTCGAGCCCGCGCTTCTTGGCAAGTATAACGCCCCCACGTTTGCTGAGGCCGGCAACGTCGCGGCCACCGTCGCCAATTACCACTCCCGCACATTTACCTACACGGACGGGGACTCGAAGAAGTTCATGGACAAGGTGCTCTCATTGCTTCCACCTAGTATGCGGGAACAGGGTGGGCCTCCTGCCCAGCCAAGGAAATGAGGGGAAAGGGGTGTGCATTGGGAGGACTCGATACATTGAACGAATCGTTTGTATTGGGGAAGGGAATGTATGATGGGATGATAGCATGACGGGCATATGGATGAGAGGATTTTGTGTCCAGATTATGTAACAACAATGAAGCTTCGGCCCCATTCACAGTTCTTTTTTGATCGTCTATTTACCTACGAGGTATCTTCTCCCGGCGTAGAACACACACAGTTCGTTTTAGGTCTCAAAAGCTCTCGGGGAATCGTCGCCGAGATATCCCCTCCTAAGCTCACATTTTTCGGTTCCCTATCCAGGCTCGGCCCGTCGTCCCTTCATCTATGAAGAGGTGGGCTGGCTGCAGCTTGCAGATAACCAAGTCTAGCTCCGCTTCGACATGATCGCTGCGACAGCCTCCTTCTCCTTATTCAGAATCACCTTCATCCGGTCATCCTGCAACTTCTGCAGCCTATCCCTCAACTTATGCAGCGTATCACTCAATACCACACGCTCCGACCGCCACCGCTTGTGCAAATCCGCCCGCTTATGGGCCTCATCCCGAATCCGCACGCGCCAGTCCTGACATATATCCTTCGCCCGCTTCGCCAGCGCATCAGCACGCTCAGGCTCAACCGTCATGGTCAGCTCAAGCGGGTTGTCCTCGCTGCGCTGCGGCTGCTGGTTGAACTCGGGCGACCGCAGCACCGCGCTGATGATGGGCTTAACAGAGGCCTCCTCAAACGCCAGGATCGACCACCGCCGTCCCGCCCCGCCCCCCAGCGGCGCCACCGTCGCGACGTCCCGGAGCGGGAATGTCTGCGCACTCTTCTTGTCCGGCTGCACGGGGATCGCCCCGATGATGTCGCCTGTGAACCGCCCGCCCGTGCGCAGTTTCTTGAGGTCCTCTAGGAAGCGCGTGTCGGCGCGGTTGAAGGCTTCATTTAGGTCGGTGAAGTCGAAGGGGTCGATTTCGATCACGGGCTCGCTTCCTTCTGAGGGGTCGGCGCCGTCGGCTGCGAGGGCCGCGTCGGCGTCTTCTTCCTCGGGTTCTTCATTGCCCTTGCTGCCTTTTTTCCGCTTTTCGGCGTGGCTTTTTTTCTTTTGGTACGAGGCCGTGTAAGAAAACGGGCGGGATAATGGTGGGCGAATCCATTGGGTGTGACGGGCGACGGCGAGGGGTCGGTTGCCAAGGTGCTGTTGAATTAAAGGTGATAGAGGTCTGACGAGACTAGGTAAAAAAAACGGCGTTAGTTTTATTTTGACCTGCGGCTCACCTTCTTTCTCGCCCATTGGCGCCCCAAAATGTAAAAAAACAGAACAAACCTTGCCGGCGCGCAGCTGGCTGCACTGTTGCGTGCTATGCTGCTAGCTGCGCGCAATGGTTTCATAGTTTATCGCGAGGGAGGTATGACGTCCCATCCAATGTTCCCATGACGACCAAAATTGGGAATTGGGAAGCTTTCACGATTTGCTGGAATCCGACTAAAGTCAAACGGTCCAATCAGTGGACGTTGGCCGACCAGTACACCTCCCTTCACAGTCACCTGTAGTCCATTTCAGGCCAATTATTCTAAGCATGGCTGTGTGGCCCAGTGGTTAAGGCATCTGCTTTACAGGGATTACAGTATCGCAGAGGATCGCAGGTTCGAGCCCTGCCACGGTCATTATTTTGCTGTTAGAACAATGACCTTTTTGTACTGCTAGAGACGGCGTTGGACCGAGGTGGCTCGGGTAGGCAGGGAGTTTGATGCCTAATGGGTCGTGGACAGTGATGAGAAACGCCGATCATGTTTTGAAACGGTCGTCTGCTGTACTTCGCTAACACATGTCTTTCACAGCGGGAGAAGCAAAACAAACTGATGAGATATTGGTTAATTTGTTTGGCTCTGGCATATTCGCTAACTAGTTAAATGGACCTCCCGTTTCCCCTTCACTTGCCAGAATGCCCCCCTGCCTGCTTAGCCCCCCGTAACCCCCCCCTTGACCCAAACCGACTGGGAAAGATCACCGTCCCCTATTGTCACCGAATAAGTAGACATGCCGTTGTCCGCCCACTGCGGCTAGCCAGCGCTTGGAAAGGAATACCGAGACAAAACAACCCGTAGCAACCATGACGGGAGCTCAATGAATATGGCAACTGCTCCCATCAACAGAGTTCCTGACAACCCTCGTAGCCCTGTGTGCGCCAGCCTAGACATTAAAAAAGCATCACACCCTCGCGTGACCGGATTTGACACCCACAATTCCTCATATCTCCCTCCCCTCCAATCCCATAACAGCCATTTTTCCATAGTTCTGTTGACAGCTATAATTGTGTTTCAACATCGTTCGCGCGAACAACAAGTGGCTGAGTTTCCAGATTTGGCGCCTCCCAGCACAAGAATCCCGCGTCGCGTTTCTTTGTTGGGCATCCCATCCCACAGAGGAATACCATCCCACAGAGGAATACCATCCCACAGGGGCATAGCACCACAAGACGATTCAGACAGCACCGACAAGTTTTCGTCCTACCCCGTGAAGTCTGGAATTGCCCGTGGCAACACCTAATTGACCTGGTCTCCACAGATCAAACACTTGACGGGCTCAATCCAAGTCTTTTCACCGCCCACAATACCATCTCGCAAATCCCGGAACTCGATCGTTGGCGGGCCAATGTCCGTTGTTATCAGCTTCGCCTCAAACAGACCCTCCCAAGGCCGTGCGCCCTCGCCATTCGCCTCGGCGCCCTTCTTTCGTGGCCGTCCCGGCTTACGCCCTGGTCCCAAAGCCCCAGCGCTAGCCTTATTTTGTGTAGATGTGCCGGGTGTGTTTTCGGTTGCCGCCCGCTGTTGATCGGCAGTTCTCACAGGGAGAGAGTCTTCGGGGGCGGCGGGGGCATCCTCGTCGTCGGTCTGCCTAGCTTCGACGGTATCGGTCGCCCCGACGTGAACGGCGTCTGACGGCGCGGCTTCGGATTTGACGTCGATGGATTGCTCGGCCGAACCTTCGGCGCCAGTTTCAGAAGGGCTCAGTGGCCGTTTGCCCTCGTCCCCGTCTTCCTCCTTTTTCGGCGTTACTGCTGGTACGTGTGGCTTGTCGGTGCCCAGTCGTTTGTATGTGGCTCGGAGCCCGTCGTCGAGGACGCATTGTTCATGCATCCACTTCCGGCATGCGTCCGAGGTGCAACCTATTAACATCTTGTCGGGATTCCCAGGCGTATTGCAGCTACAAACGAGCTCGACAGACTGCAAAACAAGCGGTCAGTAGGAGCAATGATACTAAGGGTTCTGGAGTGGTCAATCGCGTACCGATAGCTCGTAAGTCCGGACATCAAATGCCTGCCTCCAGTACAGTGCATTCTGGATTTCCTCATCATTTTCTTCATACCACTGCTTCACTTGCGCCTGCGATGTGACGCTCACGACATTGATGATATCCACTGCGACCTTGTCAGTCCTAGAACACCGCTGTTTGGTTCGGGATTATATCTTACTGTGATTTGATGCGATCAACTCATTCAGGCCGTGATACGGCTGGCGGCCCTGGATTGTCTTCTTGCCGTCGTGTGTTCCTTGTGGGAGCTCGTCCGGCCAGTACATCCAGTACACTCGCGCGTAAACGTGGTGTTCGTCACTTGCGCGGATCTCCAGGATGCGGGCGACCCAGTCGTCGTCCGACTTCTTCCTAGGATGCATCGGTTCGTTGTTGTTGACCGCTTTTTGACGTTCGATACTGGAGTCATTGGCGACGTAGATAAAGCCTTCACTAAAGTACTTAATCCCATTGACTGCGCAACAAGGCAAGGTGTTTTGTTAGTCGGAGATGGGACGAGAGCTAGCGCAAAACAATAAGATGCGACGGATCGAACTTACGGACAAAACTATTATATCTCGTCATGTCGGTCCACCTCTTGAGTGGATCTACTTGATAATGGAGATCCATTGTTTCGTGTGTCTTGAACTTCCCGGAAGGCGCAAAGGGGGACATCTGCAAACTGTTGCGCTGGCCGGCCGAGTCCTCCTCATCGCCATTCTCTGTGCGCCTACGCTTTTTCTTCTTTTGGTCCCGGTCCCTCGACTCGACAATCTTGACTGAGAAGGGGCATTCAGCCCGGTTGTCCTCGGGCTCGGCCCTGGGCCTCTTACGCGCAGACGCCATCGCGGGAGAGTGTTGCGACAACCGCGCCTGGATGAATAACTGACAAGCGGACGGCTGGGGTCAATCGTCGTCGGAGTCGCAGGCGCCAAATTCAATGGACCAAGAATTGGAAATGAGCGCGCGATGTACAAATGCGCGGGTGTGTGGAAGCGCAGATGGGGTTTAGGGACGGTTCGTGGAGCTTCGTCAGCTCGCGAAGGAGGTACAGTACGGGTACCACTGCGGGCGCGTGTGTAGTCGCTGCGCTACTGCGGTGGCTGGGAAAACCCGCCGAAGGAAAGAGCTTTCGCCGTGCTGGTTAGCTGTGTCGCTGATTGCCCCGAAGCCGGACGGGGGGAACGAAAGTCGACGCAACCTTCGGGCGACGTCGTTGGTGAGGACAACACTGGCGTCAATGCGGTTGGCGGTTGGCGGTTTGGTCCAAATGAAGATGACAGCAAAATTTCCGACTCGCGTCTGCGACAACCGCCCCAGAAAAACAACTGCCCAGCCACCACGTGATCCTGGAGAGGGGAATGCAGGATGAACAGCCCGGATGGGAAAGTCGAGTGGCTGGGCCAGCTCAGGCCCAGAGGCCTTGGCGTCCGCCAAGACCTTCCCCGAACCGGGGTGTCACGGATGTTTCGCAGAGAGCCCTTCGCACTGTGACCAAAAAAAGCGGCAGATCAAGTCCCCGGATGTTCCACTTTTCTACAAAAGGGAAAGAAGACAAACAAGAATACATAGTAACTTACCTTACTACCTACACTAAATCAAGTCATCGGTGGCTTTTAAAAAAAAAGAGAGAGACAAAAAATAATAAATTAGGCCATCTCTGGTTTATAATCGTCAAAATCCTTCAAGATCCGATCGAATGTTGACAGATTGGATTCAAGCTATCTATTTTCTTTTGGCAACAGCGAGCTCATCACCTTTTTGTGACATCCCAAGCGGACAAACAACTACATTACCTATCACCCACTTTTTCACCGAGGCAATGTATTACCTACACCTCTGGAGCGCTCGGGACGAAACAGCTTGCACACGCTAACTAACTGGGGGCCGTTTGCAAATGTCAAGCGAATATTGGACCCTTGTTTACATTTACATGCCTGGATTTCATGACGAAGCTTCCTGTCAACGTAATTCTCTGTAATTACCCTACGGATTACCTCCCCATCCTAAAATGCCCAATAACAGTTCACAATCTGTGACTTCATGAAGTGAAAACAGTTATAGACAACGATACCACGATACAACGAACGCCGTCGCTATGCATCCCAAAGCCCAAAGTAAACCAAGTAAACGAAAACCCAATCAAGAACAACATCAACCCCAATCTCTCATGCCGCGCCCTTCAACGACCCGCCCGTCTCCATCAACGATCCGTCTCTTCGTCATAGGCATCCAAGATCGCCCTACTCTCCTCATCGCTATCCCTCTCCGCATTGCGCTGCCCAACTTTAAACCCCTCAATAACCTCCGCCAACTTCTCCCCCTCGCTCCGGCCCCTCTCCACATCAATCCACCAGATCAGCGGCGCAGGCAAACCAACCAAGGCCGCCAAAAACCAAAACGCGGGACGAATTTCTCCATACGCATCAATGATGGCACCGACAATCGCCGGGCCAAACACGCTGGACCCCTTGTCGGTGATAGCGTACAGGGCATAAAAGGCCGCCTCGGATCCGGGCGGGATCAGCTCGCCGTACAGCGAACGACAATATCCACTTAGGCCGCCGAGGACGAAGCCGTAAACGGCGGCAAGGGGATACATTTCCCAGGGCTGCTGAAGACCGAACACGCCCCAATTTTTCACGAACGGCAGGTAGCCTAACAGGCCGTAGATCGGAATGATCTCGAACAAAGCGATACAGGCTAAGATGGTGTGGTGGGCCTTTAGTTGAAAACGGCGTGAAATCCAAGACCATGAAAAGGCCCCAGTGATGCCGGCGGCTGTAGAGATGACGTTGATCATGCCCAGGGCCCAAGGCTCCATGTGCAGCTGGGTCTTGGCGAAAAGGATGGCGGTGGACGAAGTGGTAGCGATGGCGTCCGAAAGGAGGAACCAGCCACCGAGGAAGAGGATGATGTCAACGAGGCGGCGGGCGAGCTGGATGGTGCGGAAAAGAGATTTCCAGGCGTAGAGGGTGTATGATATGAAGGCGCGGATGCTGGTCTCGCGGGACGAGGCCGGGAGCGGCGGACCAGGCCGGGGACGCAACCACATCGCGGCCGGGATAGTAAAAACGGCCCACCAGGCGCCGATGACGAAGAGGACAACCCGCTGGGACCAGGTGGTGTTTTTCATCTGGATGAGGATGAAGATGGCCACGCACTGCAGGAACAGCCCGGCAATATACCCGATACCGATACCCTTGGCGGAAATTTGCGTGGACAGACTGAGTTCGTGAGAAGTCAAATCCTCCCGCGTCTTCACCCGCACCAACTCTGGCCCCTCCTCCAGCTCAGTTTCTCTGGACAACAATGCCGCGGTTGAGTCAATCATCCCTGGCTCGGCCTCAAAATCTGTGTCATCCTCGGCGACGATGGCGGCCTCGTGGTGGGTGAATTCGGGGTGATGACGGACGAGTAGCGGTAGAAACGAATTCAGGAGCACGAAGGATGCGCCGAACGACGTGTTGGAGATGATGGCAAGAAGCGCGCCGAATATGTAGAGGTTCTTAGCGACAAATATGTAGAGCATGACTGCTGCGCTGCCGATCCAGGCGAAGGCGAGTAGGAGCTTCTTGCGGTAGTTGCCGTGATCCGCTGCGCAGCTGATACTGACAACCAACAGGGCCTGTATCAAAACGCTTACGCTAAATGTGTACATGGCGAAGCTTGCCGTGTTAATCTCCAAGCCAAGGACGTAGACGACGCATTGTCCGCCGTCGTCCCCAATCCTCTCCGAGCTGGATCCGCATGGCGTTGTTCGGTCGGAGAGTAGCACGCCATTCTCCCTGGCCAAGCTTTCCAGAAGGATCGGTATGAAGGAACCTGCGCGCCGTTAGTGCTATGTTTAAAGGGGCAGTTGAAGCGAAAGTCGAGGGCAAAGATGATGCTCGGGAGCTGCAATTGAGTGCGTTGACATACCGATTCCTGTATCACCAAACTGTCAGCTTTTATGCCCAAACGCATTGTTCCACACCAGTCTTCAAAAGGCCAACTAACCGCAGATAACATAGACCTCAGCAGCAAAGGAATAGGCATACCAGCCGGCGAGCTCCTTGCGACTGGTAGGGCGGGTATCATCACCAGGATAACGAGGCGGTGGGCCAACACCAAAGGCGCTGCTCGCGGTTCCCGTTCCCGTTTCGGTCCCAAAGCTGGCGCTGCTACGCCTACTCTGGTTGCGACTCATGATGGCGGCAAAATCGTCGTCAGCGGCTAGCGAGCCGATGCTAGATCGCTCGTCGTCGGCTTCAAAGGACGAGGAATGTGACAGGAACGAGCGCTTGGACATCTGTGAGATCCGGGAAAAGAGGCTCGGACGCGGCGCGCCAGGCGGACGTCGCTCGTCACCCGAATCGTTCCAGGGCGCCATCGCGCCCAACAGTCCCCCCGAGCCCCAGGTGCAGGTGGCGCTAGTTAGCGGCAGGCACCCGCTGCAGCGGAGTGCAACCCCCAAGAGGCAGCGCACGGATCAGCCGACCACCCGGAACGTCACCGCTGCAGTTCCACCTGACAGGCCGTGCGCCTTCCAAACAAACCAAACGCTCCGCTTCCCGCTCCGCTCTTTCCAGGCTGACGGGAGCTTCACCAAGGGTTAAAATCCACTTCCCGGCTCTGGTCCGATCTTTCGGGGATGGAATTCTTGTGAAATCGCACTCGGACGACAGAACTCGCTATCGTGAAGTGGCCACGGACCAGTAGGTAAATTCGATGTGAATATGCCGGGAACCAGGGGGAGTTTTTCTTTCCGTTGCAGGTGGCGGCCGCGGCGGACTCATGCTCTCTTTCAGTGATTCGATTCTCTGGGCTGGATCGGGCAATTTTTGTTGGCTCCCACACTGGTGGTGAGGGTTGTCGACGCGAGGGATGTCCGGAGGATGTCCAGGTTCTAGCACACCACCACCCACCGAGACGGCGCCCGACGTCTTTTTAAAAGGGGGCAAGGGGCGGGGGGCCAAGGGATGGACTCACACACATGAACGATGAGCCACGGGGGGCCCCGATCGTGTTTCGGCAGACCTCCACCGGATGAACGGGGTTGGGTTGCTGCGAATGCGGATCTGGGGTCCAAATGTGGGTGTGTTGATCACGGGCCGCGCGATGGAGTGGATGCCGGTCACCTTCCCCGTACGAGATCTTTCGTCTGTGGCAAGATATCCTTCCCAGAAAACGGCTTTCCCCAAAAAGCCCGTACACTGGTGTGCTTGCCGCGCCAGCAGCGGCAACCACCATCACCACATGTTGAGGGCGAGGCAGTTGACACTAGTGTTGAGTATGATTGACAATCCCCCCCCCATGACAGTAACATTACAGCGCGAGCCTCTTACCATTCAAGGATAACCTGCCGAAACCGAACAACTCCTCACAACACCAAACAACTCCATGGAACGATCTCCACCCACCCAACTTCGCTGGCTTGATCCTCGCTTAGCCCAAGCACACATGCAATGCATCTGCATCCCATCCTTCTAGCTCGCGGCCAAAGATCGCGCACAAGGTGGCGATCTCAGCTGCACACTGCACGCCAGCTTGCCCATCGCAGACAGCAACAAATCCGGCACATCACTGTCGTTCCGAGGGACCCATCGTCAGGCGTTCTCCCCGGTTTTCTTGCGCGGCCGTGCCGCAGCCCGCCGATTACAGAGGGTTGCAGACGTGAACCCCAGCTCGAGCATCAACTCCTTCGTCCACTAGCCCGGAATCAGAAGAGCAAGCCCCAAACCGGATTTCTAAACTAGACCGGTCCAAACCAGGGGCAACTTCTCCCTATGAGAGTCTGAAAGAAACGACAAGGCCTCTGTTTCACTAGAGTAGTGTACGTTCGGGTTTAGAGCTACGCCGTGCTGTTATCCTCTTTCATCACCGGTTTGTGAGGAGATTTACACTAGTTAGTCGAGGATGACAAGAATCACGGTCCTTCCTTGACCTACGTTAGTGGCGTCCGGGCGATCTGTCCACCTGTCTCTCTCTGTCCCCCTTTCGGGTCTTTAAAAACACGTTTACGAGTCTCAGTTGGATGTTGAATTAAAGAAAATTGCGGGCTCGCCATTGGCGCCCGAGCCCGAGCCCTCTTCGTGTTTCTAGTGCCACCGGCATAGGGCGGCTGAAGAATGAAGATCAATGACGCGGGACAGGGGAAAAGCGGGAGAGCTCCTGTTGGGTCGCTCGAATGCCGGCTGCAACGACGGATTGAACTTGATAGCCTCTCAAATATCTCCGGTCGTGGAGTCCTTCAAAAGTGAAATAAACATAATAAAAGTAAAAAAAAAAACCAAAAGCTACTGGGTGAGAATTGAAACTCGATCACCACGGGCTGTCATTTCTGTCCGCGGATCGGTCGGTTCAATTAAGCATACGTCCCATAACGGAGTGGTATCAACAGACTGAAAAAAACACACAGAACCCCCTTCCCCCCACCAACCCAGGTCTTCACATTGACACAATCCCCCTCCGACCACACCACCGACGACGCCCTCACTAGGTAACGTTAAACACCAACTACTTCTTCCCAAACAACCCAAAAATCTTCTTCTTCAGCCTATCCGCCAACCCAACCGGCGCCTCGACGTGCCCGGCCTCGGGCTTGTGCGCGTGGTGCTCGTTGCCCGCCCCGCCGCGGCCCGTATGGTAGTCTGTCTCCGCGTCGTGGCTCGGCCGCACAGCCTCCTCCGGAACCAGGTCCTTGTCGAGCCGCGTGACTTGCTTGACGCCCGGGTCGGCGATGTTGGCGGCGCCTATTGATTTCAGGAGTTAATGGGTGTTTTTTTTTCTTTCCTTGTTTTTGGGGGTTGAGTGGTGCTTGGTTTAGGAAGGAACTTTTGAGATCATGAACTTGTGATGGTGTGGTGTTTTCAGCAGGACAGGGGGGGAGCAAGAAGAAGGCGATGCTTATCGCAGCGCAAGCCGCGGCTTGGCGTGCACCGGGAATTTTGTGGGGGACCTGGGAAGTGTGGTGGGCAATGTGACAGGGGCGGTTGCGTCGTGGGGAGATGGATGGATGCTGTGATATTTGTGCTCCCAGCCAGAAAAGTCCGTGGAGGGGGGCAATATTGGAGGTGAGGATTTGATATATGATATAGGTCGGCTGGATACCACAATCCATCCGTCGCCTATTTGAAGGTTCAAAACGGCAAGTTGGAAACTTGGTTCGTACCTCCGCGGCCTATGCTAAAGGCTCCGTCTCCATGGCTTCCCTCAGCCCCGACACGCACCACCTCTCCATCAACATATTTGGTGTCGTCGGGATTGATATTGCCGGCACCGCCGCGGCCGTGAGAAACTTCGGTAGTTGACGTCATTTTCTTGGTTCGGCGAAACACCAAATTGGCGTCCCTTTTCCGTTTAGTACGCTCGTCGGAGCTTTCAAATGTGATGTGAGTAACGTTGGTTTGAGACACGCCCAAAGGGAAAGTGGAGAGTGACGGGATTTGAGATGTCAAAGAAAAGACGGGCAAGCAGAATCGGTCAACGGCGAGCTCGGTGCGACTTATAGCCCCAGTCAAGCCACAAAATTGGAGTCAAGCCAGTCACGCAAGAAGGGTCTCCGCTTGGGCGCCTGATTGCTAGGTTTGTTTTCGATAAGTTAGACCATCGCGCATGGCAGCAAGAGCCTCTTCTCTGTTTCTGGTGGGCTTTTCCAGGATGGGAAACCTGGAAGGCTGGTTGATAACGGCACGCGAGATAACGATAAGGCAAGGCACGCCAAGGCTTGGGATGTGCAGGGACCAAGCACATGGGAATTATTCTTGCTGGAGTGATATTCTGGTATCCATGATATTCTCGAATGGCACTGGCTCCTGTCTTCCACGTGTAGAAGTCTCATGAAACTGTTCGATCCGGAAGATTAACCCTTCGTTAGCTAGTGAGGTTCTTCGAGACGATCCGAGATATTGTTGATTTGCGGGATCGCCCCACGTCCCTCAAGCACCACAGTTTGATGAGAAATCTGCGGCCTACTTTCTTCGACAACCATGGGTTTCGATAAATCATGGTTTGACTTGGATTACTACATATGTAGCCGTACGACTCCTCAACAGCCATCTTAACTTCCAACGGCTCGGTTCTTGAGGGGGACGTTTCTCATCAATCTCGCAAGCGCTCCCGACTTACATGCAACTATCCGATGATACCTGCAGGTCTTGAAGCCCCCACTCCCGACCCCTCTCGACCACTCAGCAGCACCAGACAAACGCGATTACGTACCGGATTTGCAAACAGGTATGTACATGTACCGATATGGGTATTGGCTTCCTTTGGGACAACCCAGTGCAAGCCGCAAACCATGTGCTCCTGTTCATCACAGGGACGTCCACATGGGAGCATGCTTGAAGGAGAGCAACGATCGCTGCTGAATGACGTACTTCTGAAACCCACCACACATCCGTCACTGATTGACAGGGGCAGTGCCGAGAAGCAACACTTTTTGGCCGCCAACTCGTCGCAAAGAGTTTACATGTCTGGAATTAGAATTACTGATATAACTCCGTAGAATTCCCAGTTGTTCGTTTATTGGCTGTGACCAGTTTTATCTTCATTTAGTTACACTTGAAAATAGATTTGAATCCCTCTCAAATATCCGTAGAGTTGTCAAATAGAGTTGTTTGGCAACTTCAGTCACATTTAATGATGCGACAGCTAAGCATCTCGAAACACGAGATCTCGACTTCCTTAACGGCCCAAGGAGTGTGTTGATTCTAGGCCAGTAACACTTTTACCCTAACTCCTACCATGAGTTCCCAAGTCCCGTCTCGCTAACACATCTTCGTTAGGACTAGATACTTGAGCTTGCTTAGGTACTTGCCCAAGGCGGCAGTGTGATAGCAACACCCGCTTTCATCCCAACATCATGTATAAATGTTTATAGGCCAAACAAGCTAATCCTCGCACCGTACTCATACTATGAAGCCTTTTATATCCCCTCAAAACAACCTACCCCTTCCAACACCGGGCCCCGAGTTGAATAAGTGGTGCGGTGGTTAACCGCAAGAGCTTCTTCTGGAAGCAAGAGATGTGGATCGTGCGCAAGTCGGGCTACGACTTGCGCAGAGAACTGATAACTTCAACAGGCGCTCTGTCAATCATGGGTACTGGAATTATGATATATGATCGCTGTATCCAGTGTCACCCACAAGACGTTGTCTACATCCAAGTAAATCTGGCATATGGAAGCCGGCATAGATAAGCACTCAGAGCTTAGCATCCCTAGCCGGACCAAACTCGACTTTGTTCGTGCAAGTCCCGACGTTCTCCAACTCCACCTCGACCACATCTCCGTCTTTCAGCCAGACCTGCGGGTTTCTTCCCATTCCGACGCCTTGGGGACTAGAAAAACGCAAAATGAGTTAGCAACGGCCCCACCGTCAAGCTTTAGGCAAAGTAGTCAAAACGGAAAGAAGATACTCACGTTCCCGTGAAGATGACATCCCCCGGCAACAGCGTCGTGCCCTGGCTCAAAAACGCAATCGTCTTGGCCACACTAAAGATCATATCCGCCGTCGTGCTCTCCTGCACCGTCTGCCCATTGACCCGCGTGCGAATGCCCAGCTTCTGCGGGTCTCCAACCAGCTCGCGCGAGACCAGCCCCGGACCGAACGGTGCCCAGCCGTCGAACCCTTTGCCGAGTGACCACTGCCCGCCGCCGAGCTTGAGCTGCCAGTCGCGGTGCGATACGTCGTTGCCGACGGCGTAGCCGAGCACGTAGTCGAGGGCACGCGACTCGAGCACGTCGGAGCAGTGCTTGCCGATCACGGCGACGAGCTCGCACTCGTAGTCTAGGCCGGTGTGCTGCTGGGCCATCGGGTGAACGGGAATCGGGTCCGTGGGCCCACTGAGGGAGGTGGCGGGTTTGTACTGCGTAGTGATGTTAGACGGGCCATTTGAATGTATCTGTTGCGGTGAGGGGGGAAAGACCTACGAATACCACGGGGTAATGGGGAATGGCCATTTTGGACTATTTCTGATCAGTACTGCCCCTGATTAAGACTTTCCAGAGCCTGAAGTCATGAACACAAAAATGATTAAACGTTACACACTTCTTTCGCATGGGCTGCGTAGTTCAGACCCAGGCACCGCACCGTCTTGACATCTTCCGGAGCCAAGGGGGCCAAAAGCGTCCGGATGTCAATGACCTGGTCGGTGACGTGGTGCCGGCCAAAAATATCTCCTTCAACCAGACGGGCCTGGCGAGCCTTGCTAATATCGGTCACGCCGCGGGGCAAGATGGCATCGCCATAGTAAGTGCGGCCGTCCCGGGCGAGGAAGCGGACGAGGCGCTGGGTACGAGTTAGCTTGTCTCAACAGCGCCTGTGACTTCTCGGGGAGAAAAGGGCTCAATAACGACTCACGGTAAAGGTCGTCATGATGAAGGTTATTGGGGTTTAAATTCAGTTGACACAGCTGTAAGGGAGACTTAGGACTGGCAATTGTAGTGAATCTGGTAATTTACTTTGGATAGGTGAGGTTCAGCCGATGGCGGAGATATCTCGCGGTTAACGGAAATGTATTAACGAGCGATGACTGATGCCCCTGTCACCTCTGTGGAGAACTCAATCCCCGCGCTCGCGCCCGCCCGCCCGTCCGTGAAGCTCCCGGCATTGACCAAACGGAATCCATGGGCGAGACAAGCTTCCGGGTTAATTATTCCACCAGCCATTGTCTTTAGCGCTGTGTTGCATTACCGAGATCCGTGCTCCGAGACGGGGGCCGTGTGGTTCGGCGGCGGACCCCGAGCCGGCCCGGACACCCCTGTCCTTTCGGGCTATGACGTGCCGAGGCAAGAGTGAGAGCCGTTTTTTTTCCTCCTAACAAGTTCAATTTTCCAGATTGCCTTGGATCAACAACATTGAGTGCTCGTGATAACGCTTCCACGACCAACAAAATGCGTCTATCGGGTCTTCAGAAGGAGGTTCTCTCCCTGTACCGGCAATGTCTCCGTGAATGCCGCAAAAAACCCTCAACACGGCGTGATCATTTCCAGGTGTTTGCGAGGTAAACAAACAGTTACCCCTATCAATGGTCAAGCAACTGACAACCGCAATAGGCAAGAGTTTGAAAAGAACGTCAAGATTGACAAGCGGGATTTCAGCGCTATCGAATTCTTGTTGCGAAAGGGGCGACGACAGCTCGAGATCTACTCATCTCCGGGAGTCAAGGACATCAAATAAGTAACCACGATGTGCTCCTTCCGATATGGGCTATCCTGCAGGTAGCCGCCACTAGTACCTCGTGCACTTTCATATCATGTAGCACAGAGCCAATCCCGGAGCGGACACCTGCACTTTCCTTCACCGGACCTAGATGTTGTGGAAGGTGCTATTCAGCTCCACCTTGCCAGGAGCCAAGGTCGACCCTCCCCCCCGGCAGTCTGGCTTCCCTGAACTCATCACGGCAGGTGACCCTTCCCCTTGACTCTGAGGTTGGCCGATTCATGCCAGGCCCGGATAGGATTCGATCCGACCAGTATTGGTGAATACTTGGTGTTGCACATTCGACGGTCCCAACCTGATCTCTTGGGCCGCGTCTAGGTCTGCTCCATCGTCCCTTCCCCGTCCAGCCTCAATTAGAGCACCATGGCGCTACGGACAGCCTCCGTGGCCACACTTGGCTTTGGACGCTGATTTTCATCCTATACGTCTTACATGGCCGTCGGCTACCTGCGCAACACGAACAAGAAGCGCTCAAGTTTCTTAACAGCACTCCATCCGCAACCGCAGCAACATGCCTACTCTCGGGCCATTGATACCCATGTCGAAGAGGTCAAGGTGGAGCACTACCCCCTCAGAACTTAATACCACCCCTCCCACTGTTTCTCGACGGACAACTTCACGGCCAAGCAACAGCTGGCGAGGCTGTTTTGGCTCTCGAGGCGCCGATTGCTTCCCAATGAGCAGGCGCGCAGATCCACAAATACAGTCCGATAAAACAAGCAATACGGCACGCAGGGAGCCTATATCCAGCCCACCGCTCCGTGCTCGACTCCCAAGCGCCACAATGGACGATTCTTCGCGGACAAATGTTCTAGTCGACCAAACCTTGCTTGCGCCCAGCGCCGCGCGCCCAGTGGTTCCGCCAGCCCAACCCAGCAAGGAGATTCGCGATCAGAGCGGACAGCCCTCCTCTAGCCCGAACTCCGGTCAACCATCACTTGGGAGTGTGCGCTATTCGGTGTTTCCTCAACTGCGGCCGTGCCAAACACCCTCAGCCCCTGGGGTGCGGGCAGTTCGTAGCTTAGAAACCCTTGAAAGGTGCCGCGGGGGACGACCAAATGGTGTTCCCATTCTTCAATTTACATCGAAAACCTTGGCCCAGGGCCAGTCGGCAGATCCACCGCTGAAAACACCCCCGGCATCTGTTAGCCTGGAAACATCTGGAAACCGCACGACCTCGCCGAGCGAGGGCCTTGTATGCCTGCCGGGCGACTCACCGTCTCAAAAGCGAGTTCTTTTGGAGAGTGATATTGATGCCGGTATCGATATCCCTAGCACGATCTGTGACGGTCGCCCACCGGTCGCTGGTAGTGATACCGCCCCAAATGATGAACAACCGCTCTCGCCACGGCGTCTCCAAGAGTCATCATCTTCCACTATCACTAAAGAGCGCTCTACACAGTCACTCTCTACACAGACCGAAGCTGCTCATGTTCCGGAACAACATGCCACCGGCATACGCCCTTCACCAGCGTTCTGGCCGGCCAAACCGCTGCCGGCTTCTCCAAGACTGTCGCGGACCTCAAGCCAGGACCAGGCGCAGGACAGTGCTGTGTTATGTACGGAATGCCGCGATGAGAATCAGGCACCTGGTGATGGCAAAGAAGGGGCTATCAAGGGGATCATTCTTGATTCCCGAGATTCGTTGCTTGAGTTAAAGAAGGAAAAGGTTCTGGAAGCTCTGCCCGTTTCCCCAAAGAAGCTTTACAATCCTGCGCCACGAGTCTATCCACATGACATTCGCGAGGACGGCGGACCGTTCCCGGAAGATGTCGGACCACAAGACGGCGGACCGTACACCCAGCAACCCGATGATACCTCCAACGCCCTGATGCCCAAACCAAGTACAACTTTAGAGCACACGACAAACAGATCAACTGTCAGCGGCATTCTTTCTACGCCGAGAACCGTGGGGAATATTCCCCTCGGAAACGAACCGAGCAAAGTTGGCCTCAAGAACAAAAAGCCGGGAGCGGTGGGATTTCTGTCTCCTTCCCAGCGGTTGCACCGGGCATCAATGATGAGAAGGGACAGGATTGCTGAAACTGAGCGGCGAAGTCAAGGAAGTACCGATTCGACAACGAGATCGATTATGACGCCGAGCCCCCAAGTTCCTAGTGTCAAATCTATAGAGGAAGGCAGCTGGAATGCGGCAGAGCTTCACGACATGAAATCTGAGATAGGGTCGCTTGGTGAGGATGAGGATATCAACGACCGAGACGTTCTCAGAGGGCTCATGATCATTTGTGCGGCCTCGGCAGACGCAGAATTCGACGCTTTGGTTCGAAGCAAGACCGGGTTGCGCTCGCGCCGATTCCTTGCCGACTTGCAGAGTTTTGAGGGGCTGAATGGGATTCAATAATGAGGTTATGATGGGTACCTATTAGGGATACTGAGTGATGTTATAAGAACAACCATTTGTAATTGTTCCTCCCGATTAGGTAGTGTATTCCGACCGGCAGTTGAGCAGCATCTTTGATACAAAGCTTTCCCCATCCCAGCTGGACTGAACAGCGCCCAACGGACTGAAAGCCAACAGCATCATAAAGATCTTCTGGTTAGCCATCTTGCGGCGTCGGCACGGTCTCGTATGAAGCCAGGCGTTGTCACCAACAAACCAACCTCCAAGAACTCATCAACATGCAGAGACGAACGACTGTCCAGCTCGTCTCTTAATCTCACTCCGTGGTAAAAGCAGACCCATTACCACCCGATACAATCCGCTGCTTCTCCTGTGTGTTTTCTTCGCCTTCTCGGGCCGGTTATGACGCATGCATGTCATCTCTCATAATGTTGACGTTGATATCCCCAGATGGCGCCTCTTCTCCTCTGTTCGATGTGTGAAGCAAGAATTGGCGCGCATAGCCGATCTACTGTATACCCACGACGTAAAGTGAGGGAAAAACACACACATACATCAGAACCGAATGGTTCCGGAATTTCCGACTCGGGTTGTATGTACAACACCCCGGTTGCGCTGCCGTTGGTGTCTTGGCCCTAACGTTCCTTGGGACTGTACCTTTCTTTCAGTGTTCTGTGCCTGACTGGGAAGCACCCGTGGCCACGATGATGCCTTTTCTTTCCCCGCCTGCCCGTCAGCCGAAACACCGGGCCGATTTTGACGGTACGGAGATTAAAACTACGACGGTTTTGTTTGGTTTCCTTTTTTCCTGCTCATGCGATGCAGTTGGGCTGATGTTGTATTTGTGTTTGTATAGGTACTAGAGGGGACTTACGGGAAGCCCACAACGCGGCTGGAAGCGAGCGAGCGGGTACGGCGAGTTTCTCGGAATAATGTATATTGTTTTGTTGGCGTCTAGGCTTCCCGTCTGGCTGCGCTTGCAGATGTGGGACGGACGGACTGCATACTGGGCCGGTTGAGCACGTCAAAGTAATGAAGGAGAAAAAGACGCAGTTCCATCTACACTAGAACGGTATCTCAGATAGAGATTGGATATCCTGTGAGACTTTTCTTTTTACTGATCAGTAAGAAGAGTGACGGATAGGATAGGAAGCCGCGTGGAAATCGGGACAGCGGGACCTGAACTCGGTATTACTGTGGATCTGCTTTTTCTCCCGCGCCCGATTTGTGTTGTGGTGTGGTGTGGTGTGGTGAGTTGTGTGGTGTGTGGTATGGATGCAGGAGGGTTGCAGGATTACGACTCTTGCGTGTGGTGTCAATGTATGTCCTCGATGGACTGGACTGGACTGGGTTGGACTGGACGTGTGGGTGGGTGTGTTCTGGCTCTGGTTGACTCGGGTTGGTCGCACGGGAGAGAGCAGAAGGAGGGTTGGTTGATGGTGGTTGATGGTGAGTGGTTACCGCCGTGGTTGTGGTACATGTACGTATGCAAGGTCAAACGGTGGGAAATCACTTATTTGTCCTCTCTCTTACCAAGTCCCTCCCTACTCGTTGGGACGATGAGGCCAGTTAGGTATCCAGATGTCCCGGGAGGATTTCAATGTTCGGTGAAGTGGAAAGCGGGGGAAAGCAAACATTGGGGATGACCTGTCCGTCGATTTGTGGTGAGGGGAAAGAAGAAGCGATGGGTTGTTCCGTGGAGTTGGTCTCGATACGACGGCCCATAGTCTCGCCTGAACAATGTCCAGATGGTAGTGTACGGAGTATGTGGACTCTCCAACATTGCTTTTCTCATCCACATCTTCAAGACCTTCAAGTCAGGAAACCCAGCAGCAAGGATCAGGCCGTTTCACGAATCTGATAATCCAGCGCGCTGTTCCTCTTTTGGGTTGTATTTTTGCCTTGGGTGCGTGTAAATGGGCCGGGCCAAGCGGCAGGGCGGAGACCCGTGGTATTTTGCCGCTGGAAGAATGGAAGGCCGTTGTGTGGTGGACTCCTCCACGCTTCTCCTCATCCACTTCTTGAATAGGGCGATCACTGCCTGGCTCTTGGATACAGAGAGAGTGGGAATCGCCGGCCGGGATTACTCTGGTAAGAGTGTCAATCCGGTCTGTTTTTAGCAATGGGGGGCGTGAGGGGAGACTAGCAACTGTTTCGCGAGGGATTCTCTCGTGGATCAATGGAGTTGCGGGGGGTAGTATTCTCGTGGCCACAGGCCTCCACAGACCCGCCTTCGTTGATTCCACATACGCTCAGTTTCGGACGCAGACGCTAGTTTCTAGCTACGGCCACGCTCGTCTCATGAGTTGGCCGTCTTGTAGTAACAGACTGAATGTGAATGTCCACAACACCCATCGTCCACAGTAGCAAGGAAAGCCCTAAGTCTCGACCCCGCCGACGGTCCCGAAAGTTCGCAAATCAATATACTTCCCGCCCCCAAGACCAATAAATTCATTGGTGCCACTATGGCGGAGATATTTGTACCTGACTATTGGTGTCCCCAACAGTTCCGATACCCAGGAACTGCGTGCTTTTCGGCGTGTCACGTAATATACGGGGAGCCGGGAAAGAAAGGCGGCTCGTCTAGACGGCTACGTGAAACGAGGGGGCGCTCGCTTTGCCGTGATATCGAGCCGGTGTACCTACCTGTGTACCACAGTGGTTTGACTGTCGTCTCTCTTCGGCCCGTTGTAACTAAATTGCTGGAAACAACAGGACAGTGTGTTTCGTGCGCGGGACAGATCAGCGCTACTTTGTTTCTTCGAGAACGTTTCCACAAGTGGACTTCGTGCTGGAGAAAACTTGTCAGTGCTTCTGATGATCAGGGGGCTCGTCCACCCTAGTTCTTCTTCACTCCGTGTCCTAGTGTAGTGTAGTATGTAGGCCTAACCCCCAAACCTCGCTTCCACCCCCAGCGAACAACCCCTACGTACTTCCCCAACGATGGAAGACAACGAGCCGGCGACGGCGACAACAACGCCGACGATCCAAACCATAAACGATCCTCACCCGGAACACGGCGTGTCCGTGGACCGTGGCCGTGGCATTTCCTTGGCCTTGGCACACATCCGGTCGGTCGCCGCGTGTGCCTATCCCATGTTCGAAACACGGCTTCCAGTGTTCCACGCAGCGTTCGGTTGCAATGGGATGGACGGGAGAAAGGAAAGTGCTGGGGTGTCCACGTCTATGGATGGGGGGCGGACGGGGGGACAAAGATGGGGAGAAGATGGGTTGGTGGATTGGTGGATTGTCCCGGTCTTGGGAGGACGCGGGAAGAAAGTTGAAAGTCTGGGACGGGGTGGGTCAAGGTTTCTTTATCCAGGATTGTGATTTGGGGGATGAGGCGGGGGACAAAATGAAGGATAACGTGAAAGATGAACTAATAGAGAAAAAAGGGTCTAAAATCAATAACTAATACCTCCTCGTAGTGTACTCCGTAGTGTAGTCTATTCTCCGCAGCAGTATTATCCATACCCACAAGTCTAGTATCTCGAACCGAGTTCGCTTCGCTCCCCCCTTTCTCGTCCAGCGCACGCAGCGCATCCAGTCTACCGCGAAGTCCTAACCGTTTTCGGGACGGGGGTAACAGTCAAGATACTTCCGTACCTCCAACAGCAACACAACACGCTCATCGCAACCCCAGCGGATTCGTCCCCCTCTCCCAACCCGAAAAGGAAATTGACAAACGTGATCGCGAAAAAGACCGAAAAGAAGAAAAAAAGAGAGAAAAAGAAAAACCTCAAGCAACGAGGTCCTTAGTGGGTAGGTGGCTTGGTGTGTGAAGGGTTTTCGTCTTGTCTCAAACTTTAAAAGCCGAAGGCAGCGAGCTAGCTGGGTGGATTCGGGCGGGCGTTCCGAAACCGAAAGAGAGAAGAGACAGAGCTCGAGAGATACCCCAAACGAACACGAAATGCCCGCTCGCCGAGCGTCGCAGAAGAAAATTGAGAAGGCAAAGGATAGACATCCCATCTGTGTCACCCACTTGGAGACGAAATCAATGACAACCTAGAACTACGGATACGTCCGCACTCTTCATTCGATTCGATCCATTTTTTTCATTCATCATGCTTGGTCGGGTGGGTGATTTTACCCGTGGCTCTCCCAGGGCGCATTGACATCTACAATCTGCCAAGGAAATCTGCCAAGGAAAAGAACCTTAGAAGAAGAGAGGAAAGAAAAAAAAAAAAGACGGGAGGAATTAACCAGGATCTCTTCGAATCCTCACACCACGACATGTTCCCCCCAGAAAACAAGTCAATGGAAACCAGAAACAAAAGAAGAAGCACTGAAAAAAAAACAACTAAAATCCAAACTAAAAACTACGGGATTCAGCGTGATGAGAAAATAGTGTACCGTTACCTACACTAGTACTAAAAAGTACTGCAATCCCAACCACTGCGTCCCACTGCGTCCAAAATGTCCAGGGTACACCGTAAGTGGGGGTGCATGCGAGGGTGGAGTAAGCCAGCGTAGCGCCAGTGACACGGGAAAGCCGAGGAGGGAAGGACACTCAAGGAACAAGGTCGGAAGGGAAAACCGAAGGTTTCACACCCCGGGTGTCAGCTTGCCAGGGTGGACGACGGGGCAGGATGGGAACAGACTGGGCGAAAGGAAGACAGGGAAGGGGGCAATTTTCAATCACTGGGTTCTTTTTGAGGGCGATGATGATGATGGAGAAGAGAACAGAGTCCAAGAGAGAGATGTCTTTCTATCTTTTGGATGTAACTAAAAAAATCATATACTGGATTAAACCAAAACCAAACCACCACAAGGCCAGGAGGGAGTAGTCGCACGTAGGGTATCATCTTGCGAGCTTCCCCCCTCCTGCCCGATACAGCCCCCCATACCCCAGAAACACACACCACCGAACCACCCAGACCGACACACACCTCTGAGAAGGAGTTATAATATACTAACATTTTATAAAAACACAAACAAACAACGAAGACGAAAAGCCCCGAGCATGCTGGTAAAGCTGCTTAGACGGACTTCTCCTCGTTGATGTGAGTCTCCTTCTCGACCTGGTGGATGTCGACGTGGGCGACAGCGGCCTCCTCGCCGTCGATGATCTTGGCAAGCTCCTCGAGGGTGGGGCCCTTGGTCTCGATGTACATCTTCCACACGAAGCTGAGTTCGAGGAAGATCCAGCACTGTAGAATCCATTGTTAGCATGCGCGTTTTTCGAAACAAAAATTTCAGGCAGTTATTAGATAAACGTACGGTGTAGATGAGGTACAGCTTCCAGGTGTGGCCGGTGAAGTAGTCGAAGGCCAAGGGGTTGGCGTAGGTGTTGAGGGTCAGGGCAGCCTGGACGGTCAAGTTCATGATCATGAGACCCTTGGCACGGAGCTTGTACGGCAGGATTTCGATGGCGTAGCCAACGAGGAGACCGGACCAGGCGGTGGAGTAGAAGATACCGAACACCCAGATGAAGAAGATCATGGCGTAGTTGGCACCGGCGGAGCCGTGCTCATCGTACAGGCCGGAGGTCAGAGTCCAGAAGATGAAGGTGCAGAACATGCCGGTGGTCGAGGCCAGGAAGGTCGGGCGACGGCCGACCTTGTCGACGAGCAGGGCCATGGAGACGGAGACCACGAGGGCCAGGCAGGTTTGGCCGGCGGAGAGACCGAGCTTCTGGGTCGAGCCCTTGATGCCGGCGCTGTCGTACAGGGCGCTCGAGTAGTTGGAGATAATGGCGTTACCGGACCACTGCGAGAAGATACCGAGCGAAATGAGGACGGCGAACCGGTAACGGTTGCCCTTGGTGCGGAAGAAGTCGAGGTAGCTGCTGGACTTGGAGGCCTCGAACTCAAGGCGGATGGTCTCCTTGATCTCGCGGTACTCGAACTGGACGGTCGGGTGGTTGACGTCGCCGTTGGCGTGGTAGCGCGCGAGGATCTCGAGGGCACGGTCGTGCTTGTCCTTGGCCATCAAGAAACGGGGCGACTCAGGCACCCAGTAGACGAAGAGGAGCTGGACCACGGAGGGGATGGCCTGGAGCAGGGCGGGGATACGCCATGACCAGTCGGTCGGGATGTAGTCAGTGCCGAAGGAGATCCACGCCACGATCAGGGCACCGACGTTCCACAGGCAGTTGTAGATGGTCGTGAGACGGCCACGGTGCTGGGGGTGGGCAATCTCGGTGAGAAGCATGGGCGAGCAGATCTGCGCGAACGAGTTGCCGAAACCGAGGAGGAAACGGCCACCCATGAAGGTGCCCAGGTTCTGGCACGCCGCCTGGAGGACAGCACCGACGACCATCAGGACACAGCCAGCAGCGATGGGCCACTTGCGGCCAAAGCGATCGGCGAAGAAGGGACTGCAATTGGTCGTACAGAGTCAGTTTCTCTCACTCTTGTCCCTTTATCCCAACTATGGGGAGTATGTGGATTTCAAGGCACATACACGAAGGGGATGGACACCAAGCTACCAATCTGGTACAGGGCACCAAGGAGACCAAGAGTCGAGCCCTTGGGGGTGCCGAAGTAGTGGTTCCAGGTGTCGAAGTTCTGGACGGAACCGAAGAACATGCTGTAAATGCCATTGTCAGTAAAACCCGTTGTGGTTGTTCCTCGTTGGCTCTTGCTGTTCCCACAGCTCGCCCTCCACATCCTCATTCGTCGTAACTCACCCATCGTAACCGGTGGTCGCGGAAGCAACGCAAAGCACGAAGGCGTAGAAGTAAAGCTTCCGGAGACCGGGGTCCTTGGTCCATTGGACCCTTTCGAACTCGGGCGCCTCCTCCTGAGCGGCCGCAGTCGCCTCAGCGCTGGGCTTCTTCTTGTTGAACAGGCCCATGTTGGCGAGCCGTGTGGTTGTGTGTGGTGCCGGGTGGTCGTCGCCTGTCTCGTGAGACGTGGGCTTGTCGTGTCGGGTAGGGGGTGGTTGTCGAAGAAGTTGACCCGTCTGTCTTGGGACCCGTGACAAAGAGGGAGCGAGGTGGGAAGGGGGAACCGTGAGATCGGCGGAGGGATGCTAGGTTTATAACGACGTGATAAAACACCCAGTCAAGAGGAACCCACTCACTCCTACACTAGGCACTCACTCGTAGGAGTGAGGGCCCCCAGCGAAGAAAGTCTGGGGTCTGGGGAAAGACCGCCAGTCGGACAACCGGACCGTTCAAGCGGCTGGGGGACATCGTCTGGGGTGCGCGGGCAGGCCGGGGCGCGCTTGGCCAACTGCAGCGAAAGCTTAACCAATATCTGGACTTCCGGAGCCGGCCACCACGCGACGAGAAGGACAGCATCCACTTCTGCGGAAGGCTGCGGGGGGGTTGCTGGTGCGCTGGGATCCTGGGGGATCCTGGGGACTTTTTTTTTGTTCGACAGGTACGCGGGTACCTTGTTGTTGCACACCCCCCGCCCATGTCCATGGACCTCCACGGGCCACTACCTGCACCATCAGCAGAGACATCCCTCTTTACCTCGAGCCCGGGACGGAGCGGCGCGGCAGTAAATTGTGACCGTGTAAAGCCAGGCTCGCCTGTGTTCATCAGCCCGGCCGCCAGGCAGAGGCTAATGTCGTGCGGCGAGAATTCATGTTGGAACTTATGCCCGTGGGAGACACCTTTCTCGAGCCGCTCCTGAGCGACGCATGTCGACTGAGACACAGTGAGACACACAAAAATAGGCGGCCGGGGCCTGCATCCACACTGTGGACATCGTCCCAGACTTGTTCTTCGGCCTGTTGGCAGAGGCAGCGTGGTGGAAAGTTCTCTGCTCGAGTCTTCCCGCCCCTCGGGTTCCAGAACCTCAGGGCATCAACGCGTGGAGGCGAGACCGCAGCGGGCCATCGCAACTGGCCCAGGGCCCGCGATCACCAGGCCTCTCCAAACTTTTCCCCAACTTTTCCCCCATCCCTATCCCCGCACCGCATCAATTCCCCAGTCGCCCCGCCCCCCAGTTCACCCCATCTCTATCATTCTGCGCACGCGCAATCGCACAACACGCAGCATTTTCCCGGCCGAGTCTTGGCAGGTTCAGACGGGCCTTGGCCACGAGGGACGCCCCTTTTGGGGCGATCGGACCGGCGTTGCGTCCGCCTGCGACAAGCGAGCAACCCTGGGCAAATGAGAGCAGCGCATCTCGCAGCCACTCAACAGCCAACATCGTGCGGCCGGTGGAAGCGGACCGATATGGGCCATCTTTGCATGCGCCATTGAGGACGGAGCGGCGCGCTTGGCTTGCGGGTTTCCGTCGCCAAGGCATTCTATTGTTCTGCTGCGTTTTCACGAGTCCTTCGCCCCAACGTTCACAAGTCAAGGGCTTCCTTTCTTTCCGTCCGTCAGGGCACCGCGCCCATCCGAACCCGAGTCTGTCAGTGGGAACAGTGGGTACCTGCGCATGATTCCGAATTTGGTCGACAAAAGGAGTGTTGCACATGAAAATGCCAAACGGGTGATCGCTGGTGGATTGATGGATCATCTGGCTGTCGAGATCCACCCCCCGGTGGAGATGTTCCTGGCAAGGATCCAGGGGTGGGTGCCGTGTGCCGTGGCAGGTTGATGAACTTTGCACCAGCAAGTCGCATTTTTCCATGCACAGTCGACATGAATAGCCACGCCTTTGAATGCTGGACGACCATCGCGCTCCTGGGCGTGACCCGGAGACTGGCTCGACTGGAACCTCAAACGCCTTCAAACGCTCCAGGCGTCCACCAAGATGGGGCCGCACTCAATGGAACTACGGCTCCAGGTTATTGTCGAGATTCAGCCCCTGCGGCCTCCAGCCGAGAGCCAGAGCCAGGGTACGGGGTCACCTGCCAGCTGGCCAGCCGAGCCAGACCACGCCGGAGGAGAAGCTTCACGACAACAGAGAAAAACGCCACATGCGCCGTTGAAAGCTTTGGCGACAGGCGAGCCGATGGGTGAGCGACAATGGGCGGGGGTGGATGATGAGCTCGCGAACACGAGCTCCTGATTGGGCCATAGGAAACGTCCCCGTTAATCCGGGGGCGTCCTGGGGCGGCCTTTGGCCCGATTCCCTCCCGCGTGGTCTCGGTTCGATGCGGGAGCCGGCCGCTGACTGGCCGAAATCGCATGTCGGGTAGGCTTCGAGAAGGGCAGAAGGCCCGTCTTGCTAGCCAATCCGAGAGCACACTGATCCGAAAATGACAACGCTAAGGCGAGTCTTGCAGCTTGCCGTTCCCTGCATGCGGCTCCTCTCGTCAGGCGAGTCAGGTCTGTCGCAGACAAGCCTCTTGGAGCTCGGGTTCGCCTAGCACCAGATTACCCGTCTTGGCTGGCATTTTAGCCTAAACAGCCGGCTGTTGCAGGGGTAAGGCGATGGGCGAGCTGGATGCGTCTGTTCGCTGCCTTCGCCTGCGAAGCTGTCTGACGCTTTGGGTATGGTGAGAACAAGCGGGCCCGAACGGGAACGCGTCAAGGGAAGAAGAACGCGGCTGTGGACCTCCAACCGCCAACTGATCTCGATATTGACATGTCCTGCGCACGCCAACTCGTTCAGCCAAGCAGATGGCCGAGATTCTGGAACCCCATTGTTGATCACTAGGTCGCCGGTAGCCCGAGACCAAGGTTGTGGTTGCGGCTGAATGTTTCCATCATCTTGGGTGAGGGGTGAGGGGCGAGATGAAGCCCGGAGCATCGGTGGCGCCGTCTACGGTTGGTTTTTTGCAAGACGGAAATAGCGAGGCCTGGCGGTTAGGCTGATACGGATACAGAGTACGAAGTGGCCAACGTGAGGTGATCACGAGGAAAGAAAGCAGCCGGGTAGCCGAGGAGAATCTTTTCGTTGTCTGATGTTTGCCTGGCGTGCGTTTGGATGAGCTTCCTTGGAATCCTCTTCCATTCTCTTCCAGGACTGATTCGTTCTTTCCCCGCAAGTGTTGGACGAATGTTCTTTCCCTTCTCGTAAATGATGCAGCCACTCCACAAAGCGTCCTATGGTACAAGGCCGCGGCAAGACGCACAACGGCGTTGAGCAGCATCGCCCATTGGCCGTCTTTCCGCCATCGGGCCGCGACTTTCAACATCAAGAAGCAATGGCCGTTGGAGAAGATATCGGATATCCGGCTCCCGAACTCAAGGGATCCGGGGCGGTTTCTCTCTCAGTTGACGGCCGACTTTCCACGCGAGAATACACTAGACGGCGTTCCCGAGGCATAATTACAACTAGTGTCAACGTTTGGGGTAGGATTTGTTGGTCCAGTGTGTTGGTTCCTGATGAAGGGTCCTGAAGGACTCTGCACCATCCCCGGATTTGGAGTTTTAGCTGCTTCTTTTTCCGTAACGGCCGTCCGTCAAAGCATCTCGACCGGGAAGTTGTGTTGCATCACGCAGACAAGCAATATTGGGAGGCACTGCAAGGATGCTTGGCGTGGACGGTTGGGCGGGTCGTCAGTTCTCGCCAGGTCCTACGTGTGACTCTGCCTCTTGCGCGAGCATGCTGAGGTTGGCATGGTGTGACTGGGCGGCCCTTCAAACTCCACCTTCTGGCGCGGTGCAGCATCCCGTTGGAAGAGAAAAGGCAAACTTGTCGTGAGAGCTGAAAAAGAGAGTTCGCCTTCGAGAGATCCTGAAGGATTTTTGTTCGCGAGATGCGCTCCGAAAAGCCGACAGGGAAGAGCGCTGCCTGCCGCGTGGACCAACAGCAGCAACTGATCAGATCGACAAGATCCAGCCCTTCCCACATGTTAGTTCTCCGCCCCCAAGTCCCCAAAAAACACCCCGGACCCCAGAGTTGTGAGACCTTCTCGAAGGACAAACCCCCATGGAACGAGATAACGGGAGCAGGCCTCGGAAAAAATGGGGAATTTCTTTTGTGGGCTGCTGAGTGCCGACTCACGTGGGGTCTTGGCGTCAAGCGCATCACGTGCCAATCATGCAACCACTCAATCAACGCGCCCACCGACGCGTCTCCAATTTTTGGCCCAGCGGTGTTTCCGCCAAGCCCTCGACATGGGATCGCGTCCAATGCACTACCACGCGTGAAGCCGTGACATGAACCGTGACGTCGGCACGTTCCTTCCGGCCTATTCGTAAGGGTTCAACACAACACCATGGCGGGCCCTGTTCAGAAGAAACAGGCCTCGCTAACGAGCTTTTTTACCGTCAATGGGTCGGCGAAGAAACCCGCAGCAACTGCAACGGCAGTGACAAATAAGAACAAACGGGGCCCTGAAATTGATGAGGATCAAGAAAAGGAGCCCGCGCCATCGTCTCCACTCTCCATTCGCGAATCGACACGGAAACGCCCATTGCGAGACACCAGCGGCAATGGCAAGTTGAAACCGAGCCGCCCGGCAAAACGTGCGAGATCGGTTGCGGGCGACGAGTCGGACGATGGCACCTTCGAGCCAGAACAGAAGTCACCGAAGCGTCCGGCTCCCGAAGCTGAGCCACGGAGTTCAGCGTCCCGGGCGGAGCTGTACGCCTATAATGCGGACCGCTCAGCTCCGGGGCTGGCTGAACTTGACGAGGGCGATGAAGGAGCTGCCGTGAAGCGGAAAAAGGAAGAGCTACATCGCAAGTTTGTGAAGAAGCTCGGCCACCCGGACAGCCTGTCTTCATTCAGGAGGCGCGAAGCCTTGGGCCAGAGCGGCAGCCCCGGAGCTGATGGGGATGACGACGAAGGCGATGGGGAGGCGGAGGAAGAGGACGCAGCCCCTCCAACAAAGGCCAAGAAGAAGGGCGCCAAGACAGGCAAGCTGACTCCGATGGAGATTCAGTTCCTCGATATCAAGAGGAAGCACATGGATACTGTTTTAGTGGTCGAGGTTGGGTATAAGTTCAGATTCTTTGGCGAGGATGCCCGCATCGCTGCTAGAGAATTGAGCATTGTCTGCATCAGTGGCAAGTTCAGATACGATGAGCGTATGTTTGACCCTCTTATGTTTGCTTGTTCCAAGACACTCGCTAACGGCTCTGCAAAGACCCATCGGAGGCACATCTTGACCGCTTTGCTTCCGCCAGCATTCCCGTACACCGTCTCAACGTCCACGTCAAACGCCTCGTTGCCGCAGGGCACAAGGTCGGTGTCGTCCGCCAGCTCGAAACGGCAGCGCTCAAAAAAGCCGGCGACAACCGGAACGCCCCCTTCGTCCGAAAGCTCACGAGTGTTTACACCAAAGGGACTTACATAGACGAGACGGGCGAGCTCGATCAAGCTGGCGAGGGCTCTGGGGGCGTGTCAGCTGGGTACTTGCTCTGCCTCACTGAATCACCCGCGAGCGGCCTCGGCGCGGACGAAAAGGTTCACGTTGGCATCATTGCGGTCCAGCCTGCGACGGGCGATATCATCTACGATGACTTTGAAGATGGATTCATGAGGCGGGAAATCGAGACTCGCCTTCTTCACATTTCTCCCTGCGAGCTTCTCATCGTCGGTGACCTATCCAAAGCCACGGACAAGTTGGTTCAGCATCTCGCCGGGAGCAGCACCAACGTGTTTGGTGATAGGACCCGTGTGGAGAGGGTCCCCAAGAGCAAGACGATGGCTGCGGAAGCCAACTCCCACGTCACTCAGTTCTACGCCGGCAAGGCTCGTGATGACGACGAGCGCTCGACCACTCTTCTAGAAAAGGTTCTGAAGCTGCCAGAATCTGTGACGACCTGTCTTTCGGCCATGATCACCCATCTGACTGAGTACGGCTTGGAACACATCTTCGATTTAACCAAATACTTCCAGTCGTTCAGCACTCGACAGCACATGCTGATCAACGGCACCACGCTCGAGAGTTTGGAGGTCTACCGAAACGCCACAGACCAATCCGAGAAGGGGAGTCTGCTGTGGGCACTGGACAAGACCCGAACCCGTCCCGGCCGGCGGTTGCTGAGGAAGTGGATCGGCCGGCCATTGCTGGACCGAGACCGCCTGCAGGAGCGTGTCACCGCTGTCGAGGAGTTGGTTGAGAACCGGTCCACCCTCAAGGTTGAGAAGCTAGGGGGTCTTCTGACCTCGATTAAGGCCGACCTTGAACGCAGCCTCATCCGCATTTACTACGGAAAATGCACCCGGCCAGAGCTTCTGACCACTTTGCAAACACTGCAGAGGATCTCCATCGAGTTCTCTCGGGTGAAGTCGCCAGCCGACACCGGCTTCACCTCCAGTGTTATCAGTGAAGCCATCTGCTCCCTTCCAGGAATCGGGACCATCGCGACCTCCTACCTTGAAAAAATCAACCCCGAGGCTGCCCGGAAGGATGACAAGTACAGCTTCTTCCGCGAAGACCACGAAACCGACGCTATCAGCGACCACAAACTCGGCATTGCCGCAGTTGAGGCCGATCTGGACGCTCACCGCGAGGAGGCAGGCGCAAAGCTATCGAAGAAGTCCCCCGTGACCTACGCGACTGTGGCCGGTATCGAGTATCTGATCGAGGTCCCCAACACCGATCTGAAGCGCGTTCCCGCATCATGGGCCAAGATCAGCGGCACCAAAAAGCTGTCCCGCTTCCACACGCCCGAGGTCATGCGCTTCATCAACGAGCGCGACCAACACAAGGAAGCCCTCGCCGCAGCCTGCGACACCGCCTTCACCGACCTCCTCCAGTCCATCGCAGCCGAATATCAACCCCTACGCGACGCCGTCGCCTCGCTCGCCACCCTCGACTGTCTCCTCTCCCTCGCCGACGTAGCCTCCCTCCCAGGATACACCAAACCCACCTTCCTCCCCACCTCCGACCCCCCATCCATCTCCATCACCTCCGGCCGCCACCCCATCGCCGAACACACCCTCCCAGACGGCTACATCCCCTTCACCACCTCCCTGCACGCCCCATCGCCCCTCGCCCAGCTCATCACCGGCCCCAACATGGGCGGCAAATCCAGCTACGTCCGCGCCGTGGCCCTCCTCGTCCTCCTCGCCCAAATCGGCTCCTACGTCCCCGCCGACGCCATGTCCCTCACGCTCACCGACGCCATCTACACCCGCATGGGCGCGCGCGACAACCTCTTCGCCGGCGAAAGCACCTTCATGGTCGAAGTCTCCGAAACAGCCGCCATACTGCGCGGCGCGACCCCACGCTCCCTCGTCATCCTCGATGAGCTCGGCCGTGGCACCTCGACCCACGACGGCGCGGCCATTGCTCACGCCGTGCTTGAACATGTCGCCCGCGAGACGCGTTGTTTGACGTTGTTCATCACGCATTACCAGAATCTTGCGCGTGTTGCGGATGGTCTAGGCGGCGCCGTTCGGTGCGTGCATATGCGTTTTGAAGCTAACAACAACAACGACGACGGAGAAGAAAAAGAAGGAGAAGAAGAAGACATCACAAGCACCCAAGAAATAACCTTCCTCTACGAAGTCGCCGAAGGTGTAGCCCACCGGTCCTACGGCCTCAACGTCGCCCGCCTAGCACGGATTCCACAGCGCGTGTTGGAGGTAGCAGCACGCAAGTCACGCGAGATGGAAGAGGGAGTTAAATCCCGGCGGTTACGCGGGGCCGTACGCTTGCTGGAGGATGTGATGACGGGAGTAGGAGTAGTAGGAAACGGGGGAGGTGATGGTGGAGTTGGTAGGGAGGATCAGTTGGAGCATCTGGTGTCGAGTATTGAGCAATTGTAAGCGGGCTATGGTCAGTGGGATAGATGGATGGTGGGATAAAAGGCCCTTCGGCGGCCGGGTTTCAACTACAATGTCAAATAGTAGCAGATGATACTTATTTTCATCGTCGTGTATGAACAAAGCTTACAGTCATCCGCTTTTGGCCCCGGTTCTTTTTGCTGTCGACAAGTGCGTCAAGCCTAGCCTTCAGGCAGGCAGTTTAAAGGCACCCCGTGATTGTTGACAACACCTCGATACACGTCATGTCCTGTATTAAGCAAAATTTCGAAAAGCAGTCTCCCGGCCCGTTAGTTTTTAACCTTAGACGATCACCTCGGCACAAGTACACGGAGCATAGACCACGGCAAGGGATGTATATGGGTAAAAGGCAAGTCAAGATATGTCACTAACTCTGCAGCCAGTTATCGACCAAGGTCCTGTGCTAAATGCGGCCAATTGATGATGGTGGAACCCGAGTTCTTGCACTCCATGCCAGGATGTGGAGGACGGGGACACCGAGTCCAAAAGATCTGTTTTCCGACGCCATTGTCCCTTTCCTCCCAGTGCTTCTCCCAGTGCCTCCATGCCTGTCAAGATGCCCCTCAAGCGCCACTGATTGCTAAATGCCGAACTGCAAAAATAAATACGGGTGGGATCTTGTCGACCCAAACAGTCCTCGACCAGTTGACAACCCGAGGATGCGTAGTGTTACATATAGTGAGTTGTAATGATGAAACAACTCAACCATGGAAGTTTGTCGGTGCTCATTTCTCTCCATCTTAGAGGTCGAAGTCCTGCTCAACACGCTCATGGGTTGAATCCGAGGCGAAAGTACCAGCGAAGCCGTTGAATGCCATACCGCCCAAGTTCATGGCGTTGAGAGTGGGAAAGTTGGGAGTCGACGGCTTTGCCTCGGTGCCAAAGTTCGAATAACCGTATGGGTTGTAATATCCGTTCCGGCCCTGAACACACAGCGGGTTGAACGTGCCGGCCCCCATGGCGTGCTGGTGTTGAAAATAATTGCTGCTCGGCACGGAGGACTGAGAAGCAAACATAGGTGACGGGGCACCCCCAGCTGTGGCGTAGGGAGTAGGCTTGCTGGGTTTCTGCGCAGCCGATTTAAGGGACATATTCGAGTCCAAGGATTGGAGGGCGGAACGACGGCGAAGTTCGAAGCTGTTACAGTTCAGTGAGTTGACTATGGCCGAATGCGCACGATACAGAGTCTTGCTTACCTTGACTCTCCGTGAGAGCTCTCAGTATGAGCTGCAACTTATCAGCGCTCCAGGCCACATATGGGGTGAGAAACTCCTCCTACCAGGATTGCTCTTTGGAGAGTCACGAAAGACATCGTAGCCCTCGCCGGGTCCTGAACCTCTCTCGCTAGCACCACCCTGAGAGCGTCTAGTGCGGGACGCTACCCTGCGTGTGAGTCTGCTCGAGGACCTGCGTGCAGGCCCCGATGTTGTAGTAGCAGTTGAGGAACGGCGGCCTCGCTTGGGCTTCGGGACATCGGAGTCCTCGAACTCACGGTCCTGTGTGGGGTCACCATTAACATCAGTCTAACAGCATCAGAGGGCGGACAAGACAGCACTCGTTGTCCGGCCACCGCTTACCGGGCTTCCTTCGACTGAAGGAGTAGCGTAAATATCCCGGACACGTTGAAACTCGCCATCCTCCGCCCAGACAAACTCATTTGGGACGATGCCAGATGAAGTCTCCTCCATTTGCTTCAAGACGGAATCGTCCTTCCTTTGATTGCGCATCCTCTTTTGAATATCGTCCGCGGAGTCGAAAAGCCCCATGCCGGGAAACCTCACGCCTTTAAGTTTGTTGATATCATTCTCGTCATCGCCTTCGGTGGTCTCCGACGGAATCTCGGAAACAGGGACACTGTCCGTGGTTCCCGTCTCCGAGGGCCACCTCCGGTAGTACTTGGCGGGTGCCGCGTTCTCTGGGGTGGTGGGAATCGAATAGTCTGACCGAGAGCGCTTCAGAAACTCGGCTGGGTAGCCCGAGCCGTTCGTATTCTCGAAGTGCCCGCGATGTATATCTTGGAAGGAGCTCGGCATTCCAGACCAATGATTCACCACGGACAACGACTCCGCATACTCATCAGGATCAGCCTTGATCAAGTCATGGTCCAAGTTGCCAGCATCGGATTTGTTCTTCGTTCAGCGTCAGTTTAGGTAACAACCCCAACCAAATACTTTATGACCTTGACTTACCGACACAGTCGAATGCCTGGTGCGTCTACCCGTTTTCTTTTGCTCCTTCGCAGCCATGCGCTCGGCAAGGAGAGCGTTGATACCATACTGCTCGCACCAGTTGTCATATTGCCGGACTTCTTCTAAAACCGCTCGGTTGTCACGAGCCTTCAGCTCAGCCTTGAAGCGATGAGCGAGATGGCTCTTTGACGAAATGTGAGTGAGCAGATGGGAAAGATCGGAGAAGTTGGGCTTCTTGGGGCAGAGTGTGCATCGAAGGGGGATGGAGGCAGGGTCGCCCATCGTGACCAGGTCCATGGGAGCCACCGCCGCCATACTCTGCGTGTGTGGTGGTTAGTACTGGTCCCGTATTGACCACAAAGGCAGGTCTGTTGGCAACTTTTCGTCAGGTAGCTACTCACAAGTGGTCCGGGTGGTTATGGTCGGCAAGGCCAACCACGGGATGAAAGGCGATGAGGAGGGGAGAGTCCGCCAAATTAAAGGACGGAAACGCAAGGTGGGTTGAATATCCGAGGCAGGAGAGACCTAAAATTTCGGCATGGAAAATCCGAAATTGAAATGATCTATCGCAACTCGCGTTTAGTCGGATGAAGAGAAACCTTTGCAGTTTGATCGATCAGACCTTTTCAGCCCGGGAAGAGAATGGATCGGTGGGCGTATAGAATGAAGCGATTTATTGTGACCTTAACATCCCCCGTAGGCTGTCCTGAATGTCGAGGTCTCGTCGCCAACTCTGGATTTGAGGAGGCTGCAGGCACGGCTCAATCTAGTATCAGAAACGAAACGGGGCAGGAGGAAACGCGTCAGTTGGGGCGAGGAGTTAACGTGACTAGGGAAGCGTTGGAAAGAACAGCGGATTTTCCCAACTTGCGGAAGGAGCAATTGGCCTAGGATGGAAGGAGGGGGGAGTGTATCAGGCGGATAGGCCGAGAAGGTTAATCCGGTTCAAGGAGGGAAGGAACGGATGAGAAACTGGCTCAAAAAAGAGAAAGACAGGATTATGAAGAACTGGTCCGAGGATGTCGATGACGGCCTGGGTGTGCTCGGGTTATGGATTGGCCCCGGAGTTGGCAACATCGGCGGAATGGAGGTTGGGTTGGAAACATAGCGCTTGTTTTATTCTCATGGGCGGAAGGTGGTAGGGAAAGAAATATTATTAGTTGTAGCTAGCCTTACGTAGCGTTGGTTGCAGTGAACGCTAGGTGATTTTGTGCTGTGAATATACTACATGACCAAAATATCAAAGACCGGAAAGTTTGGTGAATCAAAGGCACCTATCTACCTACATATGGACTGGATTACCTTTGTTTCTGCGATGAAGAAGCAGACCTAACTGGCGTACCGTATCTCAATGGCACGACACTAGGGCGGCTGCACACCCGAGATGAGATTGGACAGAAGACCTGCAACATGTTTGGGAGTAGCGAGAATTCAAATCATGATCTACGACACCTTATCCTAAGGGCTGATACCTAACCCCCTTACTGCCAGCTATGATACGGATACCGGGCCTATAGACCTAGTAGGTTACCCAGACCCATAATGCCTGTCGTAAAAGCTCACCGGAAGTAGAATGATAGGTGGAAATGGTCTAAGGACAGAAAATGGCGCTGTGATACAGAAACAATAGGCATGTAACAATAGGGGAAGGGTGCGTCGAGCTTTGTGACAGCATTTATAACTGGGCACATACCTGAGTGATGATAGTATGGCGCTTGTTATTGCGTATCAAAGCGAATTCAAAGTTGGTAACCCGAGTTGTTAACAATCAGACGTCTAAGCATTTGTTTGAAACTTTTAAGTGGTTGATTCTTGGTATGGTGTATAACCTAGGTCAATGCTTTGGGCTTTTTTGTAATTATACTGCGTAATTATATACGGTAACTAACATTAGAGAATGGAATAAGACAGTGGATCATAACGGTGAAGGTATCAGAGACACGTTATGAATACTAAAAAATCTCAGATGTCTTGTTATTTGGGTTTCTTTGGACTTGATGCTTTTTGCAATACTCTGGAGGTGGCCGGGTAAACATGAGTTGTAAAGGACATGCACCAGACTACAGTGAAAACCTTGAAGATATTTAGGAGTGGAAGCATAAATAATTGCTCAATGGCCCAGAACCCGTGCGGTCGTTGACTTGGGCATACAATATACTTCGTCAACGGGCTGGAGTCCGGGATACTTGAGTAAGCTCAGTCCCGCAAGACCAAATACGGTATGCCATACGTCAACCATATCACCGGGCCTGTCCGAGATGCCGCCTCGTTCGGGGTCCTGACAGCGGAGGATGAAGGCGGCCAGCTGGTCCTTGTCGATCCAGTGTGTTTTCCCGATCATCTCTAGGCTGCTCAAAACCCACCAGCTGTAGCAGACATCTTCCTTCTTTTCTGGCCGGCCATTGAGGCCACCGCCGGCAATTTGCCTCTCGCTCAACCATCTCCCAAGGCGTTCCTTGTCTATGAGATCCTGCCTCCCGGCGATCGTCAGAGCGGCGACGCATGTGAATATTTGGCCGGAGTGGGATTCAGCCCCAGGGCTCACTCCGTAGCCGCCATCAAAGTTGGCACATGCGGCAACATGCTGGACTGCCTTATCAACGTCAACAAGCTCCAGCAACCCGAGGAGCGAGAGCGCATTCAAGGCACCGTAAAGGAACCGGGTATCTTCTTCCCCCCACTCGTCACCGGCAAACGTGCCTGTCTCGTGGTTTTGAAGATTAGAAATATCTGGTCACATTGTCAGCATCAACCTCCCCGAAATGTCGCGGGCCCTAAGACGCACATTGTCCCACCTGTGCTTTGCCCTTCCCTCGCGTCTCTAACTCGTCGAACGCGTCAACCATGGCGAGGATCTGTACGGCGCTAACTGTGGAAAGCATATGTGCGTCGTGGCCGGGGGCCGCCCCGAAGCCGCCGGTCTCATGCTGGCATGATAGCACAAAGTCGATGGTCTCGGCGCGCGGGAGGGCGTCGGGTTGCCCAAGCAGGTGTAAGGACGTCAGCCCCCAATATAACCCGTTGAGCCGAAGGTGCTCAGTCAACCAGTAATCATATTCATCCTTTCTCGAATCTAAGCTCTGGATATATGTGACATGGGCAGATTTGACCAGTCGGAGGTCCTCCGGGAGCTGGCTGAAGCTTTGCGCCATGGTCGAGTGTTTGTGTCGCGGTTTCGGTTTGATGAGGCGCCTTGGGGAAATTGCGGGGATGAATTTCGAGGTGGGGCGGCAGAAGCCGCCAAGCAATGTATGTTTACGTAATCATTTTCCCTCTTCAGGACGCAGTGGACAGTGGACAATGGTAACATCCAATACTCCCGTTAGGGGTACGAAAGGCACATTGGAAGATTGAAGGGTCAAGCATGACCATTGACCGGATAGGGCCGTAGACGAACAACTGTTACCCTTGGCTCCGTTACCACCTTGGTGGGATTCGGTTCCTCCCGTCTTGGTGGTGAACTTCATCTCGGTTGGCTCGACGTAACATTGGTTTCGCTCCCACCAAACCGGGCGCTTCGTGTCTTTGCTGCCTTGACAAAAGGAAGGACGACTTGGGCGGGAATTGCAATGCACTCCCGTTGAATCCGTGGATCCAGAGAGGCAAGTTGAGCTGATGGGTCTAGACCAGCGATTTGAGCGCCCCAGCGCATAGACCGGATATCTCTCCAATCATGACCTGCCAGACACATTACGCAGTAAAGGAGCTTGCAGTCTCACCCTGAAACAGGACGTGCTTACGACAGAGTAGGAAGCCATCTGAATACAATGCTGGAAATTATCGGGAGTTAATCCCTTTCGCATAACAAGGGAAACAATGAGAAATTATACTGGTTGGTTAGGCCGGTATTTGTAACGACGATGAGCCCTGATCCTATGTTACATCAAGTCTGGACGTGCTTTCTTCTCAGTGAGGTTGGGATAGGTATGGATTTGACCGCATCTGATCATGTTCCTGACCAAACCGCATTTGGTTAGCGTCTGTCACTTTAACTAAAGATTTTCAAGGAAAGAACGATCGAGAGAATGCATTTGGTTCAGTGCATTTGAAAAACAACTGCTTCGTTGTAGGTGATTTGTATTTATCCTTCTTTTTAACAGAGGCAGCCGAAAAATTAGGTGTGATTGTTGCTTGGTCTTTGGTCTTCTCACTTGTCGGTCGGTGTTTTCGATTTCGGCTCTCGGATAGAATCCAGTACGAAGTATTTTTCGCCAAATGCGGCCACAAGGTATTGGGCTGTCAATTCATCACCGCTTGCGTCTCTGCGGCAGACTCCCCGACCCTGTTGTCCAACGGTACCTTTTTTTACCAGGGATTCACCACAGACATCCCAAATCCGGCGCAAAGGTGAAAAACACGACAATCGAGCCGACACTCTTTCACGATGTCGCCTTTCATGCATATTGCCCCGCTAATGCGGTGCTGTCTTGCAGCACCTCCCTTGCTTCACGCTAACTTCTTGCATGATAGATTACGAATACGGAGTACGTTACCCTCTCCTTTCAATTTTGTCAGGCGTGAGCGGCCGCGATAAATACAAACCCGTCCGTTGCGAAACAAAATCTTTTTCACGGCAACTGCACAATGAACGGCGTAGGGAGGGGCGCAGACAGAGTGTCCTCCTTGTGCCACAAAATTCCCATTAGGAGATATTATTCTGCTGCGTACCACAGTATGGCATTCGTGAAGCAAGCTCAGTTTGCTCGCCGCCGGAGTCGTGATTGTGTAAATACAGTCCGGATACACGACTCGGCCTCGGCGTCCCCGATCAAGGCGGTTCCAGATTTCTCGACAATACATTGGGTTGTTTGACAAGGAATGTCCATCACTCACAAGCGTCCCCGGCCTGGCACACAAGCATGAAGCCGCCATTGATGGAAGTCAGTCTGATGAATCGCGTCTTGGATTCTTGGTCTCTTGCATCCCGATACGAGAATGGTATTTCGACAAGGCGGGGTCTCAAGAAACCCCCGAGTGGCCGCTTGGTGGGCGGGGATCTCTGGGCGGAGCACTGAGGAGAGCAGCTGGGGAAAGACAGGGGCAGCGGTGTGTGCCTCCTTGGCCCATGCCATTTCAGTTCGTCAGTCGATCTGGCACGCCTTGGCCCGCCTTTCCATCAGAACTGCCCCCTTCCCTCGGTCCTGCGGCTCCTGCATCGCATCAGAACCCCTCGCCCCTCCACCAACTCGTCCGTGCCTCTTCGGCGAGATCGCTCATTTGTTGCAGAAGCAATCCGCCTGTTTCCCCTCTCCCCTGCCAGCCTTATCCGACCCCCGTAAGCCCAGACACTGTATTACGACCGCGAATCCGGCAGTCACTGCCCTGCTGCAGCTGTTGGTGCTTGGTTGCGTTGCGGCAGAGTTGCTCCCAAGGAGCCCCAGTTACCGGACCGCGCGAATCGGGAAGCACGGCCTGCCCAGTCCGACCTCCTCTGCTATACCCCCTTCTTCCCTTCCGACCTTTTCCAAACACCCTAGCCCAAGGCCCTTCCTTAAACAGGTGGCCCGCCTGTGCCCCTGGCAGCTTGCGCCAACTGGGATGGGCCGGAAAGCTGCACCACAGCCGCTCTCGCTGGCGGAGACCACGCGGCCCAGCGAAGCTTCACGACCAGGTGAGACGGTCCCTCGTTCCGCGCGCCTCCCAACCGAAGCCGCCTCGCCCCGATCGCCACGCTCGCCCTTTCGACCCGGCCAAAACAAAATCGACATTTCGACCATTGGAACACCTCAGCCGATTGCTGGGGTTTTACAGCAGCCTCGAGATCCGTTGGAACAACAGCAAGAGCAGAAGCGACAACAGGGGCAGCAGCAGCAGCAGCAGCAGCAGAACCGGCCGGACCAACCCCGGGCTTCGCCTCAGCCTTCGCCAAGGGAGCAATCTTGGGACCAACAACGGCAGCAGCAGCCACAGCAGCAGCAACAACCGCAACAACAGCAACAACCGGGCCACAGACATTTGCGGCGCGGTGAAGACAAAGCGTCCAAATCGGGATTTTTTTTCAACTTTGGGAAAGGAACAAGTAAGCCGCCTGACCGTCCCATTGCGCACCAGCACTCCAATTCCCGCGCCGAAGCCATGTCAAGAGACTCGGACCGTCCTGGGCTATCGAAGCAAGCTACGAAGCATTCGGGTAGGCAAAGAAGAATCTCTTGCGTCTCGTCTCCCACGGCCGTCAGAATACTCTAGACATTGTCGGCATCGATCTTGTGTTGAAATGGGCCTCTCCATTTGGCCCCCCCAACTCTTGTTTCAAGTTGTGCTAACCGGCGCGTGTTGCATTGCAGACCCGTCCCAGCAAGACCTGTCAGTACACAAATCGAACTCGCCGGTTCCGTCCAGATCGGAAATTTCGTTGGCCTCGACAGTAGACTACGACAGCCAGGGAAATCCGACGGGCTCTTCGAAGAGGTCCAAGCCCAAGCCTTTCAACCTGCTCAGTCGTACTCGGTCGACGAAAGAGAAAGACTACAAAGAAAGCCCGAGCCCGCAAGAGTATATCCCGCCCCTCGCACCAACGCCCGCGAAGATTGCCGAGTCTGAGACGCCGTACGGTCCGGGTAACGCTCCGAGGACGGCTCCGCTTCAGTCACGCGACCGATCGTTCCGGGACATGATGTCCTCCGCCGTGAGAAATCACTCGGCCGAGAGGTCCCAAGCTAGAGATGCTGGCGGAAGGCCAGTGGGCCGGGGCACTCAGCAAGGGGAACAAACAACGTTCCCCCCGACACCAGGAGGCGCCTTCTTCAGCAATCTCAAGCACAGCAGGGCAGCAGGCATCATAAGTAACCGCCTTTTCGGCGGCAGCTCGAGGCATGAGCTACCTGTGGTCAGGGAGCCGACGGTGGATGATGAGCACTATGTTCTGAAGGTCATCAACATGCCTCTTGTCGAGCAGACACGCCTCACGAGGATATCGAAGAGGCTGGAGGATTCCCGCGATAAGACCGAGTTTTGGATGCCTGCTTTCCCCTGGAGGGCGATCGACTATCTCAACTACAAAGGTAGCGAGGTTGAAGGCTTGTACCGTGTTCCAGGGAGTGGGCCGCAGATCAAGAAATGGCAACGTAAATTTGACGAAGGTATGTTATGTTGTACCGGCTGAGGTCTTACGCTAGGATGCGGGATTTGTTTGCTAACGTTGCCTTGCGCAGAGCTGGATGTTGATCTCTTCGAGGAGCCAGACCTTTACGACATCAACATCGTTGGGTCTATGCTTAAGGCGTGGCTACGTGAACTCCCCGATGATATTTTCCCGAAGGATGCGCAAGAGAGGGTAGTGAGGGAGTGCGCAGGGGCGGAGAAGGTACCGCCACTTCTTATTGAGGAGTTGTCGAACTTACCGCCCTTTAAGTACTACCTTCTCTTCGCCATCACCTGCCATCTAAGTCTTCTCCTTGCGCACTCGGACAAGAACAAGATGGACTTCCGCAATCTGTGCATCTGCTTCCAGCCGTGCATGAGGATAGATTCCTTCTGCTTTAAGTTCCTGGTTTGCGACTGGCGCGATTGCTGGAAGGGCTGCAAAAACGAAGCCAAGTATATTGAGGAGGAGTACGCGCACTTCGACCAGCCGCCGCCGAAAGTGTCGGGGGGTGAGATCAAGAGGAGCGCAAGCACCAACGAGGAGACCAAAGCCGAGGTTCGCACTGTTTCGTCTTCGGATAGCGGCAAGAGCCCGAACAACGGGGCGACAGAGCCGAAGGCGCGGATTAAAAAGAAGCCTGTGCCCGGCTCTGTCCCTACTTCTGCACCTACCTCTGCGCCTACCTCTCCGCCTGCTTCTGCGCCTGAGCCCGAAAACGCCGACACGAACTCGACTGTCTCGACGACACTCACTGTGGCTAGCGAACGAGAAACACCGCCCAGGAAGTCAGGGGACATGCGCCCCTTGTCGCCCATCAAGCCATTGTCACCCCTGAACTTCTAAGGCGAGCTCAGTTTAGTTCCCTTAAGACGCCTTGGGGTCGCAATTTCCCACGTCTGGGCGGCCGTTCTCCGACGTTTTTTTTTCTCTTCGCGCTTATTGCTTTTACGACTTTACGCCGTTGACGACTTCCTCTTTTTGGTCCCGTCTCGGTAATTTTCGTTACCACCTATAGATCGAGCACACTTGTCGTTGTTCTTGGTTCGACGATCGGCGAGCGCACCTGGGGTCTGGGGGTTTATATCTATACCACCTGTAACCCCACCCGGGATGCGTTGCGCGCTATCCTTTTCAGTTTTGATCTTCTTGCCTTTGATTTAGTCGATAGTTTTTCTTTTTCTGCTGTTGGAATACCCCCTCCAGTTTGTTTCTTTTTCGGATAGGCTTGATGTACTCGGGGGAGTCTTCCACTCTGTTGCTGTTCCACTTCTTGAACACCAGCTCTAAAGAGGCTTTATCTCCATGCCCCTTCGTTCTGAGCCTTCTCCCTCTGTTGAAGGTTGGGTGAAGAGTCTGGGGTAGGCCTCGATTGCATGGTGGGGCGCACGAGAGAGGATTGTGGTAGGAGGCAGCTGTCGTTGCGTGATCGAATTTGTTTTTCTTTCGAAACATTGTCAGGGTATCCGTACCAGAGGGCGGCATCTTGTTTTGGTTTTGGGACGCAAGGAATAAAAAGCATGCCGGGAGGGCCCGGGACTTTCTTTTCTTTTGGTTCGAAAGCGATTGGAGAAAGATGAGGACCTGTACGATATTGGGCCATGGGCGTAATAGGAGCGGGCAGGATATCCTGGTGACAGTTGAAATCTATACAAGAGTTTTGAGCGCAACGAGAGAAAGCCATTGTGGTAACGCAGGTGGGTGAAGCTGTACTATGTATGCCACATTGATAATTGTTGATATTCAACAGCCGCCAGTTTGGCTCAATCACTGTTCTTTTTCCCTTCCCTAGCCCGTTAACGCCAGCAAGTACCAAGGAAATTGAATCCTAGACAGGAACCTCTTGAACGCCTCGAAATAGATGCCAATACGAAATTACTCGGCCCCCCGTTCCCTCTCGATTCGCAAAGACCACAGCCCTTCCCCAACGAAACAAGCATTCCCCTCTCCTCTATTTCCTCCCAGCTGCATTCCGCTCATTCTTCCTCATCCGCCTCTCATTCCTCTTTACCCGCTCCCGAATCTCCCTCCTCTTATCCCCACGCACGCTCGTCGTCCCATCCCCGCGCTTCTCCGCATCCACCTGCTTAGAACTAAGCTCAACAATCGCGTCGTCCTGGCCCGCCTTATTCGCCCCCTTATACCCCCACCGCCTCTCAAACTCTCCCGACTCCTCGTTATACTGCAGATTGCGCCGCTGCTCCCGCGTCTTGGGCTTGATACCCCGGCGCTTGGCGAAGGCGGCCCATTTGGTTTCGGCCTTGGGGGCGGGGACTGGCTTTTCGCGCGGGAGCGGGGTTTGAGGGGCCGGGAGGGAGAGTAGGACGCCTGCCGGGGTGGAGGTGATGGGGCAGGTGGTGAGGAGCTGGTTGATGAGGACTTGGGCGCCGTCGCGGGCGATGGAGGTCAGGTGGGTTTCGAGAGCCGTGCGGTCGGTGGTGCTGCCTGTGGGGGGGGCGGCGACGGGGTTGGGGTCGTTGGCGAGGAGGAGGCCGAGGTCGAAGGTGTAGGGGGTTGGTTTATCGACTGTGACGGGGAGTTTGGTGGGTTTTTGTTGGGTGGCGGTGGGCATTGTGGCGGGTTTGGTTGGGGTGAGGTAATTATTGGTGTTGGTTGGTGTGGGAGGTGGTGGTGGTGATGGGAGATGGTGGTTCTCCTTGTTGTTTGGAAGGGATTGACGATGGCGTTCTAGCGGGCGCAAAGGTTGGCGAGAAGTTCCGGAAATTTAGGCGGTGGACGATGGCAGGAAAAGACCCCACCAGCCGGCGTTGAAGTTTGTCGTACATATAACCCTAACCCTGGATATTCACTAGCTACAACAACATCCTGAGAACTACAACTTTTAGTCGGAATCGGGCAGGTTTTTGCCCGGCCGAACACTTGTAATTGCCGTGTAGGCCTAACTTGTAATGAGTTTTTATCCCGTCCAGGGTTGGACGTCGCTTTCGTGCATGTGGCCAGGTGGGGCAGATACTTCAGTCGCGGGACGCTGCAGCATGATTGGTCCGTGCTTGACCTCACGATTTTGCTTCGAGAACTGTGCAGAGAGAAATAGTTCCGGCCGGCAGCAATCTAGCAATTGACGACCCAGACGACGTCTCACGATGAGATAGAACCCACCGCTGCCGACACACGGGACAAGACAACACTCGGCCACGCCATGCCGGTGCCAAACAGCCTGCGCTGCCTCGTGCGGCCGTCGACAGGGCTCCCCGTTTCGATACCACGAACTGCAGCTTCCCTCGGGGTGCCTTCCGCTGGCCTTCTAGGGACTCCTCTCCTCGCTGCCGCGTCCTTCTCAACAACAAGCTCCAGGAGTGAAGGGGCGAGCGGCATCGCCAAAAACCACCACCGCGGCGGGAAAAAGACCTTCACGGTCAAGAAGAAGGCATTCGTCCTCGAGCGGGGCAAGTCCCCGCTGCCCGGCGAGCGCAAGGCCTACCGCAAGCGCATCATCCTCAGTAACGACAACGCTCTCGCCGTGCCGTGGCTGACCGACCTGGGGCCTGCCGAGCTGTCCAACGAGAACAATGTCGCCCGCGTCATGGGTATTCCGGAAGAGGTGCAGGACCAACTGCGAGCCAGCGAGGCTTTCAAAACGACGCAGTGCTGGCGCATGTTCAGGAAGCCGGCTGTGCTGGTGCGCAAGGAGACGGTTGATTTGACAAGGCGGATGGATCGAGCGGCTCAGAACAATGAGATGTTGCGTTTGGTCGTGACGGGTGACAAGGTGGCTGGCAAGAGCTTGATGCTGCTGCAGGCGATGACACACGCGTTTCTCAACGACTGGGTCGTGATCCATATTCCAGAGGGTATGTTTTGACCTTCCCTGGAATGTGATATATCATGATATGATATGATATGATATGATATGTGCACGCCAGACAGAGACTAATAAATACCCCACAGCCCAGGAACTGACAACGGCTTGCACCGAATACGCCCCGATACCCAACACCGACCCCCTCCAATACATGCAGCCGGTGTACGCCCTCAAGCTCATCCAAGCCATCAAAAAGGCCAACGAAAAGGTCCTCTCCAAAACCTTCACCCGCAACGCCCACCCTCACCTCCCACAAAACATCCCCGCCAACACCCCCCTCCTGACCCTCGCCAACGTGGCCAAGGAGTCCGAAGCCGCCTGGCCCGTCTTCCAATCCCTCTGGGCCGAACTAACCGCCCAGGGCGTCGCCCGTCCGCCCATCCTGCTCAGCATCGACGGCCTCGCCCACATGATGAAGATCTCCGACTACCGCACCCCGGCCTTCGACCTCATCCACTCGCACGACCTGGCCCTCGTCCGGCTGTTCGCCAACGCCTTCGGTGGCGGTCTCAAGCTGCCTGCGGGCGGCGCCGTGATCGGCGCTACCAGCCGTAGCAACGCGCCCCGCTGCCCGAGCCTGGAACTCGCTGTTTCCCGGCGTGAGGTGGAGCAGCGCATCGAGGCTAGCAGCAAGGCGGCCGGTTCCGGTTCCGGTGCCGAGACTACCGCTACGGCTACGGAGGAGGTTCCGCAGCGGGATCCGTACTTCCGCGGGTATGATGACCGTGTTGAGGCGGTGCTGCGATCGGTCGAGGTGCTTCGTGTCGGCGCGATTGACAAGAACGAGGCGCGTGCTGTGATGGAGTACTGGGCGGCTAGTGGTATGTTCCGCTCGGTGGTGGACACGAAGACGGTCACGGAGAAGTGGACGTTGGGTGGGAATGGGGTGTTGGGTGAGATGGAGCGGGCGTCGTTGTTGAGTATGCGCATGTGAGGGACGCACGCGATGGAGAGAAGGAAAATGTGTACATCTATGTTGACGTTGATGATGATGTGAGACGTGGGTGGTGGAGTGTAAATGTACAAATACTTAGAGAATTTGATATCCACATTATCATGGACATTATTTGCGTATCTACGGTGACCTTTGAGTCGTGGGTACTGTGTAGAAAAGCTGGGTCGCTCGTTCAGGTTTACAGCACATTCCACGCCTATGATCACAAGCAGCGAGTCAAAAAACAACCCATGCTAGACTTCATGACTCATTCCATTTAATTCCCCCAGCTATAGCAACAACACCCCTAAACGCCGAGTGGATACAGGCGGAGGACAACCCCCCAAAAAGGGAGAAGGGGGAAAAGCCCAAAACATAAAACACAACCACAGCCGTCTTCAACCACACGCATAACCTAACGACGACGGATTCAACTCCGCACGCACGCCCCCCTACAGCTCCTGGCTGCCCTCCCTGTTGCCGTTGCCTGAAGTAATAAACACTAGCCGCGTGCCATTGCCAGCTGTTTGCCAAACCTAGAAAAAGATAAATTGTCAGCGTCATGGCCAAAAGGGGTAGAATAAAGTAAATGAGGGGGGAAGAAACTCACATCCAACTCGGTATACTCCTCCAAAGCCGCCAGCCACTGATTCTCCGTAAACCCCTTCGCAATAACCCTCTCCTTGACCTTTCGCAAGCTCATCTCCACCCCGTACCCTTCCTCCTCCTCATCCTCCTCATCCGCCGCATCCTCCGCCCGACACGCACCACTATCCGCCAGACCCTTAACAAGGTTATAAATCTTGCTGCTCGCATTCAATCCCCGACGGTTACTCGCGGACCGATCATCCGCCGCCAGACTCTCCTTGGACGCCTCCACCAGCCGCAGCGCCTCATCCACATCTTCCTGCGTGACGGTATCGCTGAACCGCAAACGCGCCAGCGCCTGCGCGAGACGGACCACGCCGAGCAAGGTACGGGGCGTGGTATGGCCGAAGTTGTTGGCCGTCTGCCCACGTTTTTCGGCGCGTCGCTGGTTACCGCGGAGGCGGACATATGTCTTGACCATGTACTCCGACACAGCCTGTGGCACGACAGGGCGGAAGGTGCGCGCCTGCGCGACGTAGGCGCGGACTTCCTGCGGGGAAAACACCACGCCGTCGGCGGTGCCCAGGTCCGGGTGGCGGCTGTGCATGTGGACGTGGGCGACGTGTTTGGCGAGCTGGGCGTCGGAGTCGCGGGTGGGGGTGTCGAGGAGGAGGAACATGATGTCGAAGCGGGAGAGGAGGGCGGCGGGGAGGTTGATGTTTTCGACGGCGGAGAGACGGGTGTTGTAGCGGCCGTAGAGGGGGTTGGCGGCGGCGAGGATGGAGGTGCGGGCGTTGAGGCTGGTGCTGATGCCCGCTTTGGAGATGGAGATGGTTTGTTGTTCCATGACTTCGTGGATGGCCGTGCGGTCATTGTCGTCCATTTTGTCGAATTCATCGATGCAGCAGATGCCGTTGTCGGCGAGGACGAGCGCGCCGCCTTCGAGGACCATTTCGTCGGTTACGGGGTCCCGCATCACGGCGGCCGTGAGACCGACGCCGCTGCTGCCGCGGCCCGAGGTGTACACGCCGCGCGGGGCGACCTTGGAGATGTACTTGAGCAGCTGGGATTTGGCCACACCGGGGTCGCCCATCAGGCAGATGTTGATGTCGCCGCGGATGCGCATGCCGTCGCCGACTTCCTTGGTGACGCCGCCGACGAGGAGGAGAAGGAGGGCCTTCTTGACGTCGAGGTGGCCGAAGATTTCGGGCGCGATGGATTTGGCCAGGTACTCGTACTGGTTGCCCGACTGTGTGAACTTGGCGATCCGCCGCGCTAGCAGCGGGTCGATCTCCATGTCCTCGTACGCCTTCTTGTGCTGTACAACGTGGTGCGCCTCGACGTAGGTGTCGGTCAGCAGGCCCGCGCGCATGGCCTGGAAGCCGGTGTACGGGGTTGGGAGGAAGATGCCGGCCACGTCGACCACATCGCCAGGGTTGACCTGTCGGACCAGGCTGCCGTAGCACAGGATGGTCAGGGTTCGGGGGATCTGACCGATGGGGACCTGCTCCGCCAGCTCCTGGATCTTGACTTCCTGGAACGGTAAAAACTTGGAGGCTCGCGACGACGGGTACAGCTGTCCCTTGGCCTGGTTCTCCTCGCAGTCTTTGGACGGGCACATGGTGAGCGGGCCATACTGCTTGTCGGTCACGGGCTGGAAGATCTCGCAGCCGCAGCGGTCGCAGGTGTATGCGCTGACCTGCACGATGGGCTTGACGTCGGATACCCTAGTCGCAATGCCGCGGATGGTGATGAGGTGGCCCAGGTGGTCGCCGCGTACTTGACGGACTGACAGGGCCTTGACGGGGTTCTCGGGCGTGGACGTCCTCGGCTTGAAGACGAGCGTGTATCGGCGGGTGAGCTGCGAGGGGTACTGGTCGTTGAGGATGGCTGGGTCGGATTCTCGGTCGGCGATGCCTTCCAGCATCTGGTTGCGTTGCGACCGGTTCGACATCAGCACGTCGAGGACGTCGTCCTTGAACGTGAGGTCCTCGCTGGGCTGCGGCATCAGCTTGTCGACGGCGCGGGAGATGATCTCGACGTAGTGCTTCGTGTTTTGCTCGACCCATTCGACCAGCTTCAGCCCCTCGTTGAGCTCCTGCTCGTATGCCGAAAGGTCGTCCAAGTCGACGACCACCTCGCTGATCTTCCGGTCGGCGAGTTGCTGCAGCATGTCGCGGTACTTGTGTCGCGGCGCCTGCTTCTCGGGCCGTTGGCGGCGCCGCTGCTGCTGCCGCTGCGCATTGTCATCCTCGTCCATGAAATCATACTCGTCGCTCAGGTCGTCCTCGTCAATGTTGATGCTCCCCAAGGCATGAGTGATTGTGTCCTGCGCCGAGGTCTTGAAGTCGGACAGGAAGTTTTCGAAAGCCTCTGTTGCGCCAGTCAGCAGGCGCACAAGAGTGGGCGAGTTTCTGTGCCCGTGTTTCCATATTTTCTCTGGTGGCTCTTTTCCCTCCTTATCTTCTTCCCCCTTTTCTTTTTTCATATTTGTTCCCACTTAGAGGTTGGCTACTCACTTAGTTGTACCTGGTAGTCAACAGGCGCCTTCATCTGTAGGAGCGCCATGGCTGCAGGTGTGTAATTGCGTCCTCTAGGCTGGGACTGCGGTTGTTTGATGGCGGTGACGAAGGTGGGGAGGTTTTGCGACCAGATCGAGCTTCGGGCGGAATTGCGCCAACAAAACACAGGCCAAGACAGGTGCTGGGGTTCGGGAGGCTGGGGTTAGCGTCGTGACAGGGAGACGCGTCCAAAACCGAGCCCAACGCGCTTTTTCGCGCGTTTGGAGCCCAGTCAATTAAACCGAGTGCAGCTGGCTACTGCAGCTGTGAACAGCTGTCGCGCTAGGAAATGGCCTCGACCCTAACCCTGGCTGCCTCGGGGCCGGCACCCCCTTTCCCTTGCCTCGGCACATGCAAACTGCCGGGAGCTGCCCCGACGAACTGCGCGCTCCGGGGCCATGCGCTGTGCCGAAACGGAAGTGGGATGAAAGTCGGCCGTCGCTTCCTTGATATACGACGCGCAACGTCTGCACGCTCCGATAAAAATAATCAATTAATACTTGTTCGATACCAAGAAGTGCACCATTAATTCCCAAAACCGCCACGAACAACTCCCAGTCCGGCCAACACGCCCGTCCCCGGGCTCGCCCACGAAATGGCGCCCATGCAAGCGTCCGCCGCGCTGTCTCTGGTACACCTCCAGAACTGTCTTGTCAACCTGCCTCCGTCGCTGGCCTCGCTTCTAGCCAACGCAAACACAGTAAGGAGTCTTCCACTTCTCAAACTTCTTCTCGTGGCGCAAAAACGCGCGGAATTGGTCTAACCTCGCTATGTCCATCTAGCCCGCCCAAAATGTCATCGTCGAACTCCGCTACCGCGCGCGCGCTCCAGCCGGGAGTAACTCCGACCCAAACAGCCCATCAACGAAGCACATCTTCCTTGGATGGAGTGGCATGCCCAGCAAGCGACGAGTCACCCCGATAGTCAGCCGGGATGGCATCAACAGCGGCCGGGACACGCGTGACCAGGACCTAGGCGCCGTCGAGCTGGACGCCACGCTCGCGGGCAACTTGGGCTTGATCGATGGCCAAAAAGTCACCGTGACCGTCCACTTCGACCCGCCTCTGGTACACACCGTCAACATCGAGCCCCTGACCCCGGACGACTGGGAGATGATCGAGCTGCATGGGACCTTTTTGGAGGATAACCTGCTCTTCCAGATCCGCGCCGTTCCGAACCCGGCGCATGCTGCGCAGTCTCGTATTCCTGCTACGTACATGCACCCGCTAACGCTGCACTTATCGCCGACGTCGACCGCGAATATCAAAGTGTTGTCGATCGAACCCCCTCCGCCTGCCAACGTGCCGTTTGCGAAGATTGCGCCGGATGCGGAGGTGATTGTGGCGCCGAAGACGAGGGAGATGGTGCGCAGTAGTAAGGACAACAAGAGTGTGGGCGGCGCGTCGCGGAAGAGTGCCAGGAGCTCGACGAGCACCGCGAGGAGGAAGAGTGCCCGGCAGGAGAAGAAGCCGGTTTTGTTTTTCAGGGGGGTTGATCGGAAGAATTGCCAGGGTTGGTTCGATGACGACGCCGAAGAGCAAGAACAAGATTCACACGAGCCGCTCAGCCTCTGGGTTGACCGTGATGTGCTCTCGGGGAAGGACCTGAAAGGAGTGAAGTGGGTGTCGGTCAATGTTGTGCGGCCCGCGGGCCTTCAACAGCCGCTGGACTCGGCAAACCAGCCGCAGGAGGTTGACCCGGCATCAAAAGCGACTTCCAAAGTGGTGGCTGCGTTGAGGCCGTGGGACGAACCTCCTGATGGGCAAACAACCGCGTTATCCTCAGCATTATGCTCTGCGCTTGGGTGTGAAGGTCTGGTCGGGGGCGTGGTCAAGATCGAGCCAGCATCTGCCCCGCTAACTCGAGGCGATGCTTCGATCCAAAAACTCAAGATCTACCCTTTCCAGTCGTCGCAGCCTTCTTCCCAGTCCTCGGGGCTCAAGTTCGGCGGACAGTCCAAGGCAGAAAAGGAAGAGGCCGCGAACCAGGTCAAACACATTTACGGGCCAAGCGGGAACAGTCTCCTCCTTGGACCCCTGACGGATGGTCAAGTCTTAGGGGTACACCAGGGCCTCGATTGCCCTCGTGGCTGGGAGGGTGCCGTTTTAAGATTCGAGCCTTTTTCGGCATCTTCAGGACCGGGAAAGAAGCCTGTGAACTGGATTCTAGGTGCAGACTGGAAACTACCGATCGTGGTAGAACCTCCGATCCCGAAACCCACGTGGTTGTCCGATCTCGAGACCGACCAGCTAGACACCTCCGACACGCTTCTGGTCGGGATCGATTCCCTCCTGGGAAAGCTCAAGTCACACCTCTCCCACATGTCTTCGGTGCTCCTGACCGGCGGCCAAGGTTCCGGCAAGACGTCCGTTGCGCAATCGGTCGTGCGTACGATGCGGTCGTCCCGGCTCTATCACACGACCTACTTCCCCTGCACGAAGCTCGTCAACGACGAAAGCAGGGTAGCGACCGTCAAGGAGACGCTCAACCGTCTATTCATGGCCGCAAGCTGGGGAGCTCGGCAAGGCGGCAAGGCGGTCGTGATTCTCGATGACCTCGACAAGCTGTGCCCGGCCGAGACGGAGCTGCAGGTGGGTAACGAGAATGGGCGCAGCCGGCAGATTAGCGAGGCGATCTGCTCCATGGTCAGGGAGTACTGCGGCAGGGACAGCAATGTGGCGTTGCTGGCGACCTGCCAGGGCAAGGACTCGTTGCATAATGTCCTTGTGGGGGGGCATATTGTGCGTGAGATTGTCGACCTGAGCGCACCCGACAAGGAGACGAGACGGCGCATTATGGAGGCGCTCACGAAGCAGGGGTCTGTTGTCCCGGAGGAGCTGGAGCCTGAGCACAGTGATGGTAGCCGGCCAACTACGGCCGATGGGAGCGCCACCGATGGTGATGGCGGTGGTTGGATGGATGGGCCTAGCCGGCCGACATTGAAACACCCTGAAGCCAATAAGCCTAGTGGGTTTGTTCTTGACAGTGATCTGGATTTTCTCGATATTGCTGGTCAGACGGATGGCTACATGCCGGGGGATTTGATTCTGCTGATCTCCCGGGCCCGCAACGAAGCGTTGAGTCGCAACGTGGGAGAGTCTTCTGACCTAGATGCCACTACCATCCACTTGAGCCGCACCGATTTCGACAGCGCCTTGAAAGGTTTCACCCCAGCCTCGCTGCGCAATGTCACGCTCCAAAGCTCAACCACCACCTTCTCCTCGATCGGCGGCCTGACAGAAACCCGCCAGGTGCTCCTCGAGACACTCCAATACCCCACTAAATACGCGCCCATCTTCGCCCAATGCCCGCTCCGCCTCCGCTCCGGTCTTCTCCTCTACGGCTATCCCGGCTGCGGCAAGACCCTCCTAGCCAGCGCCGTGGCCGGCGAGTGCGGGCTCAACTTCATCAGCGTCAAGGGCCCCGAGATTCTAAACAAGTACATCGGTGCTTCGGAAAAGAGCGTCCGCGACCTCTTCGAACGCGCCTCAGCCGCGAAACCCTGCGTCCTCTTCTTCGACGAATTCGACTCCATCGCCCCGAAGCGTGGCCACGATTCCACCGGCGTCACCGACCGTGTCGTCAACCAGCTCCTCACCCAAATGGACGGCGCCGAGGGCCTGTCGGGGGTCTACGTTCTCGCTGCCACCTCGCGTCCGGACTTGATCGACCCTGCGCTGCTCCGCCCGGGCCGTCTCGACAAGTCGCTGTTGTGCGACTTCCCTACGGCCGAAGACCGCCTTGACATCATCCGCGCCCTGGCGCAGAAAGTCAAAGTCGCGGACGAAGTGTGGAATTCAGAAGACAACGTCCTCGAACTAGGCCGCCGCACCGAAGGCTTTTCCGGTGCCGATCTCCAAGCCCTCGTATCCAACTCCCAGCTTGAAGCCATCCACGACGTGCTCAACGACCGCGAACAACCCACCACCACCTCCAGCAGCCACCGCCGCGCCGGTCGCAAGACCAACGCCGCGGCGTCCTCCTCCCGGAACTTTGTCCAGTTCCGCTATGGCGATGATGCCGATGGGGCAGACCCCACGGCTGATGCCGCCACCGCCCCTCGCACGCGCGCGGCACAACTCGCTGAACAAGCCGCGATCGCTAGTAAACTAGAGGGTATCAAACTCGCCGCCAAGCGTGCGAAACAATTCTCTAAAGCCGCCGCCGCTGGTCCCTTGAATCCCAGCAAGAACAGAGGCGTGAACGGGATCCACCCTACTGATGACACAACTGCTGAGAGTAACGGTAACAGCACACCGGAAGTGGTGATCAGGTGGGAACACTTGGATAAAGCGCTGGATGCGACAAGGGCGAGTATTAGTGTGGATGAGCGGGCGAGATTGGAGAGGATTTATCGGGAGTTTGTGGTGGGGAGGAGTGGGGATATGAAGGATGGGCAGGGGAGTATGGAGGTTGGGGGGAGGAGTAGTTTGATGTAGGTGTCTACTATACTACTTACTGTACATTGTCAGTATGTGTGTTAATGGGTGGAGATGGAGGGGTTTGTAAGTGAAATAGGGAGGTGTATAAGTGATACGGTGAGGTGAAAATAGGTTGGATGAGGTGTGTATGATTCTAGAGACAGAGCCGAGGGTAGTCTGCATATATTTTGGAAAAGTGGAAAGCATGGCATGCCCATAATTAGATGGTTGAAATGTTCCAGCTGCGTGATACGACCTTGCGAGTGAATACTTGACTTGACAAAAAGGGGGAAGCCATGAGGAAGTAAACAACCCGGACATAACCCTAACCCTATATCCAACTTTGACTCGGGAGAACGCCAAGCCGAGACGCTTTAACTTCGCTGAAAGGAGAACCACGAGACATAATAAACCAACCAAACAAAACCGCCCAATATCGTCGTATTCACCGCTGCCCCGTCAAAAACAGCCAACAATTCCTCACCCCAGCCCAGAACCCCCCCTCCTCTTTGCTCACTTCCGGCCTGTTAGACACAAAAGGATCCTTCCGGTGCCAGTTTGTCGACTCAGCAGCGAAACCCGGGAGCGCGTCATAGCTGTCTTGAAAACGGGTAGAATAGACTTCTGTGTCTAGATAGGGAGGCGCGGCGGCGGCGGTTGTTGGGAAGTAGTGAGGCGAGGTAGTAGCCCAGGTGTTATACCTGTGTCTGTTGAGCCAGTTTGGTTCGTCTCTCTTGTTGCTGCTGGAGGCCGGGGTATCCTCCATTAGTGAATCCGCCGTGGAAGAAAGTTCCGAAAACGCAAAAACAGTACTCTCATTCTCATTCTTAGCCAACATCAACCCCGGCGACCCAGGGCTCATAAAGTCCAGCGTAACCCTCCCAATCTGCGCCTCCAGTTCCTGGTTGAGTCGGTTGCGGGTTATGGCGAACTCAGGAACCGGTGGGAGCCACCAGCGGTGGTAGATATTTCCGTGTGTTCGGGGTGTGTAGAAGTCCCCCCGCAGTCGGATGAACAGGTTGCAGAGGTAGCAGGAGTCTTTGCTGGAGCAGATGATTCGGGGCTTTTTTGGGACAGGGTGGAGTTCGTAGTGGGTGAGGAGTTGGATTTCGGCGTGGACGCGGGATTGCTTGAGGATTTCGTGGACGGTGGACTTGAAGGCTGTGTTGAATTTGCCCTGGCGTTGGAGTTTCGCGGTGATCTCTGTGGTATTCGCTTTGATCTTGGAGCCGCTGCTGGCGCGGCATCGGTTGATGCAACTGGTGATGTGACAGCCTGGGGGGGAGGGCATCTCCGGCTTGAAAAGCTCCGGTTCGAGAGAGACGAGATGAACTTCGGCTTGCTGGAAGATGTTCTGGGCTTTAGCCATCTGGAGAAATAACAAGGTGCATTCCTGGTATTGGGCAAGTTTGGCTATTTGCGTGGTGAAACGATGTCGGTCGGTCGGGGCTAGTTCTGTCGTCGTTAACGTGTCTAGCAGAATGTTGAAGCTCGTGGTCTCGATGAGCTTATGAACGGCGCGAATCACGTCCATCATGATCGAAACAACGTTCTTCTCCTTGCAAGTCTCGAGTGACTTGAGGTGGTGTAAAATCTGCCGGCCCTGCCTGGCAAACCTGTCGGCGATGCCCTTAAGCTCCCCTACGAAACTGCGCCTGGTCGTTGAGATGGCATCGAGAATACACTGAAGGGTAGTACCCAAGAATTGCTTGCCGTTTTTGGTGTATTTTGCATCCTGTCTTTCGGACCCAATACGAGAGAATATGCGGTGTTTGCACATGTCCACGATAGCACGGAGAACGGAGTACTCCAGGAGGTCGACTTCTGCCCAACAATGTCAGAAAATAGCCACCAGGCCGTATCCATGAAAAAGAACGGTTTCCAACCTTGATGAACCCTCGATAACTGCATGAAAACGGCCTCGAGACCATCCTTGACCTTCGTCGACGTTCCGATCGAAGACTGTGGGTTGTTCCCGTTGATAGCAACGACCGCCCTGATCCCCTTTTGCCGCCCCCGTCCAGTTATCTCCTCGACGCAAGTCGCAACGACATGAAGGGGGTTGTCGGATACACCACAGATGAAGGCCAGAGCGCTCGTCAAGTCGAGTTCTTGATCAAACGACAGGAATCGGCTGGGATCTTGGTTAACTGCCCAAGCGGGTCGTTTGTTGACATGGCGAGCGGTAGGCGATGGGCGTAGTTGGTAAAGAAGGGCCGCATTCTCTGCTAGAACCTGATATTGTCGACGTTCCTTTTCTGATAACATTTTGATAGAATGTTGGAAGATTATTGAAGATGTTGAACCTCCGGAACACAAAACACAATAAAGTGACAGAGGCCCCTCTTGTACCCCTCGAGGACCCCGCTAGGTTGATATCAAAATCACGACGAAACCCAGTCCCAATAGACACCGTGAGCAACATCGTTTGTTTTGACGAGCTCGCAAATCACAGAAACCGGAGGTCGCATGGTTGCCCTTGGTAGGCCGGGCCCCGTGAGAAAAGAAGCTCTTATTTGTGGGGGTCGACAAGAGTGCGTGTTGACGTGGGTTGGAATCGGCACGGAGGCCTACTGCGGCCTACAGCGGCCATGACTGTGTTTGCAGCCTCGCCCATATGCAACTTCTTAGCCACTCAACTGTCCCTGCGATGTTGTTGGACAAGGGCGGCTGGTTGCATGTGCTGCGACTGTGACAGGTTGTTCGGGAATGTGAAACCGTGGTTGAACCGTATAGGCCAAATTATTATTGGTTTTCATTGTGTTTGCTTTTTAGTGCTGGCTCCATGCAAATAAATCCTCGAATAAAGTGTGCTTTCTAAGAGGCCATCGGTTTAATGCACATAGCCAAGCAATCGAAACCGAAAGGTTCGGAGAGCAAGTAATTAATTCCCTGTAAGCTTTTAAGAGATAACGCTTCTGCAAAAGGGGCCTATTTATCGAAAGCTCTATAGTACCCCACCAGAATGTCTGCGCATTCACCTAGGTACGTAAGTACTTCTCGGAACCAAGAGCTACCATTCACGAAGAGCTTTCTATTGGCCTCGTGGTGCTCGAAATGTTAGAGCCCCCAGTGCGACGGTCCTAGTAAGACAGATCTCAACCCAGAAATGTACATGTTGGCAGGCGGTATTCTATAAACGTCAGATATCCAAGCAAGCGAGGAGATAACAGGGAAAACACTTACTGTCCAGCGTCCAATACCTCCTTTTGACCCCCTCCCACTCCCCCTTGCCTGCTTCAGCAAGATGTGACATATCCACATCGATCACATCCCAATCGACGTCCAGGCCAGCGTCCGTAAGGTGCAGCTCGGCCACCTTGGTGTAGACATCATAGCAAATCGCACGATCCGCGCCGAGGCCGTTGAAAAAGCCAAACCGCCCTTGCCCGTCGAGGAGACTGGGAATTAGTTCGGTAAAGAACATGCGTAGCTGGGAGTAGTCTTCACCAAACGTGTCGAAATAGATAGCGTCATAGGTTTGCCCTTGTAGGACCAGCTGTTGGCAAACCTCTTGCCATTTCCCCTTGTGAATCTTGAAAGCACCGGGCTTCGGGGCACTCTCTTCCCATGCCGAGCCGAACTTGGATCCCGGACTTGAAATGTGTTCCCAGACTCCCGGGTGGGCTTCGATAACGTGGTGTACCGCAGGCTGGGTTTCCGCAAACATGGTATCAATGATTCCCATCCCGAAACCGATGTTCAAGATCCGCTTGCCTGGTTGTTTCCCTGGTAACAATGCATTCACGCTCCGGCGCATGATATCGGTCTCCCAAGCCATCATGACACCGTTCCCGTCGTCGTCCACAAGCTTCCCGTCGGTGTATGTGAGTTTCGAGCGTAGGTACGCCTCAAAGTTGACGTCTGCTTCAGTGTCCTCCTTTGGCCGTTTAAATCGTGGCTCCTCCACGTCTTCTTCTTCCTCCTCCTGCTCTGCTTCTAGCCCTTCTTCCCCTTCCGCCGGCACTGTCTCTACCGACCCCCCCTTCCCATTAACCTCCCCGCCCACCAACTCAGGCGCCTCCTCCCCATCCTCACCCACAACCACCATCTCCGGGTTCTCAACATCCATATCAACCACCTCCACACCCCCCTCACCCTCCTCGTCCTCCTCCTCATCCTCACCATCAACACTCTCCAACTCCTCATACCCCCCCATCAACCCAAACAACATCTCCGCCCTCACCCCGGCCTCCACACACAAATTATACAACTCCCCCCTCCCCAACCGCCGCGCCACACACCCCGGCGTCTCATTCCTATCATCCACATCATTCCATATCCCACCCCATAATAACAGTTCATAAACAACCTTCTTGGCTGCTTCCAAGTCTGCTAGACCCTCTTCCTCCTCCTCCCCTCCCTCTGCCTCTGCGGCCGCCTCGGCTCCGGGAGGTAACACACCCGGCGCAGGTCCACAAGCCCGAATGGCTGCGTGCAGGGGGGTTTCGCCGGTGGTTGGGTCTTGGACGCTGGCGCGGCCTGGGGTGTCGAGGAGTTTTTTGACGGCGGTCAGGTCGTGGGACCAGGCGGCTGTTAGAACGCGTTGGGTTTCGGGGGGGCAGGTGGGGGAGATGCGGGAGGAGATTGTATCTGTGTCGGTTTCCATGGTGGGCGTGTGTATGTACTGTACACAGTGGTGGGTGGGGGTTCGTTGGAGGTGAGGGTTTGTTGGAGGTGTGGTTCAAAAGAGTGGCACCTGCAAGAAGTTCCCTATACCACTCCGGTGTTGACACAACTTTAGAGTAGACGATCGGATATGTACGTAGTGGGGTTTGTTTTAGAGAATCGTGAAATGCCCCTCTACGAAATGCCCCTCACCACCAAAAATTTTAGGTTTGTCGTTGGAGATAGTGGGTCTTTGCTGCAGGCCGGGCAGGAGCGATTGTCACGGGTTAACCCTTGTCAGCCTGAGAACCTTAGATATGGTGGAAAGAAGGGATTACACGTGTGGATTCGGGAGATGCAGGATAGGCACTATTCTTCCCTTCGTTATAGCCAAGGAATTATCTATCTTGAAGAAAACCATCCTCAATGTGACCGGTTGACGAGAAGCGGAACCGTGTTTAGCAGGGTTTCCAGGTTTCAGGCCAGCCTTGCTCGGTTAAAAGTTCTGCGATGGCCCGACGGCTAGGCTCCAGATCACCCGAGCCTGGGCCATCGCAGGCTGGTTTTTTAGTGGAACCCACTAACTGTTAGTGGACGATTGCCGAGCCCACAGGCCAGGCGCGGGCCCGTCTGCCGCCTTGCAGCTCGCGGCGGCTTGCAATTCGCCAATGGCACGGCTCGTTTGCACACGTGCCCTCTGCGCCAGCAACATGCTACAAGAAGTCGCTGTGCCCCCGGCAACGCAGGCGTCACCGTTGCGTCTCAAGTCGGTCAGTGTCAATTGGAATAGGCTTGGCTTGATCGGTTGGTTTTCTTCTCTTTTTTCGTCCAAACTCATTTACGATTTGGGACCAGAAAAGAAGCAAAAAACGAGAACGATCAATTGGCGGCAATTGACGTCTCAAATAGGCGATCCAAGCGACCAGAAGGTGGAGCTTCACCAGCAGCGTTGTCCGATTGAGGCAGGCAGCTCCAGTGTTTTTCGTCCCAAGGCGCAGCGAGCCTTGGCCGTCACCGAGAGCGACCGAGCAAAGCAGTGTGGCGACCGAGCTCTGCTTCGGGGACCTTACGCCGCAGATTAAGGTTGCTCCATTGAGTGAGAGAACCTAATTAAGTTCCAGCGGCCCCGCCCCATGGTCCTGATCGTCCACGACCTCAAAACTCACTCGCAACACCTACACTCCCCACGCACCCGCATCCGCGATCCCACCTGGCGGGCTCCTCCCGGCGTCGTCGTCATGAAGTTTGGCGAGCAGCTCCGGTCGAGCGTGATCCGCGAGTACCAATGGTACTACATCGACTATGACGGTCTGAAAGATGACCTCAAACACCCCAGCGGGCCGACGCCCCAAACCGCGGCCGGCACCGACGAGCAGCGCACGAAGCCCGGCAAGCTCCCGCGCCGCGAATGGACCGAGGAGGACGAGAGCCGCTTCGTGAGCAAGCTTGAGTCGGAGCTGGAAAAGGTCCACACCAAGCAGCAGGTCAAGGCCATGGAAATCTCGCGCCGCATCGCCGTCAGCGAACGCGAAGTGCGCGACGTCGTCAACCGCCTTAATGAACGCGGTCTCAATCAGGACGGCCCTAGCGAGGAGGAATTCATGCTGCTTGAGGAGGATCTCAGCGATATCATTGCTGATGTTCACGATTTGGCCAAGTTTGTGCAGCTCAACTACACGGGGTTCTATAAGATCATCAAGAAGCATGATGTACGTGGCGGTAAACGAAGAATGCATACGGGTTAGGGTCTGTGGATTCAACTGACACAATTGGGAAACAGAAACGAACTGGATGGCATCTACGGCCCGTGTTCGACACCCGACTCAAGGCGAAACCGTTCTACAAAGAAAACTACGATGCGTCCGTGGTGCAGCTGTCCAAGCTCTACGACCTGGTCCGGACGAGAGGAAACCCGGTAAAGGGCGACAGCGCGGCCGGCGGGAGCCAAGCCAACTTTGTCCGACACACGACAAAATACTGGGTGCATCCCGACAACGTCACGGAGCTCAAGCTCATCATCCTCAAGCATCTGCCCGTGCTCGTCTTCAATGCGAGCAAAGAGTTCGAGGCGCAAGACTCTGCCATCACGTCGATCTACTACGATAACCCGGAGAAGTGGGATCTGTACGAAGGACGCCTGAAGAAGACGGAGGGCGCTGAGGCGATCCGGCTACGGTGGTACGGCGGTATGCAGAACGAGACCATTTTTGTTGAGCGCAAAACCCATCGCGAGGATTGGACGGGCGAGAAGTCGGTCAAGGCGCGCTTCTCGCTCAAAGAGAAGAATGTGAACTCCTACCTGAAGGGCGAGCTTCTGCCGGCCGCCATCTTTGAGAAGGCACGCAAGGAGGGCAAGAAGTCGGAGAATGCCATTGCTCAGGATGAGAGGCTGGCTCGTGAGATCCAGTGGTCCGTTCTGAAAAAAGGCTACAAGCCGGTGTGTCGGTCTTTTTACCACCGCACGGCATTCCAGCTGCCCGCCGACGCGCGTGTTCGCATCTCGCTCGACACGGAGCTTACCATGGTCCGCGAAGATAACCTCGACGGGGTTAGGAGGGCGGGAGACAACTGGAGGCGCATGGACATTGGGATCGACTACCCCTTCTCGCAACTCCCGCCTGAGGATGTCGTGCGGTTCCCGTACGCCATTCTCGAGGTCAAGCTGCAGACGCAGCTGGGCCAGGAGCCCCCCGAGTGGGTGCGGCAGCTGATCTCAAGCCACCTTGTCGAAGCGGTGCCCAAGTTTTCCAAATTCATCCACGGCGTCGCCTGTCTCTTCCCCGATAGGATCAACCTCCTCCCGTTCTGGATGCCGCAGATGGACGTCGACATCCGCAAGCCGGTGTCGCACGACTTTGGGATCAAGCGACTTGAACACTCGGCCACCACATCGATCTCAGAAGACGAAGACGAAGACGAGGACGAAGACGACGATTACGACTCGGATGACGAAGGCCGGCTCGCTGCCGGCGTCAACGGCCGCCACGGCGAAACCAGCGCATCCGGCGCGCGAAACGGCGGCCGGATCTCCAGTGCGACAGACGTGGAAGGCCAAACCCTGGACCGCCCGTCCGACGCCACCAGCGACGGCGACACGTACCTCTACGACTCGGACGACGAGGAGGACGAGGACCGGCTAGAGGCGGCCCGCCGCGTGGGCGGCTGGACGTACTACCGCACGCGGGCTTCGACGCTGGCCAACTCGGCCGGACGCGGCGCGTGGTGGGTGCTGCAGGCACTGGTGCCGCGGCCGCGGTCGACTGAGGTGCCTCGCAACGCGCGGCTGGAGTCGCTTCTCGGGTCGGGCGAGATCCAGCAGCGCCGGTTCAAGGCGCCCAAGGGCAAGAAGATTTATGTGCCTGTGCGGGTTGAGCCTAAGGTGTATTTTGCTGCTGAGCGGACATTCCTTGGCTGGGTATGTTTTCCTTTCCCTCTTTCCCGTTCAACAAAATACCGTAACTAACAACGCCCCCAGCTCGAATACTCAATCTACATCAGCACCATCGCCGTAACGCTCCTCAACTTCGGCGTCAAACAGGGCAATTCCACCAGCTTTATCGCCGCCGCCGCGTTCACCCTGATCGCCTTGCTCTCGCTCGCCTACTCGGTCGCCATCTACCTGTACCGCAGCAAGGCTATCCGCTCGCGTCGCGCGGCCAAGTACCATGACCAGATTGGGCCGAGTGTGCTTTGTGGCGCGCTGTTTGTGGCGGTGGCGTTGAATTTTGCGTTGGAGGGGAGGAGTCGGGAGTTTTGGTAGTTGTTGACTGACTAGGTTTATGTTTATCTTGTGTTGTGGTGTGGTGTGGTGTGTCGTGTTGTGAGGTTTCCTTTACGGTTCCACTGTGTTGTTCTGCATCTGGTTGTGGTTGGAGTACTGTACCGTTTGTTTTTGGGACCTTGGATTCCGGAAGCATGTGGAGCGAAAGGTGTTCATTGTCATTGGATTCATTGGATTCACTGGAGAAATTGTATCATCTACTTTGGTTGTAGCAATATCATCATCGGTATCATTTTGGAGTTTGCTTCTAGTGAAGGGTGTGGGGGGGGGGAAACCTTGAAGGGATGAAGGCCCCACTTGAGAGTCGTCCGATGTGAGGTGAAACCGGCAGTCTTGGGTATTTTCACCCTGATCTAACTCGACTCGCCAACCGGGGACAAGGCCAAGACAAGAGTTCAAAGAATTCGACCCGGCAGCCCGGCTAGACGCAGCGGATCTCGAGAACGTGCTCGACCCCGGAGTGGGGGTCCAGCCGTCGGCCCGCTTAGAGCCGGATGCCCGGGTTTATAAAAAGTAGTGTGTGTACTTGAGCCCCGGATGCGACATCGGATCTCATCTGAGTCACTTAGCAAGTCTGTTCTTGTTTACTGAACCATCCGGTTTGAGAACATTTCTTTCGAGGTGAGATTCTGCCTGGCCACTAGTTTAGCTCGTTTTACGAGGAATAAACCGGGGGATTGAGGTTTGGAATCGTTTTTGGGTCGGAATTGTTTTTATTTCAAGTTCAGCTGTGGACCCCGCGATTTTAGTCTCCTCGTTTTTTCATGTCTGTTTTTGTCTCGATCTGCGATTTTCAGGGGATATAAAAAGGGATAACACCCAAAATAACCAACACGCAAAGAACGGTCATCCATCCCCTCATCGAAACAGAGAAAGAGAAACAGCAAAAATGCCGATAAAACAAATCACCACCGAACTCGGCCACTCGGTCCCGCCTGAGGCTCCTCACAACATCACCTTCCACATTCCGGGATGGGAGACCGCCCGGAATCTTCGCCGTGGCGATCCTGAGCTGCTTGGAAAGTTGGTGTCTATCTACCCGCGGTTTGGGCCGTGGGGTGAGGTTCGCAAGGTATGTACGGATGGTTCAGTTCCCCTTCTTTATGAGTCCCTGGATTTGTTTGTCTGCGAGGGATGCATGGCTGACTTCTATGTGTTCTGTGTTGGTGTAGCTCACGGCCGCGCTGCATCCGCTGTTAGATCTACCTGATACTCACGGTCTCATCCTGTTTACCCGTACGTGACCTCCCAAGTCCATACTCATCACCACCCACCCTACCCCCCAGCCCAACTAACCACCATTCCATACATAGACCCCGACACATTCCCCTCAACAACCCTCTACTCCACCTCCCCCCACCGTCCCCCCGACCATCTCATCCCCCCCCGCGACCTGCTCTTCCGCATCCTCGACATCCCTCTTACCTTACCCCTGGCCACCGAACCCGCCGGCGACACCGCCTTCCATGATACCCTTGTCCGGCTCTACGCCGTCGCTTACCCGACTGCGCGAGGCCCCGGGGCCGTGGGGGTCTGGCAGACTTATGGAACGGGGGTGAGTAGTCGGTTGGCGACGGGGTTGATGCCGGGGGTCGAACAGGGGAGGGTGAGGGTTCATGGGTGGAGGGGGACGGGGGAGGATTTTTTGGAGGGTGGTGGAGGGTTTCCTGATGGGTTGGGGGGTGGTGAAGAGGGGGGAGGACTGCCGGTTGGGGAGGGACATGTAGCGCTGAGGAGGCGGATTGCGGAACTTAATGTTGGTGAGGACACCACTAAGGAAAACAAAGTCACCGAGGGCGATGTATGGCTCTACCCAACCGGCATGGCAGCCATCTACCGACTGCACCGCGCACTGATAGCAGTACGGGGGCCCGGGAAGGTAGTCGTGCTGGGCTCGGTGTTTCACAACAGCTGGCATTTGTTTCTGGAGAGTGAGGGCGGGATGAAGCATTTCGGGCGGTGTGATAGGGACAGCGGGGTGATTGAGGCTTTGGGGGAGTGGTTGGAAGGGGAAAGGTTGGCTGGGCGCGGGGTGGCGTATGTGTTTGTGGAGTTTCCGAGTAATCCGATTTTGGTGAGCGTGGATTTGAAGCGGTTGAGGGAGGTGGTGAGTTTTTTTTTTTTTTTTTTTTTTTTTTTTTTTTTTTTTTTTTTTTTTTTTTT